TACTCTTCCGTCAACGCCTTGTGTTAGTTTTGTACAGGGAAAGACCGGTGTATTGGTATACAAAGTGTATAAAAAAGTACCCCTTTTGAAATGAAGTTTCTGTCAGAATTTGAATGCATGATTATAATGCACATATAATAATAACTCATGTATGTACTTTATGCTAGACTTGACATGTGCTGAGCTATTTCAGCCTGTCTATTGTAGTTTTCTACTTCCAAAGTATCTTATCGTGCTGTGTAGTTGATTCCTTTGCTTCCCATGTCAATTAGTTTTACCTAAAAACAAAAAATTCCCGGAAAGCAAGTCACTTTCACTAGCCTTCGTATGACCGTGAATTGTTTTGTTTTACCAAGGTTTTCTTTTTTTAGAATGAAAGAATCGTCAGAGTCATGAGATGTCGGAGCTGCCTTGGGACATTTATGCACGCGAATACAAAACTCAATTTGATTTCGGTTAAAATATTCATGAATAAGATTGCATGGGATTTGGCCTTTTTTTTACTGAGACATGCTGAACACTCTTCTGTTTTCCTCCTTGATTTTGAAATTTTCGGCTTGTGGTTTTTGCATGAATTAACCTGGCCATGTCAAGCGCATGCGGAGGAAATATAAGTGATTCTGGGGCCCCGTCACTTGTATTTTTTCCATCTTGAACGACTGTAGTCCGGAAAAAAATATCGCTCATAGAGCACTTGAACATGAAATGTATGAGGAATTTTATTCCTTGAAGGAGATAATAGTCGAGTGTTTTAGTTTTCTCGGGACCAGAAAAAAACTATGAACATTTCCCACAAAACGTGCATGACATTTTGTATTTGCGTGCGCAATGCGAAGGCCCTGGACGGGTGGCGTAGGAGATGTTGAAGGTCTACAATCTGGTTTTGAGTATTTATCTTGAATTCTTTATACATAAGCGACATTTCTCTTTTGTAAATTAATTATATCATATTTTTGTATCTGCGAAAGGCGTCAGATGACAAAGAATCGTCGCAGGATCAGATGATGGCGGATCGTCGCAAAATCAGATGAGAAGCATCGTCCCAGGATCAGATAATGGTAGTTCGTCGCAGAATCAGATAACGAGAGATCGTCGCAGGATCAGATGAGAAAGATCGTCGCAGAATCAGACGATGGAAGACGAGACAGGTGTACAAGTTGAGGTATACATACTATAGTAATTTTATTAGAATAATGCATGCTTACTGTAAGTGCATGCAGGAATCAATTTTCGAATTGATTCGTTCTGGTGGTCTAACCTAGTATATTCACACATCAAGTGACATTTCACCCTTTTCGACAATGCATGATACCAGGAAATTTCTCACAGCTTTTATATGAGCGCATTTTCTGAGGTTTCTCTAAAAAAGATTCTATGAAACATTCTTAGTTGTCACTTGGTGTGAATTTTAACGACTTATGGCGGTCTTATACAAAAAACTTTTTTCTTTTCGAAAAATATGAAAATACTTTGCAATAGCCACGCTGGTTATTCTGACACCACATTAGCGGCTGCGGAAAATGCAAACATGGTTTTAAAACGTTAAAATGAAAGTAATAAAGTGCAATTAGCATGACGAACGCGCACGGGACGAAAAAAATATTCGCGAATTCGTATTAGCCTAATTTTAGATTAATACGAAGGTAATCCATGCAGTGTACTTATATGATTATATAAGTTCTCTGTTTAGCTTGCGATCGTTTCAATGAAGTCCGTCAGTGGCATCAAAAATTATACTTTAGTCTTTGAACATTTAAATTCGACGAATATTGAAGTTTGAAATGAAGAAAAATGATTATTGCATGGGATGTTCAGACATTATCACTCTTCTGTTTCCCTTGTTGGTATTAATTTTTCGGATTGCCGTTCGGAAGCTTTAAAAATCTGGAATATGAAGGAAATAAACGTAATCTATAATCATTTTGACAAACTTGACGAGATTGTATAGTAGTTTTATAATAGCTTGCATATAGCTTGTATAAGAAGTAAAGTAGGTAATATATACCTCCTATAATTACATGCATGCATCATATAATACATCGCGTCATGGACTTGTAGAATGGGGTTATGGGGGGGGGGGTATTGTCTTAAAAACTGTAGGTTAATATTGTAGTACCCTCTTGCCTAAAAAGCTAACCCTTTAAAGAAAACCCTCCGTATTTCGACACACTTACTATGTTGTTTAATTCCTTGCACGCCCCACCATCGAGATGTTGTCGAAGAAGAACACAACTGTTTGGAATGGAGCAGTGGCGCAAGTGAAATTCAGTAAATTCAGACCAATTTGGTCACTGTTTACCAAAGGTAATTATACGGTGCGAAAGGTAAGAGACATTATTAATCAGCCATATTGAGTAAGTTGCATGTTAAACCCGATTACGTTTATTTCCTCCATCTTCGGTCAACGGCCGTAATCCAGAACGTATAAAAAAGATAAATTAATAAAAAAGGTGCATGTAGTAGAAGGGTGTTGTTGTCTACATCAGTTTGAGATGAAAAAGCATGCAAGTCGTGAATACGAATAATTTCTTTATCATGATATAAACATTTGAATAATTGAAATAATTTTTGTTGCCATTGTCAGACAAAGCGCAGTTTAATTTCGAAGAGCCTGGTGCGGTTTTTGCAACGGGCGATACGCGCGCTACGCACGTTAGACCACCAGCAGGATCGAATTAACGAAGCTCAAGAATTGCATGGCAATTCCTGGGACTCGGTTTGGATGATCGGACCGAAACGGTGAACTATAGATAAAACTGAACTGTCATTGCGGATGATTATTAATAAAAATACCAAATTCGGACCGCCGATCAGGTAACCTGAAATTCAGGTTGCATTTGGAGGGTTTTTCTCCGGGCACTCCGGTTTCCCTCCTTCTCGTTTGGCTTTAAAAAACAGTGTCCATGTCTGGGGCCAAACCAAAACGTGAGCGTTGATAGTGATAAAAACGCGTGTGTGGCTTCTGGGTTCGATTCCCAGAACACTGTCGTAAAAAATTTTTTAAAACACTGTTGTGGGATCGGTTACGCTACTTCTGTTCGGAAATTTCTGGTATTGGGATTTAGCATGTGATAGGGTTAACCTCGAGGTCCTTCTGTATAATATTGGTTTACTGATTATATCTTCTGATAAAGTTTTTTTTCCGTAAGCTAGGGCCTTTTTTACCTTTTCCAGCAATTCCCCTAAGCATATGGACCGCGGGGACGATGCTGAGTTTTAGCCCCCCCCCCAACAGGTGGCCAAAAGTATTGAAATAAAAGTCAGACATGTCGAAATTGGCTAACATTTAAGACTTAGTCCCCTCCCTACTCTCTGATACTCTCCGCGGCCCCTGCTAAGAGAAAGGCATTTCTTACATGACATAAAATATTTAATATCGAGTTCCCTGCAGCCCTGATGAGACTAGAAGGTTTTATAATAAGGTACGTGGCTTGTACATTGTTCGGGGGGGGGGGATTGTACTATTGTAGGAGCAGTGAGCAGTCGAACGTTTCAAGAGCGTAGTTTCCTCTCTCTGCACTGATTAGCGTGCAAAAGTTTATTGAATATTATGCTTGTATTATAAAAATGAACGTCCTTTTTATTTACTACAGAGACAAAGGCTTTGATAAAGACTGTAGTATTGAAGTATATTTTTAATTTTAATGTACCAGAGTTTGGTGTTTCATTAAAGTTGTGACGTAATTTTTAAAAGAATCCTTTTGTTTTTTTATAGTAATTCACTAAACGAATAAATCGATAAATACATTAAAAATCCCACAAATGGCTCCTTTATCAATTTATCTGAAATATAACTACTTTTCGTTTTCCTTACACAGGGGCGTGCATTTAGGGAGAGGTCGAGCGAGTATTTGACAAAAATCCAAATAATCGTTACCAAAAGATTAAAGAACCTATTTGTTGCTCCTTTTGTCTCGTATAACAATTATATAAAATAGTCCCTTCGTATCAATAGGCCAGTAAAAAAGGAATACAATTAATTTCCGTGCTATATAGCCAGCTTATGTGCCAATTTATAATTTGGTCAGTATATCGATCATGACCTGTTTTTACTAATAAATCAATGACTCAATATAACTACATTATTCCACAACTTACACTTACTAGCTTTATTAAACTAACGAGTACTTCACAAAAGGCACTTCATTTGAGGCAAACCACAGCATGCGTATGTATATTGTTTCATTGTTTCCTTAAAACTCATTTTGAGACAAAAACCGGATGCCAGATCATGAATTGACTTGAAAAGAGTGTGTTATACAAGTACATTTTCCTGGGAAGGTGAAAGAGTTTTAATAACTTCGAGGAACTTCCCATTTTTTTAAACAATATAATGCTCATTAGTCATTACATCTATCTTAGACTTTTGAATTAGCCCAGGTTAGCCAAAGCATATTATTGTCTTAATTCGGTAAGGGGGGGTGGAGCTTTTTATAAATATGACGTCTAGTAGATTCGAATTGTATGATTGCATTACAAAGAACTTACTCAACAATCTTTTTGTAATTCGTTTTTGTCTTTACTCTCGGTGAAATATTTTTCGCCAAAAGTGCCCTTTTTCGCCCTTTGAGAGGACATTGCTTCTCTGATGTGGCGACATTCTTTCTAATTTCATTGTTGGCGAGCATTACCACGAGCCAGAATCATAAATGTAATGCTTGAAAATCAGGTCATCGGGATTTTGCCGTGGAAGAGCTAAGAAGAACTGACCTTGCGGAAGGTGCCCACATTAGATACACTATGTCTATGAGAGTGCGACCACTGCGCGTTCGATTTTGTCCTGTTTGTCAAGCGTTTTCAGTTTTCCCGGTTGATTTGCATGTTTTGTGATTCACCTAAGATCATAATACCTATAAAATCACGTTCCAAAAAGCGTATAGTCACGAATTTTGCGTCCAAAATACGCGCAAAGTGATATGTACGATCCATCCGTTCGTTTGACCTTCAACCTTGTTACGTCATATCCGGGGGGTAATACCTCAGGCAAAGCCATAATTTTCTCTACAGTAAACTACTAAACTCAAGTCAACTGTGTTCTTGAAGAGCTACTGGGACGAAGGTTATCTTGTAGTACTTTTGGATTTTTGTGATACAAATCAGCATTTGATGGCAAACACAGAATGTTTCTGTTGAAGCTAGAATCTTATTTATGGGCTATGCTTGTAATCTTTTAGACCAAGCAGGTAGGCCGCTTTTAAACGCTTGTCATCAAACGAAACAGCATCGTTCAAAATATTAATTTACCCAACGCATGTTTGTTTTACAAATACTTTTGCTTCAAATAATAGAGCTAGGACTTCTGTTTAATTTAATAAAAAGTATTTATTCACAGCATATAATAATATGTGTAATTTTAGCAGTAAATTGTTTGAAATCATGTTCTTGCTTGGCAATGCTTGTCGTTGAGTGATGGGGCCTGTTTTGTCTTTGACGCGTTTAGTGTCAGGAAAATGCATGTTTATTCCTATTTTGATGTCGAATATTCACGTAGGATTGTTTTGACTCCGTTTTCCTGTATTTATAGCCTTGGTTGATGTTTTACTTGCCTAGAAGGTTTATTTAAATTGGCAAGTACCGGCAGCAGTTTACTGCATATTTCGATATACGTGTCGCAGGGCGACATAATTGAAATTTCGCTACCTGTTTCAAAGCCACTTTTCAATCGCACACCACGTAAAATATTTGAAACGACTGGACTTAAAACAAGTGAAATGCACAGAGACTGAAATGGATTCACCAGGGTTTGTTACCATTCTAAATTATTTTTAATTTTCGTGAAAAACCGGCAAATATTTCTCTCATAATTCACTGGGCCTTGTCCCAAGAGACACGTGTTTGCTCGTGGCAATAAAACGAGTGACCCTTGTAAAAACATTCTCAGTTTTCCACATTTCATGTTGAAAAATAGCACGTTTACTAAACTTAATTATATTTATTTTTATTTTGACCTCTATAGACTCAAGAAAAACGTGGATATATCATCTTGAAATAGCAATATTTTGTCATGTCTGGTCGAGGTCGCCGGCATAGAAAGATAGATCTTAATAGAGCCACGGCTGAGGACTTGGCTAACATCTCAGGAATAGGTAAAGGAAAGGCAATAGAGATTATAGATATGCGTGAAGCTTTGGGTGGGTTTACCTCTATTGATGACTTGAGATCCATTCGTGGGATTGGTGTAGGATTTTTTGACATGAACAAAGACCTTGTTTATTGCTCTCCACGATCAAAATTACTAAATGATCCCAAGAGCAGTGGTAGTTCGAGAGAAGAACGTTCCAATTCAAGACGATCACTTCGGAACAAGCTAAATGATAGTGACTCTCGAAGTGAGGATACTGTTCCAATGAAACGGAAATTGAGCAAAAAGCCTGAAGCTGTTGTACCAGAAAAGCGACTTTGCTCAGATGCCAGTAAAGAATTGGGTAGCTGTAATAGTACCAATCATCCCATCCAAGAGCACCATACTAGTAATCTGACATGCCCCCCTGAAATTGAGAGTTGGTTACAAGTGTTTCACACATGGGCACAAGATAAGAAGAAACAAGCACTAGATGAGCTAATGGAGAGATGTAATCCTTCGATTATACGACATGTGATGTCCTCTATTGAACCAAGATTTCAAAGGGACTTTATATCATTACTACCCAAGGAACTTGCATTTTATGTTCTTGGTTTTTTGGGCCCAAAGGATTTGGTCCAAGCTGCTCAGACCTGTAAATATTGGAGGATTCTATGTGATGACAATCTGTAAGTGTCCATCTGTCAATTTTGTCAGGTAGTGAAATTTTTAGCGAGAAAGCTGATAAAGCAGTCATAGAGATAGCTGTAATACTGTGACAATTACTTTCATGCAAGGAATTCTACAGCATCACCTTGTAAACATGAGATTTGAGAAAAATTGAAGACACATCAGACATAGCCACATAAGCTATATTCACCCCTTGAGCTTGCTGTTAGATAAGAAATAACTAAAAATCTAGCACAATTTTTTTCTAGTTTATGGAAGGAAAAGTGCAATGAATATGGTATAGATGACGAACCCATTTTGAGTCAAAAACCAGCCAGACGCAAAACATCATCAGGCAGTAACAATCATGTTAACCTTGGAGTAAACCACAGTCCTTACAAGAATATGTTCCTCACAAAGCATAAAATTGCAATGAATTGGAGATATGGACCATTGAATGCTCATAAAATACTCAAAGGCCATGATGATTATGTCATAACATGTTTGCAGTTTAGTAACAATAAAATTGTTAGTGGTTCTGATGATCACACATTGAAAGTTTGGTCCGCCATCACAGGAAAGTGCCTACGCACATTATACGGTCACACAGGTGGTGTGTGGGCCTCGCAAATGGAGGGTAACCTGATTGTCAGTGGTTCAACTGACCGCACCCTTAAAGTGTGGAATGCTGATAGTGGGCAATGTATACATACCTTATATGGTCATACATCAACAGTGCGATGTATGGATATTCATGGAAAGGTTGCAGTCAGTGGGTCTCGGGATGCCACCTTGCGAGTATGGGATATTGAGGCTGGGACATGTTTGCATGTTTTGGTTGGTCATGTTGCTGCTGTTCGATGGTAGGAATATTAATATTTTTTTGTTATAAATTTCATGTTCTTTGCTCAAATTACAGCTATTACATTCTTTAAATCTAATAACATTGACTTTTCTAGTGTGAAATATGATGGGCGGAGAATTGTCAGCGGTGCTTATGACTATGTAGTGAAGGTTTGGGACCCAGAGACAGAGCAATGCATTCACACACTACAAGGCCATTCAAACAGAGTCTATTCCTTACAGTTTGATGGTGTTTACATTGTTAGTGGCTCTCTTGACACATCCATCCGTGTTTGGCATGTTGATTCAGGACAATGTCTTCATACGTTGGTTGGCCACCAATCTTTAACCAGTGGTATGGAACTACGGAATAACATCCTAGTCTCAGGAAATGCTGATTCAACTGTTAAAATTTGGGACATCACTACTGGGCAATGTTTACAGACACTTGCCGGTCCAAACAAACACCAAAGTGCTGTTACATGCTTACAGTTTAACAAGAAGTTTGTGATAACTAGCTCAGATGATGGTACTGTGAAACTGTGGGACCGCCTGACGGGTGAATTCATTCGAGATCTTGTAAAGTTGGATAGTGGTGGCAGTGGTGGTGTTGTGTGGAGAGTACGCTGCAATGAAACCAAACTGGTTTGTGCAGTAGGAAGTCGTAATGGGACTGAAGAAACAAAGTTATTGGTCTTAGACTTTGGCATTTCAGAGTAAGGATGGTGAAGTGAAGTATGTAAAATGTTTCAATTGTAAAATTAATTAATCTTTACAAGCCCAGGGATGTTTTGAAAAAAATAGATGCTACTAATTTGGTCTATATTATATACAATTCAAACTAATTTCAATTCTTAACCAATCTAAAAATATGCAAGTAGGTTGAAATCTCTTAATTTTATTATTTGCATATCCTTCGTAAGTAAAGATGGATATGTTCATAAGTTTAACTTGTGTAACCATTTAGGCTCATACTTAAAATAAACTAGGAAACATACAACAAATAGTTTAGCTTCAATTCTTATTCAAAAGAATTTTCAACAATAAACCTGTTATATAACCTAGAGGTTAGAGGTTTGTAATTGTAAATAAATTGTGTGAAAAATACCTTGTACAAAAAAGACTGTTAAAAATATAGCTCTAGAAAAGTATTGTATAATAATTTTGATAATATTAGAAAGACATTATCATAAGACAGAAACATTTGACTGTTGTAGGTAAAGTACTGCAGTTATTTTCTACTTGAGTCGCTTGACCTAAAAAATGACTAGATGCCAGTTGAGCAATAATTTAAAACCCTTGGCAGGACCAGGGTCTGTCAAAAGAAAATAAAAAACTGTGATAAATATTACATGCAGACTGAGACTAGCTATAGTGCTTATTATGCAATGATGATTGTTTTGGACAATAGAACTATTTTTGAAAAGGAGTCCATAATACTAATATTTGTTAATATTGTTTAGCAAATTGATATAGCACTGTATATCTAGTCAAGAACTAATTGTATGAAATAATATTTATGAACTTATATTAGCAATGTTTAATATAAATTGTACTTTAAATGTAGATGACAAAATGTCAAACTCATTTGTCAGGGTTGTGCGCAACATGTTACATTACTGTTAAATGGAAATTGAATACATATTTTTTAATATGGTGTAAAATGCTTGCAGTCTGACTCATTAAATGTTGAAGGTTTGGAGATAAAAATAATTTTTTGTAACATTCCCAGGATTTAGGTATTAGAAATTCGTCTGAAATTGTATGTTTCTGCTATTATTGTTCTCCAGAAAAACCATGTTATATAAGATGAAGAAGGTGCAATATACCATTAGTGTTACTTATAAAAAAATTACAAATGAATAAAAGGTTACAAAAAATATATTGTGCCCAAATTAAAAATTGATGCTACAAATTTTTCCAGAAAATACAAACTACTAATATCTTGCCCAAAGTAAAATTAAGTACAGTATATAAGATAGAAACCATAGTAAAAACTCCACTAGCATTACAAATTAATTTTACGATGACGTTTGGAAGAAAGCCCACAAAAATACCATCAATAATTACAATTTAAGGACACTTTAAAACAAAGGAATGAAATATATGCTTGGTAATCTGCTTGCTGCTACATGAAAAACTAATAAATATAAGGCAAAATAATGTATCTGTTTTTTGGATAATCCTCAAACTTCTGTTTGTACCAATCGTGCGTATTTTTAGCAGAAAAGGTAAGATTGGACACCACAAATATTATTATGAAAATCCATCTTGACCATTGTCCGTTCATAGCCAAAAATAATGCTATGTAAATTAGGATCTCAGCAAAATAGTGTGGCGCTGTTACGTGGTTGAACCAATCACCATAAGGAATTTTATAGATCTTTTCACCATCAGATGTCCAGGAGGTTAGCTTGCCAAGTACAGAATGACATTTATACTGATGATAGCTGGCCCAGGAGAAGAGAATAAATGCCAAACAATGCAACCATGAGACAGAGTGGTAAGGGTTCTGGCAGGACCTATACCAACCTTATGTAAAAAAACCCAGTCACTTCAGGTTCTACAGGGAAACAATTACTGGCCAACCATAGTGGCCAACCCACAAGGTAATTTTGAAGAATGTCTTAAAACTAATTTCTCATCACAATCAAAAATATTATACATACTTTGTGAAAGTGACTTGGGTATCTCTGCAACAACAGATAAGTTTACAAAGCAATAAAAAGCTACTGCTAACATGAAGTGGGCGAGGTGCATTTTACTTGAAAATGATGATACAAAAAGACTTTCACATAGCCTTCGAGTCAGTTGAATTGTTAGCAAAGCCAGGGTGTACAAAACTGAGAAACAGTCTTGCTGGGAAGGACTTGTTGTGAAAAGTCCAAATATGCCTGGGTATGAGGTATCTTCTTTGATTATAATTTGAAGAAATCTTGCCAACAAGAAAACATTCCATACAAGACCTAGTGCGTAAAAGTGCAGAAACAACCTGAAAAAAGAGCATTAAAATCAACAGTAAATAGTGTAATATACCATACCCAGGGAAAGTAGAACAAGGAAGGGTGATAACCTCCACAGATATTTTATGACTGTAAACATAACTAGCTCAAAAATAAGTGTGCTCCATCAATAAACATTGATAGTGGAGGGTTATTTTTGGGCTGTCTTATGTAAAGGCACCATTTTCTTAAATCATATTACCCCATTTGCATTGCCCTAATCTGTAAGCATAATGAAACATATTTCTATGACTGTATGCCAATCTCCATGCACATATTTAATGTATTTTGCCAAATATTTAAAGTTGCATAATTTACCTGTGTGGTATAAGCAGTAGTTTCCTAGTGCTATGCAAGTCCTTGTCTCCAGCTGGACTTATTTTACCATAGGTCACGATATCTTGCAAAAAGCCAGGTAGAAGATTCATAAAACTACCTGCAAGCACTATGATGAGGCACCCAACGTCAAAAAAGATCCAAATAGCGGTTAATGTATCCATTTTCTTTTTTTACAATTTGGTATGTTATAAATTTACATGTATGGTGCTACCCTCGGGCCTCAGAATCTCAGATATGTATCTGATTACTGATTAGCATAGTCACCAGTGCGGCACCGCCTATTTCCGTTCCGTCATGGTTTGTCCTTCGAGTACTAGTATAAACTATTTTTGGGTAAATGCGGCGTTCGAGTTTAATACTGTAAAGTCTGAGAGTTATTTGCCCGCCAGTTTTTTTCATAATTTTTAAATTTAGGCTTTTGAGCGCAGTGACCGAAAGCCGCAAAGGGAAAGAAGATAGGCGACATTTTTCTGTATTTTTTGGCGATCTCATTAGCCATGCGCAGTACACGTGGATTTAGCAACGATTATAAACAACATAAACAATGGCTGTCTGTTGGAGGAGTTAAATACTATTGCACATTACACAGGGCATTTAAAAACCTGGATCTATTTATGTTTTTCTTGTTTTAAAGATTCAAAAATGGTGTTAATGACAATGATTGGTCGGGCCAAGGACGGTCTGCCTTTGGCTGCTTCTATGCAAGCAGATGAACAAGTAGGTGGTCTGTGGTCTTTTATTCACCGGCTTATGATATCCTTTATAATTCGATATATATCGTACTTTTACTAACAGCAGTTAAAGTATAGTTATGTTTGCATTGTTGTAACATAAAATACGTCTAACTAATGCCTGTTTAAATACAATTTGTTAATTTTGCAATTCAACCATATTTCATCCACCACAACTCTATTTTCATTTTGCCCAATATACATCTATCTCCCTGGACCAGTCTTATCAAAGGGAGATGATAGTGCATGGTGTTAATTTGTTATTTATAAAAGTTTGCAAATCCCAAGACGGTCAAATATAAGTTACAGTCCATTTATGGACTAATTCAGCTTAGTTGAGGTTCATTAGTACAAAGTATCAGATTCTCAAGCTCTAGGCCTTCCTACTGCCTTATATTAAAAAGTGGCTTTAAATTTTCTTTTACAAACAATATTGATTTTATAGTCTGGGAGAGAGTTCCAAGATTACCAAGCACAAGCAAAACAAATTTTTAGAAAACTTAGTGATCGCTCACCTGCTCGATGCAACATTGAAACTGGGAGTATGATGTTTCAGTAAGTGTTGTCATGTTTTTTTGTAATACAGGACTTAGCGGAGTCATTTTAATAAGTAGATGCAATTTTTAACTCTTTTACTGTGTCCACTTTCTAATTATATTGATCTTCCAGTTATATTATAGAAAATGGTGTATGCTACCTCACCCTTACAGAGAAAATGTTTCCAAGCAGATTAGCCTTTGGTTTTCTTGAAGATATAGCTAAAGAATTTTGGAAGTTAAATAGTTCCGAAATCCCAACTGTTGTTCGACCGTATTCATTTATTGAATTTGGTAGGTTATCTAAGATATCATGTGTCCAGTTTTCCCTGTAGTAAGACTGGAGCAATAAAAAAACTCAATGGAAGAAGAAAAATATGCGTAAAATTGATAATTGCTTAACTAACAGATGTCAGTTAGATGTTAGGTACTAACAGATTCTAAGCTACAGCAAATTATGTTGAATGTTGTTTCTGTAAAAGTGTAGTTAGTATATATGTTTGTTTGTCTCATAAACAACATTCTCAATAATTTCATGATGTGAGCCAGGGTTTCGCAATCAAAGGAAATTGTATTAAGGCACTGAGCTATCCAAATCTAAATGGGTCATGCATATATGGATTATTGTAACATTTATCTAATATTGATTTTTTTGCAGATAACTATATTCAAAAAACAAGAAAAAATTTTATGGATTCCAGATCTCGAAGAAATATAAATAGACTTAATGACGAGCTACATGATGTGCAAAGGATCATGGTACAAAATATAGACGAAGTTTTACAAAGAGGAGAAGCTTTGTCAGGTAAAATAGCCATTTTACATTTTACATCATCACTATCTGCAGAGTGAGGAACCCCCTATAATAGAAGGAATTCGATTCTATTGTTTGCTACCAAATAGAAGAATAAAAAATCTTACAACATGTAATCAGGATACAAAAGCATTTGGTAGCATTAATGAATCTGCGTTTAATCTATATTTTAATTCTGTCCTGTTGATGACTAGAATACAGTTGAAATGTAGGTTTATTAAAACTACAAAATTTTTTTTAGAGTTACTGTTCATTTGTATTTTAAGTGGCTCCTGTAACTATTGGCATAATCAGAATAGTGCAATTAATTCAATTTTTTTTTTCACCTAATTGCAGTAAGTTACAGAAACCGTTCATTCATTTATAACTTTTCGTTTCAGAGTTAGATGACAAGGCTGGCAAACTGAAATATCAGTCTGGTAAATACAAGTCTGACGCGCAGTATTTAAATTTACGAACTGCGTATGCTAAATATGCAGCGGTTGCAATTGTCATAATCATTTTCATAATTTACGTTAGATATTGGTTGTTTTAAAAGTCTATTTCTCTTCGTCACAAACCAGACCTAACAATTGCCAAAAAGATATCGATAATATTGATTAGATATATATGTGAGTTGGAATAGATAATACCAACACATACCCTCATGCATGCATGCATATAATGTCATTATCAATGTGACATACTAGGTCTGATACAGATCTAGCACGAATTTGTTACAATATTTTAATTTGAAATTGAGTTATTTAGGTTAAGAACCAGTTCTTAACTTCAACTGCTGCACTTTTTGCAGTCAAATTGTAGTTGATTCCAAATCCTTGATTTCGATTGGTCGATTTTAGAAAACTTGACCAAAACTTCCGGAAAGTCACTGTTTCTCTTTTGGCAGCAAATTTCTTACAAATTTCTCAAAACGAAAATTTCTTACATGTGTACTTCTCTCCTAAACTTTCCATGGAATAGTTTCTTAAAATGTCAGCTACTAATTATTTGTTTGTGCTGATAAACAGATTAATTTATTGTGAGAGTCAAAAGTCCGAGTGCTATTTTCGACCGCTATGCGGTATAGATTGATGTTAGGCATCTGATCGCGCTTATTCTGAATTTCACTCGCATTCACAAGGTGATGTTATTAACAACAGTAATTCTAAATCTCCTATAAATTATGCTGATTTTGGTTATACAGCTATACACGTAGAGAAAGAGACAGTGACAGATTCGCTTTCAATCAGTTTCACAATCAATGACAAGATTTGGAAAAAACCGTTGTCCCATAAATGAGAAGGAGGTTTCGTGTGAATGTAGGTAAACGTATCTGGAAATTCTTTCCGATAGTTCGTCCACTACTGTATAAAAGGAAAAAAACTTTTATTCAATGTATAGCGGGCGGATTATCGTTCATTATTCGATGACGTCACTTCTAACGTCACTACTAACGTCCAGTGTTTACTGATCTATAAATAAACCTTCCTAACATGAATGAACCCATTATCAGATACCTTGTCGTGGACATCACGTCAAACCGTTATTCACAAAATTATTGTAAACAAATTTATAGAATTATATTAAAGTTAACGCAATCTTTAATTAGTTATCTGCTTGCTTGTTATCTCCGCCGCATTTTTCCGGATCATTACAACAACTCTCTCTTTCCGGAAAACACTCATGTTGATCAGGGCCGGGGGCTTTTTTGAGAATTTCACAAAACCCAACCAAACGAATTGATCAGTGGGGCATGTAAATGTTTTTGACAGAGAAATTCAAGTGAAATGTAATACCAGTTGCGGAGGCGCTATATGACAGACTTTTCTATTAAAGTACCCGTTCTTGGCGTTCTATTTCTGATTTGGACAAAAATTCCACTCAGACGTATATAAACATCAATATATAATTGGGACACTTCGTAGAAATTCTTTTCCAATTTTTGAGAAATACTTTTCTAAATTTCTACGTATTCGGGACTGGACTGGTTGGCGGTATTGAAACGTTACTCGACTCCTTGCAACCAATGGATGCTGTAGTCATACTTCGATTGCAAGCCAAGAAACATTTGAATCTTAAAACGTTGGGTAAATTTTTATCGCATTCTACCAAATTTGGGCAATTTTTACTTAAATCATAGATAAATCTAGGAAATATTCGTATGCGTTGTTCGGGTAATTTTTGCGGAAATTTTTCGCCTGTCTACCAAAAGTTTAAGTCCGTACGCCTGTGCAGAAGGAAATAAAACTAGAAATACATGCATGCAGCAACCCCTCGCTATTTCAAACCAAGTACACAATTTCCTGAGTTAACCTGACCTAAACTTATATTATGAAATGACACAAAACTCAAATTAGTCTTATTATATTTTACCGAGTATATTATAGCTAATGTTTCCATCATTGAATACAAAAATATTAAAATAATCATAAAGCTAGTGTAAACATTGCCCGTTCAATTTTGCTGCATTATACCATGCCAGCAATTAAGTAACGGTTTAAAATCGAAGTTTCAAACGGTTAAAACAGTACAAAATCTTCACAGACAAAGAAAAAACTTCAAATGTTATTTTATTCTGTATTTTGCAGTCGACGCCGGCGGCTAAAAGTTTTATACTTTATAAATATAGTGTGTATTTTTTATACCAAAATTCAAATTACACTTTCAAAAACACTTTTTGAAGTTAAAGCAAAGGTGTAATAGCCTTTCACAGGTTTATGCGTTTGCATAAAAAGCTGAAAATTTAACAATAACAAATAAACGGCATACAAAGCTGAAAAGTATACGAATACGGCTCATTCTTATCGCGAAACAAATACCAAATAAACAAAGTAAACACGTACCCTTTGAAAACATTTATAAGTTTGCAGATTATGAATTACTACCATTTGCGTTCAAGCTTGCGGCGTGCGATTTTAAAACGTACGTTTCACGTTTCAAAACGTAGGTTTGCCGTTTCAAAACGTACGTTTTGTCACGCCCCCTTTCATGTTTGGGTTATTTGTAAATACGGTTTTAAAATACTGAATGCAGCTATTTGAAAAGAGAAAATTGCGCATATATAAGTTTACTTTTCTCACAGAATAAGGTTCCATTTGTAATTCTTGTAAAACACTTCCGCAAACGTTACAAATGTAATAAACCTATTTTTGGATATTAGCTAAGTTCGTTTGAACTTCAAAAACATGTCAATTTCATTGTCTAAACATGGCAGGGGGCGTAACAAAACGTACGTTTTGAAATGGCAAACGTAACGTTTTGAAACGTTAAACCTACGTTTTGAAACGTGAAACGTACGTTTTAAAATCGCACGCCGCAAGCTTGAACGCAAATGGTAGTATTCCTCTTACACGGCTTTGTCTTGACTGTATCCACGTTCATCTTTGCTAACTGTCATGCTTCATATATCTTGTTTCTTCTCGTTTTACTTTCTTTGCACAAAGTTTATGAAACGCTTTTACAAAATGTTTACGAAATGACAGTTAATATAAATTGCTGACGTTCTCATTGAAATACAAACTTTCTGTCTTAGCCAATCAGAACGTTCGTTGATTACCAGACGTTACTCGCGCATGCGCATAACTTACAAAACCACCCAACGTCGACCGTCCATGACAAAGAATTTGGACAACTTTGGATTCGCCTTATTCTACCGGGTTCCGGGTGTAATTCCTAATCTCCGAGCGGAATTAGTACCCTCGCAGGCGCTCCGCGCCCGCTCGGGGATTATCAATTTTCCTGTTCCAAGAAATCCGTAGAAACAGCAAAGCCTATCTTTAAGTCTTTCATTAATTCCAAGTGACAGTAATCTTTTTATTATTACTTTTATGGTTTACAGAAAGAGTTTTCTTGTCAACTGTCAAGCGATGATGGTTTCCAGGAAGGAGAACCCTGGGAACGAATAGTCGAATGCTGTGATTTGCCAATCAGTATGAAATTTGAATACTGAAACAAAAACATGTGTTCTTGATGGATATTTGGAAATAAATAATTTATTTATTTAATTGTTTAACAATGTATAATTAATCAACAAGGGAAATTGCTACCAAATGGTTAAAGGTTTATTCATCGATCAATGAAAATAAATACCTCGATAATAGTTTATTTGGTTCAATGATCTTGTACTATTAATTGGTCAATGGTCATCTGTTGTTCCACATTTGATTTCACCAGAATCTCTTAAATTTTAACATGATTGTGGCATCGACAGTATCGATACCTTCCCCAGATAATACTGATTTTGGATAATACACTGTGTTTTACAATAAAGGTGAAGAATGAAGTTAATTCTATTTGTTTTCAATATAATGTTGTATAAATTGGCTCTATACTTGAAATATGAGTATGTTCAATATTTGTGCAATATTGAACTCAAACATATCGTATGTTTTAATATCTTGTTATTATGTGGAGTGACGATTAAAATTCAAACACATGCAGTATAGAAATACGACAGTTTGTATAGGGTTGTGGGTATCTGTTCAATGTGTAAGTAAACAGGTATTGGTATAACTATCATAAGCTATCATGTTACATAGCCAATATAATATAATATTATATTCTGGCACAAGGTATCACTTGTCAAAACAGAGCTAGCAGGAGCTCTCAATGTTAAGCAGCTGCTCAATGTTATAAATTATCATTATGTGTGCATTGTAATAATTTGAAACTTTTATCAATTATCTATTCTGGTATATTCTTAATTTGTTTGCATATGACATCATCATCTGTCATCAGGTGCCATCTTTATTGATTCCACAAAGTTTTTTCTTTTTTTCTGTGTCTATCATATTATTGGGTAGCTATAATAAAATAAAGCAACAATAACAATTATAATTTATACACACATTTTAAAAATCTGCCAAGATTGCAGCAATTGCAAACCACCAAATAAAGTATTAAAATTATAGAATACATTTACTGTTGCCAAATTTGATAATATACTGGTACATAGTAATTATGAATATGATTTTGCACATTGGAATAATAGTGATACACAATAAGGCAATGCAAATATATGTTAATTTGAAACTTCTTTGGACATATATAGCTGATGTTTTTATTTTTTTATCAAACAAGGTCATCCAAAATGTCATCAGTGAAGGTAGCAGTGAGAGTAAGACCTATAAATAGGAGAGAGTTGAACCATAAAAGTGAATGTATAATTCAGATGGTTGCAAATAAAACTGGTATGGATCAATCATGGTTTAGTATTTAGTTATAAGTTAGTTAATTATTACATAAATAAATATCATTCTACATTCTTGTTTTGTAGCAATAACAAATCCTAAAACAAAACAAGCAAAGACTTTTAGCTTTGACCACTCATTCTGGTCATACTCTGAAGTGAGTGAATTCGTGTTCATATGTTTGCAAATATAATTATTTCCTCCACTGTTATTTCTGCATGTTTTAAGTCATTTCTAGTAGCTTACGTTCAACCATGATTAACAGTTAATCACCAATGTCATATGATTGTAAACTAGTAACTATTGTCGTATAATGGTCAACTATGTATTTTGTACCATTGTGGTATGATGGCCAACTACGTATTTTGTATCATTGTCATATGATGGTCGACTACGTATTCTGCACCATTGTGGAAGCTACTTCATTAATGTATTTGATTGTTGCAGAATGATGAACATTTTGCTTCACAACAGAAAGTTTACTTTGACGTTGGTCATGAAATGCTGGAGCATGCTTTGGAAGGGTAAGAGATGATAGAATCATACACAAAAAAATGCGTGTTGATTTTTGGTTTCTGTATACACAACTCTTTCTTAAAGACCTCTCAAATGACTTTTCTCTCTTCAATAAGGCAGCCAAAAGTGAATAGCCAAGCCTCTCTGAGAGATTACTGTAGTTAATATTCAGTAATCTTCTCTACTATAATAACTATTGAATAATGCTGATTGTTGATGGTTTTTTACTTAGGTACAACATATGTATCTTCGCCTATGGACAAACAGGTTCTGGGAAATCTTACACAATGATGGGGATGTCTGAACAAAGAGACAAAGGAGTTATACCACAAGTAAGGCAAAAAAGTCGGCGCTTGGAATATGTATTATTCTTTATGACGAGATTTTGCTTAAAAAATTTTTTTGTTATATTAGCTGTGTGAAGAGCTCTTTGAAAGAACAGAAACAATGGCTTCTGAGTGCGAGGAATTATCGTTCTCTGTCGAGGTAAGGTAAAATATTAGGTATCTTCTATGATAACAAGGTTTGACCGTTTGAACCTGCCGTTTCTTATGTACATGCAAACGCTGTATAAATAGATCTAATAACTAAAAATAGGTACGCAATGCGTACATGTGGGTAGCCTCTAATACATTTGCAAATCATTGGCTGCGATGAAGCTATGGTTTGGCAAAAAAATTCAAGTTTGATTCAATGTCAAATTACAGGCTGCTATAGTGGCGAGTCAATATAAACTAATGCTTATAATTTTACTTTCTAATGCCATATATTAGCCAGTCGAATTCACGAAATCGATTTTTTTGCACAATATATTTAAATTTTTTATTGTATTAATTTAAATACATTTTTAACGACAGAATAATAACATATATAAAAACATATTTACAAAAGATAGGAAATGCATGGTTTTTAAAAATAGAATAGGTGGACAGAACAAAAAAAAGAGTAAGGTTCTAGAGTGGTGGTACAAATCATCTGATAACATAAAGCTTAGTTTGGAAGGAGAGAAAGATTTTTTAACGTTTTCAAAGTACTTTTGTTTTATGCCGCTTAATTATTTATTAGCTAGCATATCGGATGTTATTGTTCCTGTACGAATTCAATTTGACAGCCTTCAACAGCATTGTGCATCAGCTCATAGCTAGATGTTCCACAGATGACTCGCTAGATCAAATGACACCAGAAAAGCTCATCAATCAATTGATAGCAGACATTGATTAACTGGACATTGTTTATGACACTATCCAGAAGAAAATCATTTAACTATCCTAAAAGTTATGTTTATAGGAACTGCACAGTTACATAAAATAAACTAAAACAAAAAAAGTATAAAGTTCTGTTAAATTATGTTAAAGCTTCCTAGTGACAATTGACACTTGTTATTTGACAAAATGATATATATATATATATATATATATATATATATATATATATCTTATTTATATATATATCCTAGGTCTTGATTTGAATATATTATCAGTAGTTTACATACACATATGTTTCTACAATACACACATTGTCTGTGAGTTTAAACTAACTTGAGTAAAATTTTTATATTAATTATATGTCTAAACATGGAATTTTGGGAATGGGACTTTTGCAATGACTATATTGGTCTTCGATTACTATTTTTCTATACAACCTGATCTATCAAGTCCCTTGCATTTTAGATATCTCAGCCATTTCCTTCCATCACCAGTAGTTAAGGGGAGCTGACACATTTTCGATCCATGTGTTACATTTTTCATGAAACTGTAGCATAATTTTTGCCAGTTTCATTCAAAACTGAAGCACAACTTTTGCCAGTTTCATCCAAATATTATAAAGAAACTAAACCTTGAGATCTTGTTATAAATCAATATGTTCTGTTTGTATCGCTGTTCCACTGCTTCGACATGCTATTTGTGAATTTAAGCAGAATTCCTTTGCTCAATTTTAGTGTTTACAGGAAGCATAATTTAGCATTTAATATTTTGATATTTTTGAAGCAAATGGAATATAAATATTTCATATTCAAAAAATACAAATGTGTGCATATTAACATTTCCATGTATGTACAAGTCATTAAATATATACAAGGTATTAAATATGCAGGGTGTATCAATATCCGCTCTGTTTTACAATACAAAAGCCATTTTAAATATCCATAGGCCTAAAATCTATTATGGTTTAGCCCAAACGTTTTTAAATTTAACTATTTGAAATTAATCAACAAATGAAATGGGCGATATAAGCAAGTTTTAATACTTATGCTGTGTTACCTTTGGAAATCATATACAATTATATATGGATAATAAATAGCATGCCAAAAGTACTTACGAATCAATAAATATGTTCCCCCATGCCAAAAGTACTTCGACTGAATCAATAAATATGTTCCCGAATTCCAGAAATCGTATGTCAGTTCGTTTCGGTAATGCGACAATCACCGAAGATGTCAACAAACACTAATAGTTCATAATCGTGATCGATCGTGATCTGTTCACTTATCCGACGATTTCCGAAGATGTGGACATTTAGACGGACGCGGACACTTTTCAGCCAACATAGTGGTTAGCCGCGCATGCGCAGCGGCTACCCACAAAAATTAATCCGTTTTAGGTCAGCTACATAGAGATATATTGTGAACACGTTCGCGATTTGCTCAATCCAAAAAACAGAGGGAATTTACGCGTCAGGTGTGTATTTATATTACTGTAATAAGATCTCAAAAAGTTTTGATCGTGATGTGAATTTAAAAAGCAAAGCCATCGTTTTTGTGATCCCAGTAAGAGTTTGGAGATAGGTAAATTTGGATAATGACTGAATGAATAAATTATCAAGGAATTCCTGCAAAATTCCCCTCTTTTTTTAGTAGTACAACTTTACACAAACTTAAAAGTTGTAGCAATCAATCGAGATGATTAACACGCATTTCTCTGTTTCTAAGGGAACATCCTATCATGGGACCTTACGTTGAAAGTCTTTCAAAACTCGCGGTCACTTCATTCGCTGATATCAACGACTTGATGGATGAAGGAAATAAAGATAGGTAATAAAATTGAACTTTACTTTCGATTCATTGTTAAGTAGCTACAATTTTTTTAAAGATACCATACAAATTATAAGATTTTGTTTCATTAATGTATGGGCTAGAAAGTTGAATTATGTAGAAAGTAATATTCCGAGTTTCTTGAGTAGAGTTTTTACCCCTTGTTTTAGAACTGTTGCAGCGACAAATATGAACGAAACTAGCAGTAGATCCCATGCAATTTTCACGATAATTCTCACACAGAAAAGGTACAAACTTTTGAATAAATTTGTTTCAACAGAGACAACAAACATTTTTCCAAACATCCCAAATATCTCGTGGTTTTTTATAGATATGATGAACTTACAAAATTAACAAGCGAAAAGGTACGGTAGAAATTTAGGTTTCATGGTTCACGAAGTTCGTTTCGGTTCAAAAGGGTTTCGAGAAAAGAGTGTTTAATTGGTTTTATGATAATTATTTTGCATTATTTATGTGAACAGGTCAGCAAACTGAGTTTAGTTGATCTCGCGGGAAGCGAAAGAGCAAGTGCCACAGGTGCAGAAGGATTTCGTCTCAAGGTATGGCAGTGTAGGCACAGAAATTTCGATATCTTTCGAGTAATTCTTCCACAAAAACCTTTCCCATCTATGGTGTTACCGGGAAAACCATTACTTCAGTACATACCCGTTGTCATTATCTATAAACCTAAATTGTAGCCTGAGCTCAGCAACGGTCGCTATGTAGTTCAGCTAGTTAAAAAGGCAACAATTGAATCACAGAGCCGCAAGTCAATCCTGACAAAGGTCGTGGTGGGTTTTTTCCCAACTACTTCCTGTTAGATCTAAAGTATTCCATCTATAAAAACACTCTTCTATAAGAGTGCAGCCTGCCATGCAGGATGCAGCCTTGACTCATGTAGACCCACGCAGACAGGACGCAATTTTTCAAAGATTTTTATTTTCCTAAAGCAAATAAATTTTAACCTATCATAAGATTCTTGAAGATTACGTTGCGATAATGCATTTTGAATGTTCTGGCGTCCATGTATAGATTCCAGAAATTTTGCTTCCAGAATTTAATTCATATGTTTCTGAAAACTGAAAACTCTCGTCGCGTTGCCGTATCGCGTCTGTCGACTTTATCGGCTCGCCAAAATATGATCAAGTACAGCTTGATAACTGTACATTAATTCTGTTGTTTCACTTGTATGCTTTTATAAACTAACTTGTTCTTATTTTGCCTAAAATCCTTTATAGGAGGGCGCAAATATCAACAAATCACTCACAACTCTGGGAAAAGTTATTTCTGCCCTGGCCGAACAGGTATTGTAAAAATATTGTTTAAACTCACATCTCTTTTGCTAAATTGTTATCGCTTAATTATTTTTATCGTGTTGTGGTGCAGTCAAGTGGGAAGAAAAGGCGAAGATCTGATTTTATTCCTTATCGGGATTCAGTCCTCACTTGGCTTCTTAAGGAAAATCTAGGTATTGTATGCCCAAGAAAACATCTATAAATCGTTTCATCACTAGTACTGATAGTAAAACCAGATCCAATTGTGCAAAGCAATATTGGAAGGTGTTTTCAGGTGTAATCATACCAAACCCTGATTCAACGTGATAACTTTGTCCTTTGGGAAGTAGTTAACACGAAATTCCTGTTAATATTCAGCAGATTGCATAAGAACTAAGACAATTGCAAAATCATACATGCAGTGATGGCATAGTGTTAATTGCACACACACAATGTATCAATAATATACATTTGCAGTTTGCTACATCAATAGCCTCAACTTCTCTCTTATACTTGTTTTTTTTTCTTTGTATCAAAACACATGCAGCACTAACTGCCACAACGTAAGCTATTGACATAAATGATAATGAATATTCTGTGAAACGATTGATCTTTTTTTTTCTCCGTCAGGTGGTAATTCCAAAACAGCAATGATAGCGACTTTGAGTCCAGCAGATATTAATTTTGAAGAGACGCTCAGTACCTTGAGGTAATTGTTCTAAATCGATTAATCATGCAATGAAATAAGTTGCTCTGTGATCTGACATTCTACCCAATGATGACATTCTACCCAATGATGACGTGAAACTAATCCGGCGTGGACGGGATCAAATACTATATCAGGGCGTGTCTCGACGAATTTCAAACTAATAGATTAACCTTTTGATTATTTGAAGTTTATACATTTTCACGATCTCGTATCTCGTACTGTTTTTACGATATAGATACGCCGATCGAGCGAAGCAGATTGTTTGTAAAGCTGTTGTTAATGAAGATCCAAACGCAAAGGTGAAATATAATATCATAGCCCTGCATTATCCTACAAGAATGCTGTGATCTAATGCGGTGTCAAACTTAAGCCTTTTTAGTCAGAGATATAAATTGTTTCGTTGTGAATTTGAATAGTAGGTTGTGTATGTAAATAAGTAAATGTCACATTAAATATTTGGCATATGATTTACCGTTAACCCGAACTTTAAGCCTTGCAAGGTCAGACATGGGAATATTTAAGTTGTGTTTTCTAATAGTCGGACTGCTCAATTCACTTATGCCAAACTTGTGCCAATGTCTAGATTATCAGAGAATTGAAAGAAGAAGTGTCAAAGTTGCGTGATTTGATTCAAAGAGAAGGATTAGATCTCGAGAAAATTGAAGGTACTTGTAAGCGTCTTTTGTTTCACCGAAAGACCGTTGATGTAGTTTAGCCCATGTGCTGTTGAACAACCTAATGTTATTGTTAAAGAGATTTACAGGTAGTTTTGTCAGCCTGAAAACTGGTACAGCCATAGATGTGTCATCCATGAAACCGTTTTAATTAGTCCTTAAATGGAATGGGGAATTTTCCTAGGTCTCAGCAATATTGGAGAAAACAGACGAAGCAGCGAGACAAATGAAGATATAGCTGCTTTGGAATCTAAACTAAAGGTACACATTCCTGTAAACTGAATAGTTAAATGTTTCATATTGACAAAAAAATATCATATTATCCAGGAATCTGAACGATTTGTTGCTGAGCTTACTGAAACCTGGGAAGAAAGGTTAAAGAAAAGCGAAGCAATCAAAGCAGAAAGGTAGTTGAATTACAGTCGGGGCCACGTCTATCACTGTGGGGAGGGGAGGGAGGGTAAACTGACCGAATTGTATAAATTAGCTATGAAGGTCTTTGGCGCTATGATTGACACCGACGCGTTTTTTCATTAATCGTAAAAGGATTAAGGTCTTTGGGGGTCTACGTTTTCTAAGTTTTTGTATTTGTTTTCGTCTTCTCATCCAGGGAAGCGATGTTGGCTGAAATGGGAGTGGCTCTTGGAGAGGATGGCCATAGTGTTGGATTATTTCAACCAAAAAAGGTAAGATTCAATTAAGTTGAGATGTCATGTATATATTGTACTCGCTGCATGGTATACATACAGTCGCTGATATTTTTTAGGATCCTTACTTGGTTAATCTTAATGAAGATCCTCTTATGTCAGAGTGTCTACTGTACTATATTAAAACTGGACTAACAAGGTGTGACATGAGGAATTAACAAAGTCCCTAATATAAAATGTAATAATCTGATATTATAGCATAGTCAATGACACTTGTTTGTGATTTTACTTTCTTATATATGTATATATAGTGTTGGTTGTGCATCTGGTGTTGTCTCTCAACATATCAGACTTAATGGAACAAACATTCAAGAACAACATTGCACACTCAATAACGAAGAAGGTTTAAACATTTTATTCAATTTTTTTGTCTTCATCTATGAATTTTGAAGAACGTTCTGGAAATCGCACGATACTCAAATAAAAACTATGGAATATGGTGTCATCTCTCTCATAACACGAGTCGTTCAATCTGGTTAATTATCAACGCCTCTTTCATGATTTATTAACAGGAAACGTTAAAATCATTCCAATTGAGGATGGAAAAACATTTGTCAACGGAAAACGAATTACGGAAGGTGTCTTATTGCAGTCAGGTAACCTTTATTGACTAGCTTTAATAAGTTGAATGCCGTATAGATACCTAGCATACCTTTCTAGCATATAGTACCCATTTTATTTAGGTGACAGAATTATCATGGGAGAAAGTCACATATTCAGATTTAACAATCCTGAACAAGGTGCAGCTAACGTTTAATTTAATATTTACTTGAATTTTTTTCCATAATTTCGGTTCTTTTTCCAATAATTTTGCAGTCAGGATTGCTGTATCGGATGACAAATGTCTTGTGCAAGGTGAGAATTGCACGAAAATAGAAAACATTTGTTTTTTTGCAAAGAATAATGATTGTATAACAGATTATTTTGGGGGAAGGAACTGGTGTGATGTATTTTTTTACCTTTTACAATTATTTGTAGAAAGTTTATTGAAGCAAGAGGGAGCAGTCTTCGACTGGTCTTTTGCTTTGCAAGAACTTCGCAGAGAACAGGGTGTTGATGATGCAAGGTTTGTCCATTGCGGACTGTCTAATTTTGATAATGGAAAACCACCTGAGAACATGATCATCATAACCTCGGTTTTACAGAGTGCTAAAGTTGGAAGAACAAATTCAACAAGAGAAAAAGGCAGCTGATGCATTATTGAAACAACAAAAGCAGGTTCGGCCATTATCTATATCATTTAACAACCGAAGTGTTAAACTTTACGGAAATATCGAACATTAATATAATATTCTCGTCTAAATTCAAACAAAGTTCAATTTTTCCAGTGGTATGTCTTATCTCAGAAGTCAGAAGAAATTTGTTTTGAAATAGCAAGAACGATTTCGTTTAAAGGTTTCTCTCATCGGCTGCTTCATGCAGTTTAATGCGATGCTTAACTTCCCTAAATTCACTAACAACATTATGCCGTTTTCTGGTATAAGATAGGGTCTGTTTAGTAACCATTAGTTTTCCTTTTGTGTGATCACATCAAATGGGTTTAGGGATTTTGATTATAACTTTTTTATCCCTAGACATATGAATCAAAACTTGAAGCTCTTCAGAAAAAGGTAAAGCAATAAAGTATACATTTAATGTTTAGTAAATATAGAAATATATATACCTTCTTATATCCTAATATGTCTACAGGTCGATTTATCTTCCCCTCCCTCGGTGGAAACATTAACAAGCACAAGTGAAAATGATCTGGACAGTTCCACAAGTGGTTAGTGCAGCATATTTACTAAAACTATTATTTTTCTGCAACTAGAACATTGATAGAAATTGTTTTATTTTCGAACTAGCGGGCGCCGAAGCGTTCAATTGGACCGAACGAGAGGAATATCTCGCCCGGTTAGCCGTGGAAAAGTGGAAAACATTTCATTTCGTATCGCTGAAGGTATGCGGACTTTTACGACTTTTTCTCGGCAAAAAGAAGAATCTCTCCAAAAAGAATATAATGTACATTTTTATAATTTTACTATAGGAAGACATTCTCAGACATACAGTGTCGTTAAAGGAAGCCAACGTGATTAGTTTGGAACTGAAGAAAAAGGTCAAAAATAGATCAAATTAGTCAATTATCCATCCATACCTAATATGTAGCTTGGTCAGTTTAAATTGCTTTCCTTGGGCCGGTTGTATAAAACATTTTAACTACATTTTGCATAGTTAAATCCTAGTTAACTCAGAAGCACACGACTCTGATTCGCCAATTCTGTCCTTAACTACAGTTAGAAGTTAACTATTCTTTATACAACTGGCCCCTGGAGGTCAAACAAAAAGTCATTCCGGGAATGATGAAGGTTTACTGTTTGAGGAAAGCAAGTTGCCAGTTTCTACTGTGTTTCGTGGAGTCAGATTCAAGTCTGATAAATAAGTAACCCCAATGATTGTGTTGTGTAAACTAGAGCATAACAATAATCTCATGCTTCAACATTAACCGTTCATGTTTCTTCCATAATAATAACAGTTTCTTTAATATTCAGGTGAAATTTCAGTTTGTCATATTCGCTCAGAACGACTACTTCAATATTCCGGACGCTGTGGATCAAGATCTGGAACCCAGGTCTCCTCGTACAGTACTCGCCGTTGAAGTTTCAGATAGTAAGAATGGAGTGATACATTTTTGGAGTCTGAAAAAGTTTAGGTAACTGATCTTAATTTTCACTGGATAACTTTATCATTCCTAGTGGAGTTGATTCCCTATTCGGTCAGCCGTACTACAGGGAATAATCTACAGTGTACATAGAAATTGGTAGTCATTCAAAATGGCTTTTTTAGGCTAAGGTTGAAAATGATGAAAGATCTTTACAATAATATTGCCATGGCAACTGAGCAACGAGATGGCGAAACTGATGAGCCGTTTTATGATGATTTTCCCTGGTTTCGTTTGATTGGCAGGTTCGGTAACTTTTAAGCTGTTTTACTCAGAGGAACTGTAAGAGACCACCATTGTCGTTGCATACATATTTACTGCTGGTTTTTCCTACAGATCATTTGTGTATATGAGGCACTTGTTCTATGGTACATCCCTGGATCAGAAAGTTCCAATCATCAACGAAAGATCAAACATTTTGGGAACCTTGCTTGTAAGAATTGAGCCGATTGCAGGCGACGAGAGCTCGGAATGTGATAAAAGTTTCCTTCCCAATGTAGCTTGGATCACCGGAAAAAGTGAGGTAGTTCTTATTGGAGAATGTTATAAGTCTGATAACTCTGCTGTGATTTCGTGTGATTGTTCTTTTTGGTGGAGAAATTGAATTCCTGAGTTGTTTTTAACAACAGTGAGTAATAATGAATTACAGGAGCAAGAATGCTCAGACATGGACAGCGTTGACAGTCACCATGAAGATCGGCTGAGAATTGGTTCAACTTTAGTTCTTCGTGTTACAATTTTGGAAATGCTTGATGTTCCCCAGGAATATAATGATGTCTTTTGTCAGTTTAAGTAAGTTGGGTGATACGCTTCTGGACTTTGGGTAAAGCCTTTGCTATACAACGGATGAAGAGCTGTATGGTTGAGTTCCAGGTTTCATATCAATCTTCATATGACTTTGTATGTTTATAGGTTTATATCGTTGGCGGGAGAAGATAACACGTTTTCATCCGATATTGTTCACAACACACCTTCACTACTCAGTGAAGTGACTGTTCTTTCTCAAGATGTACGCTTATTTGTGTCCTTTCCGCACGATACCGCATTATCAGGGCTATACAGTACATATCACATACTGTCTGTATATGCTACCATATCACGTCATACCTTATCACGCTATACCTTATCAAGTTATAGTTTATCAGACAATACCTCATCACACCATACCTCATAACACCATACCTCATTGCACCATACCTCAACACACCATACCTCATCACATCGTACCTCATCACACCATACCTTATCGCACCATAATACCTTATTGCACCATACCTGATCACACTCTACCTGATCACACCATACCTCATTGTATTACACACCTCATTGCACCATCCCTCATCACACTCTACCTGATCACACCATACCTAATTGCACCATACCTCATTGTACCATACCTCATCACACTCTACCTGATCACACTATACCTCATTGCACCCCACCTCATTGTACCATACCTCATCACACTCTACCTGATCACACCATACCGCATTGCACCATCCCTCATTATACTATACTTCATTACACCATTGAACAACTTTTCACCAGATAGGTGTTGTGGTCTCCTCTGCATTTCTTGAATATATCGAAAATAAACCTCTTGTGTTTGAAGTATTTGGGCACTACTATCAACAACCTTCACGTTTAGAACGAAAACTAAGCTCACCTCGGTGAGTATAATATTAAATAAAATACTTAAGTTAGTGAGTGAACGGACGGGCAGTACTATATTAACGCATCCCATGATTGGACATGATGGGTTGTGACAATGATCATTGGTAGAGTTTTTTCTTCCTGCACTCCCGATCCTCCAGTAACGCTAATTAATTCATAATTTTATATTTCAAGTCTTTCCGAATTAGTTCCTGCTCGTGATATCAAAAGTTCTCGTACAGCAGATGTACCGAAAGAAAGTCATAGTATGTTGCCTGTTTTGAAAACTACTTTTAAAGATGAAATATTGTCTTTGTCATCCTCTCTAATTTACTCGTAATAACTTTTATGAAATACTTCATTTAACTTTTCACGTCTTTGCAGACGACCCTTTGCTTTTACGATTACCTTCGCCTAAACGGTAAGTATCAATTTCGTTGTCTAGCAGCGTAAAAATTGTTAATTTGGGGTATTCCTCATAGCCGGACTTGATATATTTCAAGGACTCATGATCCAGGATTGGTGTACGAGTTATTGGTCCGTGTGCAGTTTCTTGAGCTGGCACCCAATGGAGAGTAAGTTGTTGTTGTTGATGATTTGTGCTATCTTAAAATACTAAATGGTGGATGGTTGTTAGCGAAGACAATAATAATGTTGTGGTATAGACCTCTAGAAAGAGTTTACATTATGACGTGGTTTGCGGACAAAGCATGCTTCCAATTTATACAACAAAAGTCGATGAAATTCTCATGCTCTATGTCTCTTTGCAGATATAGTCCATGTTTCGTGAAACATTGCCACGGTAATCTCAATGCTGGCATCGTCTTACTCCATCAAGTAAGTGAGACATTTATTGATCAACGGTCAACTGCTTTACTAGGACATATTAAACTATTTTGCAACATTTCTACTGCTAACTAAAATCCAATTTCTAGGGAATTCAGCGAAGGATTTTAGTTACAATTCTCCATGATAATTACCCAGAAATTAGATGGAAGGGCGTGGCAGAAATATGGCTAGGTTTGTGATTTTTCACTTTGGTTTTGTTTCCACTTCAGCAGTAAAACGTCAGCGTGTGAGATTAATGTCCAATAGATATCTACAGCCACTTTATTCTATGGATTAGGATATCTTCATTGGTCTAATTGCCTCACCTATGATATAAATGTCCCTAAAACCTGCTTTATATTTCCAGGAAATATCCTTCCATTGTCGTTGTGTGAATCAGACGGAACCTACCAGATGACGTCATCTGGAGACAACCAATGGATACCACTCGCTCCAGGCCCTGTCAGTCTTTCTCATCCTGTCGAATCAATTTCTTTTTTCAAATTTGAAATTCCATGGGACTCGTCCTTGCATAACTCCAAGCATCTGGACAGGTAGAAAGACGCGACTAGCTTTGTCGATAATTTAAGATAACACATGTCCAGATCTCTTTTGAATTGTGATTAATCTACTCCTATGATCTACTTCATAGGGTAACATATCCTGGTGATTTGATCTCAATACAACTGTATGTTACCCTTCAGGTAAACAAAACAGAATTATTTCGCCCGAGAAACAGACCCACAAGATGTGTTTGTGTTGAAAAAATTGTTTCATTGCTTTTTTGAATGTTTACTACCAACGAGTATATTTTCTTTTCTTTATAAGCTTGAAGGCTTTGAGCAAGCTGTTTCTCTTCAAAAGGAACTTCTTGTGGCGATCTACAACAGGGCATCGAAAACCACGCCTTCGAGGTACTGTAAAGCAAAAAGGAATTCCAGTTCAAAAACATTTTTACAAATTTGGATTTATGTTTGCTCGTATTTCAGATCAATTTGGAGTCAACTATTCTCCAACAAAACTCCAGATAATCCTGATATGTAAGTGAACATTTTAAATGTCTAGTCTTTGAGAAATACGGATAAATGCGGATATCGTGCATCAATTATTTTGTGTGCCTAGCGTTGATGAAATAATGAAACTGAGAAGAACGTCCGCTCTTGTTTGGTTATTTCTATATACTTTTATGATTTTGTTCTATGATACCTGAGGCTTTTGCTTATTCGACAAAACTCGTCACTGATCATAGGATTAGAGTTGTCCAAATTTGTTGTTTCTGAAACTCATTTATAGAAGTTTTCGCCCAACTTTCATCAACAGACCTTTTTCATGATGACGTCAAACGCGGAATGTCTGATGTTATACGAAGTTTGATTAAATTATGTCAAAGGCCTTATAATGAGAAAGATCTACTATCATGCCTCATTTGCTCAAAGCATTGTTGATTTTTTCCACGCAGGAACCAATGCAGCGGGGTTTATGAATTAGTAATTACTCCAATCAGCAACAAAGGTATGCCTTATAAGCTTTGAACTTTGAAGTTTGTCATCAATTATTTCAACTAATTTTAGCTCATCCTTTCTCTCTGCATTTTATTCTGTTTCTGCTTCTAGAAGAAGAGGAGAACGCTGCCGTGGCGTATGTTCGGGGTGAGGAAAATATTAAAGACTGGCGGCCAAGGAGTTCTTCGTTAATTGAAGAACATTTCAAGAAACAGTGTAAACTACTTTATATTCAAGAGGTAAGATTTTTAAATTAGGTTCTCCGAAGTAACTCTGCAGCATATAAATGAAAAATCCTATTCTGAACTGTCCAGAAGAAATGTATTAGAGGAAGAAATGAATGATTCAAAACAATCGTTTCATATTGTTAAATACGACTTGAACTGCCCCTCTGATATTAAATCTATATCACGGTAGTTTATTGTAGTGTAGTATACCTAAACAGACCGCTGTGCCAAGCATTTGAGCTACCTTAAACGAGACAACAGGCAACGCAATTTCGAAGTGATTTATGTTTCACTTCGAGCGATATAAACCTGGCTTGCGACGTCGTAGCAACATTGGACCACCACGTTTGATCTTTGTATAATTTTTGCGGGGGTTACAAGGTTGTGTTTCGACATTGTACTTATACTAAGCCCCTCCTTTTATATATTACCTGTTTTGTATAATGTGTTAACATAGGTATGTAAAGTTCGACACTTGCTAATGCTTCGCAGCAAGTTGTCAGAACATGATCTTTCATCAACATATTCATCACCTCGCTCGGAAAACAGCAGATGTTCAGACGATTTTAGAGACGACGAGAGTGAATCGATGATGAGCTCTGGAAAAACTGATAAAGTCCATGAAATTCTAGACAAGGTTAGCTCAAGAATAAATTATTATAGTATTCTTTTACACAACAAACTGACCACAATTCTATTTTTGTAGTATGTTCATTTATTGAACAACTCACGAAGTGAAAAGGTATATATATACAATATTCATGCAATGACCTATAATTAATTTCTTGATATTCTGCAATCATTTAATTCCTCATGTTTTCCAGAAATTAATACAGCTGGGAGAGGTCAACAAGCTTGCTTTCGACAGCAGTCACGTGACAGGCATGAGAACGGAAATAAGAGAGATTGTGAAAAAGTAAGGATCAATTTCCCATATCCCAAGTTGTCCTGCGTGTATATAGACAGCGCAGTGCAGTGTATGATTTCCGGTATTTTTGTTTTAGTAATGTCGTGTCGAAGAAAGGTTTTCTTCTGCTCTTGGAGGATGATTCCTGTCGTTGGAGGAAAATTTGGATGGTCAGTTCCAAATAGTTTAATATAGCCATAGGATGGTAGTGAAGCTGTTTGGTAGAAGAATAAAGTATACGCATTGATAAACAATCAATTGTTATTTGAAATTAAGAAATATTTTTTACTTTAGGTGATCAGAAGGCCTTACGCGTTTTTTTATCGCACAGAAGACGACCAGGTATTGTGTTTGAATAATCGTTGGGTTCACTTCACTGCATGTACATGAATGGTGCCCATTTCGTGATTTGCCTAATAAAGCGATTTTCAATTCATAGATTGAAAGAAGTATCGTAAATTTATGTCACACGAAAGTTTCATGTCACGAAGACGATAAAGATCTTCAGGTATATGAACAGCTGATTGTTAGTGTGCATCTTCCATTTTTGTCAATGTTTGACTAAGATTTGTTTCCTCTGATATTTGCCTGGTTATGTCTCTTACCTCAGTCGTATGCATGTGAGGAGTGCCCATGCGATGCACGTGTTTTTCTGGGTACCCATGCGACGATGCACGTGTTTTTCTGGGTACTTTGTTCTCCTCGTGTAGTAGCCTCATACCTGGGCGATTTATCCGATAAAGAATTGTATTCAGTTACTATAAAGATCAATGGTTTAAGAAGCAAACTCGAGGGGTGCTTCAGGCACTGGCTTGACTCTTGAGGTGGTGTCGCGTCTTCCCCAGGCGCTCGCTCTTCCTAGCCACAGATCTTCATATTGTAGCACATTTCCCATTCTCGTACCCAGAGCGCTTCGTACGCTCTGGGTACGAGAATAAACATTTCCAGGCCGATCTTGTGATATCACTAGACGTTTTCAAATCTTTTAGGTAAATATTATTTCCTTGCAAGCTAAACATCGTGGATATTTGGTTAAACCAGTGAACCAAAAAGATAAAGAGTTTCATGAATGGCTCTACGCTTTTGACCCTCTCCTCGCTGGGACAATAAGGTAACACGGCTAAGAATAAGGACATTATGCAAGACGCGCTGTCTGACCATACATAGAAACAGAAAGCGAAAAAAGGGTGGGACTATACATAAATGAAGGAAGACTAGTCGTTTCCAACGATAACTAATAATAGAGAACGTTACAGCTTAAAATATATGAATTAAACAATTTGGAGGGGGAATCACACTTTGTAATCCAAACCAAACGGGTTATCAATGTACACGTCTTCTTTCACTAAGTCACTCTGTGATTTACCGATTCATTACATCTCACGTTACGTGCACTAATTGTATAATTGTCTCACTAGGTCTAGGGCAAATTCAGTACGGCTTAAACAACGTTGAACGACGCGCTTCGGTATGGAACAAATATATGTGATTTTGGCGTGACGTTTGGTCAGGGGTCGGATAAGTGGTGGAACCTTGGGTTGGGAACAACGTTGATATTATTGGTGGATATAGAGTGAAACTATTAATTATATTTAGGACAAACAATACAATTTATAAATAGTTACAATAGCATATTTATTTATATATAAGTTGCATGGAGTGATAGATAGCTTATTTTCAATGACATAGTTACTAAATTTCTCGTAAACAGTAACAGAAATAAATCTATTTTTTTATTGCAAAATTCGTTCTTAATAGATAATATCAATTTTCGAGAATCTTATCACATTTAAAACTGCAGATTTAAATCAGAGGCTGCTCTTTCAGAACGTAATAGCATAGAAAGCCAAACAAATGGGTCGACAAACCACTCTGGTTTGGCTTCTGTCGTAGTAGTTTGTCTATATAAAATTTCTATGGAGAATACAATCCCATTAAAATGAACTATACATAGAAGCTTCAGTGTTATAAGTTCCAGCGTTTTACTCCAACAGTTGTGTCAAAAATGGTGGGTTGCATAAATTCTCCACGTTTATCCAACATGTAGTAGAAACGACGATCTCTTATTTTGAAAACGACAAACGCTTTTTCGTCTACGAGGAAAAAAAGATGACGTTTCGAGCAATAGGCTTTTTCTGGAAGGTAGTAAAATGGACCAAGGTATTTTGTTACCTTAGCCTGTGTATAGTAAAGATAGGTAACATTTACTTATTCTCTTTTTTCATGCCTTGAGATTTAAAAACATGCGATGACTTATGTCTTGTTGACTTGTGAGTGTTGACCATCATCCTCTGTCACTATAAAGCCTTAATGGATTAACAATAAATCATGTCACATTTATAATGTACGTACCCAATCGTGATCCCAAACAAGATACATCAGTGAGCGGAACGCTAAACTGTTTCGTGCTACCAACAGGTGTATACGTTTTCACAATGATACGTGCTCCGTCTCTGAGGAGAACTAGTTGATTTACTGACCTAAGTGCGAGAAAGGTTCGTTCAAACTTCAAAGACGGTCATATCATACAAGACAATAAATTCGAATCAGGAAATAGATGCTGTTAACCAACCGTAAGGCGTACAAACATCCAGTAAAAAAGAACAATATTCCCATTCCAAGGGAAGCTATGGAGACTACAGTTTGGGTCTGAAAATAATTATGTTCAAATTAACATTCAGTAATATGAAGTATAAATTGGGTACATGCCTAAAAACGATTTAGGCTGTTGAACAATATGAATCATTTTCTGTTGTTGCAATATTGATATGAACAAGATGGAACAATGTTCTGCCTACATTGTTCAGAGTTGTTATCAACATTGAACAATATTGTTACATCTGATTTGATTCAGTTCCAATAATATTTTTCAATGTTGTTGACACCTGTGAACAATATAGGCAGGACGCATTGTTTTTAGTGTGTAACTCTATATTGAAATCTAAATCAGTATTTAAACAGCATGTGTGAGGGGGAATGAATACCACTTGTCTTTTTAAACCCCTCTATAACATTACATGCCCTTGTGAATTAGTGTCCCTGTTGTTTTTTCTTTCGTCTTAATACCTTTGAATCCAGTAAAAATTTTGGGAAATATTTAAACCCATCAAATTCATCATGACTTTCTGCAGTTTTATTCTTCCGTTTATGTTCTTGAAGTATCTGTGACGCTGGTCGTATGTACACATACATGACATATGACATATAACTCCAGAAAACCAGCTGACTCAGTGAGGCCACAGCAAGTATTTTATAGAACCCATAACGCTCATAATGGTATAGGATTATGTCCTGGCCATATTTTGTTGCAAGAGGTCTTGTTAAAATCCTTTGAGAACTAAACTGTGATCATTATAGAGTTCAATTATTTGAACCAGCCAAACTAGGGCAGAGTCCAATACTATAATGCCAAAGTCTATAGGGCACAGCAAAAATCTGATTTGCCTCAGACCCATGCCATAATATTGTATTGTATGTCTCAGACTCATGCTATTGCTTATTGCTTACCCGAGAGTCGTGCCAATGAGACAGTGTCTCATCTCTGTCTCAAAGATACAAAGGTCACACGAATAGTATATTAATTTCAGAGGCATAAAAACCACAAGCACTGGGGGGCATGTCAATGCCCACCCCCTCCCCCCCCCCCCATTAACATCCAAAGTGATGAGAATAAGTGCTCTTATTGCATGGCCAACATTTATAGAAATTTTCTTGAGGGTGCCCTTTTGTATTAAAAAGTGCCCTTAAGAACTTGGGTAGATTACCCTGCAGAAAGGGCAGTGCCAGTGAGCCCCCAAAATTAAACTTGCTTTCTAACGGCCCATATTGACTTATTATTCAAACGTTCATATTTTGAGCACAAAGTATATATACAAAACCGCTTGCCTACCAGCTGTAGCGTTGATCTTGTTAATATACCTCTACAACAAATGTTCGAAAAATGACCATTCTTCAAAACATTTCGAATTATACCCGCCATTTTGTTTGACACTGATCGCTAAACAAACTGGATAGACAAACAGTGGTCAAACTCAAAGGTGATTTGTGTGCTTTTTATTGCTGGTTTCTTCGATTTTCAGAGGATTTTAATGTGTGAGGACAATATATTATGGGCAGAAATTATTTATAATAACTATGGAGAAAAAACGCAAGAAATCTAAAAGAAGTTTACGTGGGGACGATGTTTATGAATTCGCTTGTAGATATGATGTTGGCTGGTCGAAGAAAAGAAAGGCAAACCATAAAAATAGCACAGAAGGTGAATCAAACAAGAAGAAAGGCGAAGTTAGTATATCATTGTAAATTGAATTGAATAAATCAATTATTACGGCTCAACCAAAAGTTGAAATTCCACGTTTAGTATTTTAATGACTTTAATAAAAATCCCTCCTGACTTCAGACCATAGACAATCCAAAGACAAATCTGTCTCTTGGATTGTCTATGTTCAGACTAGCACGTGGCTTCCAAATGTAAACAGGCGCTTGTGACAGGTGAGAAATTTTTCCCACCAATCCAACCAATATTTTGTAGTAATATGCGCATCCCCTATCAAAGGCAAAAGTCATTTGTTGATGGGTACATACAATATGCATGTTACTATTAAAGACACTGTCAACAATAAGACATTTATGTCCATGTTGAATCTATCCCCATCTAACCCAGCTGAAACCCATTTACTCAATGCACCTAGATTTGGTTTTTTGTATGATTTTTCATTCTTGTGGTGTAGCTGTTAAATACTAATCACATCTTTCCTATGCTAAAAAACCCATGATATTTATCTTTTTTTTGAAAGGATGAAAGGCAGATGCAGTGTGGCAGTTTATCTACTAATAAAGTGACTAATATTGAAGACTTATGGACTTACAGTAATAACAATGAATCTCCTGATCTTGAACCATCACCATCAAAGGGGAGAAAAAGATTAGATATTAAAAGTAGAATTAAACAAAAGAAAAAGTTAAAGGAAAATGAAGAAAGGTTGTTACAAGATGGACAAAATGTAAATCCGCTACATACACAGTGGAAGTTTACAAAGGCTGAATTACAGAACCTGAAAAAGAATGGTAAAGCTGTTTTAATTTTATTGAATGTTTCTTCATGTGTCTTATTCCTAACTGATTATAGATGGACAAACAGGTCCTCCCTCCACTAATCAAGCACAGTACGATCCTTCACAATAAGATTGCTTAGTGTCAGTTATAAATTGTTATGAAATTGCAAGTATTTAGCATTATATCTAGGCAGGTTAGGTCTCATTGGCATATCATCTGCAAGATACTGTAACATATTAAGCTAGTTCAGGGATCGTTTTGGGGAATCTGATGTAAGTACAGTGAAAAATATTTATCAGCACATTTGAAAATATTTCTATATAATAAAACTCATTTTAGGTGTTAAAGTCAAGGTTGGAAATTGGTCAAAGAAAGAAATTACCACATTAGAGAACAACATGAAAGAATATTTAGAGGTGATTTTGAAGAGAAATCTTCAACCTTCAAATCTTAAAAATTTACCTTTGGTTTAAACCATCAATGTGACAATTACAACAAGGCACTTTCTGTAATTTATTTACCAGGCAAACAATCTAACAGACCCCATGCCACTAATACTGGGAGAAAATGGCAAACGAGCCAGAGACATGAAAATGAAAACTGTTTCTACGGATTTCTATCGAAGTTTAGGTAAAAACTCTGAATCTTATGGGGGATTTTTCAATCTTACATACCTATATATTCTGAAATATACCATAAACATTTGTGTTAATAATTTTCTTGTATGATTGCATGGCGACTTTAGTAATTATAATAACTTGTAGGTACACCACGTAAGTATTAAATACTGCAAAGCTTTCGGTCCGTTAACCCGGACCTTCATCAGTGCAATTACTTGAATACACGTTTGCGCGTCACTTAAATATCATGTTAGTCGTGATTAGTTTGCTCGCGCTATTAATTAAACCGTTTCATTTAAACGCAAACGTGTATTCAAGTAATTGCACTGATGAAGGTCCGGGTTAACGGACCGAAAGCTTTGCAGTATTTAACATTTGTGTTGTTTAGGAAAAGGAATAAATCGACCTTTATTTCATGTATACAGAAGAGTATTGCGGGTGTACGACCCTGGGAACTATGTTGGAAGGTACATGGATATAGACTGGTTCACCCAATGAAATGCCAGAAATGGACATAAGCACAAACATGAACACAAGAAAATAAAATTCACATTTGAAATTTCCTTTCCTTGTGCTTCTTCTTGTGAATATTATGTAAGATAAACATGAACAGTGTAAATTAAATGCTCATGCGTATTTTCCTCCTGCTTTATGTTTATTTTGTTGTGTGAACAAGGCTTTAATGTTTATAGCACTTTTCTAGTGTAGAGTAATACATTCATTTTGAATACCAATTAACATTAAATTGCCTATTTTTATTTGGAAGGTGGTCAGAGAGTGATTCAAGTGCTTTATTAAGGTATGTACTGTACTTGCCACAAAGGCACAAACTAATAGATCAAGAGCCCAATCATGTGAATACTATTTCCAGGACTAGTCAATAGCCATGTGCTAGCTAGCTTCTCAATTCCTACTATCTAAGTAGTTTGTACTTCTTTTTACCAAATTTTGCACTTGTAAATAACCATTCATATAAATATTTCACTTATACTAGTGTAATATTCATAACATCATTAACATGCCCCCTGGGGAAATACGTTTTTACCATTATCTATTCCTAGAAATTGAATCCAGGAATTAAATACCAATGCATTTGAGAATTTCCTCTGATTGAAATGATTCATGTTTCTTCAAGTCCCAACAAAATGTTATAAATTTGTGTATTTTAGGTATCATGCAGTTTATGGTAATCAGTGGACAAAAATTGGAGGCTTTCTTGGTCGTAGTGGCATGGCAGTCCACCATAAATATCTAGAACTAATTGAAGAAACGCATGGTAAATATTCCATAGAAGTCTTCATCTGCTAAATGACAATATCAACACAACAAAGATTGAGCGTACTGGTAGAAATACAATAAGAACAATTCAATGTTTTGGGGGAAGATTCTGGGTTGACTCCATCAACCACTGTCCAAACTGTAATCATAAAGTTACAATTTTAGCCAAAATTTTACTGGAGGACACATGCAACACAATTTTCCACCGTTTAGTTCAGTCCCCAGCAGTCTGTTGTCAGCCCCCTCTAACACCCCCTCTGTCCTTACAGCAACCCCCCCCCTTTCCATGCTATGTATTTTAACTATTGATGGGATGTTGTGAAGCCCAACATTAAGATTGGCTAAGATTGTAATTATGATATTTCAGTGATCACTGACAAATGAAGTGCTATTTTAAAATTACAACTACATTTTTTGCAAGCCACCGTTAACCGTTAAGTTTTTATCACGTTTGTTTACGTTTCAAACTTTTGGGTTTGAAAAACGTCGAATGTTAAACTATAAACTATTTTAGTTGAACTGTAAACAAACGTGATAAAAACTTCACGGTTAACGTAGCACAGAGGTCTAACGGTGGCTTGCAAATAGCTGTAATTTTCATATTGACTGGTCGCCAACAGTACATCGCATGAGAACTACAGTACAGTATGCTTGACTCAGCGCGTTCGACAAATCAGGCATACTATTGTTGTGTAAACTGTGTTTCTCATTTATTTATGGCTGTTTATGGCAATATTGTTGTCTTATTGTCTCCCCCACTCTATTAATTAAATGCCCCACTCTATTTCCCAAATTAGCATAGTCCGTCACTCGTCAGTAACCACTAACCATCATCAGTACATCAATACCGCTAACCAATGCAACTTCACTTCTTTAACCCTGGGTTATATTTTACTCCGCTGTTTTGGTTTATATCCACCGCTGCTTGTTTCAAGACTTTACAAAATAAGACTTTTATTGATCCGCAAAATATTTATGAAAAAAATATGTTCAGCTTCATAAACGAGCGATTACAAAAATTGATGTGAAATTTTGAGTTAACCCAGGGTTAAGCTAACTGGCTTTTGAACAACCGGAGAACGTTAGAGATACCATTATCTTCCTGTTTTCACGACAGGTCCTTGGTCTGAGGAAGAAACTCAACGTCTTGATGCAGCTGTGAGAGCCTCGACCGGGACAGAATTTGGAAGTCAGATTTATGAAAAAATAAACTGGATCGAAGTAGCACTTTTTGTTATGACAAGGACGTCGATTCAGTGCAGGGAAAAATGGTAATTTTCGCAAACCAGTTACCTCACGGGATTTCGGATATCACTTCGCGTCGAGCGAATAAATTCATTCACATGACGTTTCGACTTAAACCTAAAGGCCTTCGTCAGGATCAGGTTTAAGCCTGGTTTCCCTATGACGCCGACGTCGGCAAAGTATTATTGTCGGTGATTATCGATGAGTGAAATCTTTTCTCTTTCTGATACATTTTCTCCTTGGATGATTACAGACAGTGAGTCGGCGAACGGTCGGCGTCATATGGAAACCAGGTTTTAGTTACTTACTGTGTTTATACTTACATAATTATGTCAACAATGTCGGTGTTAACAGCTTGTTAACCTATTCGTCTGTTTAAGCCCTTCAACGACCTTTTTAACGCATTGACCCCATCCAGTGAAAATATCACCGCCCGCCATATTTGCCTGGAAAAGGGCCTGCGGAGGAGGTAGATAGTACTGGACCTATTTTGGGGGTTGCCCATGCAGCATGCTTTTTCAGGTTGATGCAACCAATTTTATCTTTGTACAGGTTAGCTAGTGTTTGTTGGAATAATGAAAGCGGAAAAAAGACAGTGAAATGGACGTCCCAGGATGATGTTAAGTTGATTGAACGGTCAGTCGACATTGTCAGTTTATTTTCAGTTTGAAGCAATGAGGAAAAAAACAGGCTTTTATCAGAGTGGTTAAATGTTATATATTTTTTGGTTGATATATAGGCTGTACAGATCAGATGAGAATGACGAGAACGATATTAACTGGGTGTTATTTACAAAAGATCTTCCCAAGTAGGTTTCAAATTTTGCAATGTGTATAGCCTATAGTATAGGTCTTTTGCAATTGATTTTTTAAACCATATTCACGAATAATGCTATTGTCGCTGTGTATTAGCCACGGAATAGTACGATAGAGGTAGTAGGCAGTTATACAAAACAATTTAGTTTTAAGATAAAGTCGGGTAAACGAATATATGAATTTTAAACCCCCCCCCCGAATTATCGGGCTAGTTTCGACCCAGGAAATGTCACACTCAAAATCACAATATTATTTTTTTAGTTCACCCTCCGTGACATGGTTACGCATGCGGTGGAACACGCTAAAAAAAGCTGTCCCAAATTACACTGAATGCGACTTCGAAGGTATTCCTCTATGCTTTGATTCTACAGTAACAAGACTTCTGGGGAATTTTTGTCCATGGACCCCTAGGGATGTTGGTCTCTGTCAAAAAAGATCATTTGTATTTGTTGTAGGTTTCTCATATGCGGTTTAATTGATTATTGAAACTTGTGCTTCCCCTATCAATTATATACAAACACTGCAATTCTTGGTCCCAGAACGTAGATATTTTTATGATGTGCACCTCTTATTGCGATATTTACACTAATATTTTTTGACTAGAAATTTTGGATTATCTTCACAATACACATCGAAAATTTCTCCAAACAGAAAAGCCCAAAGGCAAAGGCAAAGACCACGATTCCAACGAACATTCGTGAATGTTGAATCACTCTGGTTGAATCATCTACTATTCTATATAATTTATTATGTTATATATTATATATTTATATTCCTATTGTTAAAAACTCAAGAAAGGCGGGAAAGCTCAGGCAGTGCAAACCAATGAACTGGTGCAAACCCATTGCCAGCAAGGGATCAATGGAATTTACAATTAAACAAGACGCCGTTCTGGCGTTAACTCCGGCGCACGTGCCAGTCTTCAATATAGAGCTTCTGAACATAAACAATACAGTTCGCGTATTGTTTCGCATACATATTCGCATTTAGATGCCTTGCGAACCTAAATGTTCGATCGCAAAATTCAGAAGCACATCGCAGTATAGAAGTTCAATTGTTCAAAAATGTAAATAAACCGCATGATACATTCGCTTCGTCTTACACTTTGCCTTTGGAATTCGCGCTTATATATAGTTGTATTAAATCTTCGATCCTGTGCAAACTACGCGACGTGTCAACGCGCCCATACACGACCACATCATCTTGTTAAACGGCGAAATAGCAGCGATATTATTAAAATAGGACCGAGTCTACATGTATTAAATATATTCTTACCCCAATTCAATCTAAACTTAATCGAACAGCATAAAAAGAACGGTTTATTTGTTCCTCTTGGAGGAATTGCCATATCATGCGAGCGAAATCGAATCGCGCATTGGAAAATTAGCCAAAGCTGTGCACCACAACTCTTGGGAGATAAGACTGGGACGTAGATAAATACGATCACATACACTATTCAAATACTAGTATATTTCGCGCCATTACAGACTTGCGACGACGAAAAATAATAAAAAAAAAAATAAAAAAAAAAAAAACAAAAACAAAACAAAACCGGGGCGAATTTTCAACTCCGTCGCTGACGCCGGAGTAAAAATTGCTTTAATAAATCAGTGGTTTCTGGAAACACGGCCAAAAAACTTCAAAAAAAAGCAGAGCCGTCTTACTGAAAACCTCAGAAACCATCGCGAAACACCGTAATCAAGACACAATTGTTGAAACTTGAAAAGAAATTCAACCGCCGATGTTTTGCAAACGGTCTCTACATGTAGCATATATGCGTCAGTATAGTGCTCAGCGTCAGTACAAATTTCCTACAAATTGCCTTTGCGTCCCTGGAAGCTACGCTGGCTACGCGTGATACATCCAGTAACATCCTTGAAAGCGGTTCAGGTTTACTTTTTGGCGCCTTTTTGAAATATGAGCCGACCGGAAATCTGTCCCCTTTATTTATGCTCCTCAATCTATCAGGAAGAAGTCTTTGAGTCTTTAAAACTCGCTAAGCCAGGGTCAGGCCAAATAAAAATTGCATCACCGTTTTACTACTATCTGTTTCGATTTATACATTGAGTATTTTACGCGGTCTCGGCATAACGATATTATCACTATTATGTACATTTTTAAGTGAATTACAACACGCATTCCTATTGGGGGGACGCCTGTTTTGTTCCCTGCAGGGAGTTGGTATAAATACGAGGTGTATTTCCCCTAGTGTGTTATAGTTCGTATGGTTCCTGCAGTCAACAGGCTCAACACGTGTGTCAAAAAACAAATATGGTTGGGGGACGATGATTCATTAACAGCAAAACAGCGAAGCGTCTAGTGTAAATACTGCTTTAAAATTAACATGAAGGCTAAAACAGAGGTTACTTTACTCCCTGAAGTGAAAAAGAATATAAGAGCGTTATTGATTTCCGCTCCACGGGGCCTGAGCGTGGAAGATATTGAGCATGATTATCATGCAATGTTAGGAAAGCCGTTGCCATTCAAACATTTTAGATGTAAATCAGCTTTAGAGTTTCTTAAGACAATGCCCGATGTTGTTAAGGCAAATTGGAGTAACGGTATTCTTATTTTAGAAGGTATTTAGCTATTTTTGTTACTATTTGTTTTCAAGTTGCAACTTGATATGTAGGTATTAATTTTGACTATTTTCTCGTTATCTCTCTTATTTGTTTATTTTACACAAAGGAAATAGTATATTGGTGTTTCTTTCATAATTGTTTACTAAAAAGTCAGTACAGGCAAATAATTTTTTTAGTGTAAGAATTTCAAAAATTTGTAAATTGTAATACATTTTTGTTGAAGCACAAACAATCTCAGTATTATCAGTTGTTAGTATTTAGTAGTGCACTTTTTGTATCAATCTTGCACTTTTCTTTAAACTTAAAAACATAGAGGCTTTGGAAAGGATTGTCATAATGTGAGATATTGACAAGAGATTGACAGCTAGGTTTAATTTTTTGCATGGTGCATATTCCCCCAAATTTCATTTGCATTACTTGTCCTCCTTAACTGGCTATGGGAATTCACCATTTAGCTCAGATAATTGAAATTAAATTCTGGTCAGAATAGCAAGGATTTTCCATCTGAGATTTCTGGAAAGTTTGGATTTTCATTATCAAATTAAGCAAATTACAATTTGCTTCTCTCTCTGACTGGAATTTCTCAATGCTGTTTCTTCAGGCTTTATATTTCGCATATATAAAAATATAGAATAGCAACTAGTGTCACAATCATGTTACCAGAGAATCACCCAGTTAGATGATAAGCCTCAAATTTGTGTAACATAATTTTCATAACATCTTAATGTAAAGATAGGTGTATTCTCCATTTTTGAATATGATGTCAAGTTTCTTTTCAATATATCATTGAAAATGTATCAACAAAAGGAGAGAACTTTTGATCCTTTCTGCACACAGCAACACTGTCCGATGCATAAAGGAAATTAAAGAATGCGAAATCTAGTATTGACTGCCCAGTAAATGTAGAGAAAACAATTCTTTGTTGTTTTTAACTAGGCATAGCAGATGAGAGTTCAAAACATATTGCAAAACTTGTGTCAAGGCAACAAGTCAATGCATCAAAGTCTCGCCGTATACACAAGGCTTCTATCAACACGAAACCTTTGGTTGTACCTGATAGCTTTCGGAGAAATGTAAAAGAGTTGCTAAGTGTGTATCCAAATGGTGTCCTTGGTTCTTCCTTCAATGAAGTGTATGCAAGACATTATGGTGAAGAACTCAGCCATTCTAATTTAGGTTTCAAATCAATGTCTATGTTATTGAATGCTATTAATGATATTGCAACAATTGTTAAGAATCCAAAAGGGGGATATAGAGTGTGTGCTGTTGTTAGAAAGAACAGAAAACCACCACCAGGTTCGATTTGTTGTTTGTTTTACAAATAAAATGTTTACATGTTTTCTTATATAGGTGTAAAGACTTTTAATTTAAAGTCCAATTTGTGCATATATTTTCAGGGAAAAAGACATCTCTTCTCCCTGCCCCTCCTACAAAGCCATCACCTTCAAATACATTGGCTCTAGGAACGGTATCTCAAAATTCTCTTTCTTCAAAAGCATCCCAAAGCACACCACATTTAAAAGCTAATATGCCTTTGTCAAGGACGGAATCACTAAAGTGTAATGCCCATGTAATACCTCACAAACGTAAACCCCTAACTGACCTGAACATGCTTCATGGCAATGTAAATACTAATAAAGATTATGTGGGTGAAAAAACCGCAGTTGAAAAAGTTAAGGAGTTTCTTGATTCCCAAAGTGGTGTCAGTGATTCTATGAAAGATGAACTTATATCTGTAAGTAATAAGCAATTTTAGTTGTATTATGTATTATTGACCTCTATTACCATTGAATGTCCATTATCACTTTGTTAAACTCTTTAAAAATGAAGTTTAAAATTTGGTTTAGAACTTTTTGACAGTTTGAGATTATACCATCAAGATTAGATATATAGGTATTATATAAGGGCTAGATGAGGGTTGTTGTATGTTGAAGAAAATTTTAAATTAGTTAAAAAAATGGAGTACAAATAAGTGTCATCGTGAACATCAGGAAAGTCTGGGTTAGTATAATCCCAGGATCTAGAGTGAAGATTAAAGTTGTGGTATAAAAATGAACTCAACCTGTTTCAAATTTAGGTCTTAGCAAAGAGGCCAAATGGTGTGTGGGCAGCTCGTCTTCCATTTGAGTTTAAGGTTGGACAATTTTTAATTTTTCTATTAACTTCATATTACTATATATATATAATTATATATTATTATTTATAATTATCATATTACATAATGCAGAGAGCAATAAAAAATTTGGTGTCTTAATCCATGTTTGACATAGTTTCAAATATCACCCATGGGTAGATCTAGATTGCATGACCACTAAACCTTTAATTGATTAATAGTAGCTTTTGAAAATGCAAATCTACTGTAATATAACTGGTGTATCTAATAAACTGACATTATTTATTAACCATTGGTTGACAATATACTCAGAGGTACTCTGATTCAGCTCTTAGTTTTTGCAACTGCTCTTGTCTAGGTAACAGTTTAATTTTAATAAATGCAATTGTGTTTTTAGACTTTGGTTGGCAAGGAACTGGATGTTTTGAAAATAGGATTTTATAGTATCATAGAAATGGCCTCAGCAATGCCAGATGTATTTAGAATTGAAAGGCCCTTCCCCAATGGTGATTGGCTGTTATTTCTTGCAGCAAAATCACGAAAAGGTAACACACAATAATGACTAAACATCTTTTAGGTTTATGAACTGCTTACCACAGACAAAAGATTCTTCTGACCTTTTCCCGACAATTCACTTTTAGATAAAAATATAACCAAGGTGTATGTTCCTGAGAATGCTATTGGTAAGGGTGTTGGTTATACTCAGCAGGGTCTGCCAGATGAATTTTATATTGAACTGTATGTTACACATATTCGATCGCCAGACTGTTTTTGGATACAGTTACGAAAATTCAGTTCAGAACTGGAAGGACTACAGCATAATATCAGGTGGTTAACTTGTTCATTCAAGTTATGAGCTGTTTATTTCCAATACAGTAATACTTACTGATATTTACCAACAATGATCATATTATCAGATGATTTTAGATATGTACCTTTGCTTGTGATTCTTCTAGTGAATACACAGATAAATGTCTTGAATCATTTAGTAATCAGAGGTAATGATTGCTTCTGTATTGTTAGGGAATTCTATAGTTCCAAAGAAAGTGCTCAGTTCATGGTTGATGACAGTTTGCTAAAATTAGGCCAGGTACAGTATCTCGATATGAAGTCGCTGTCACGGTATAAAACTTTATTAACATTCCTAACAAATATATTAAGAACTTGAAAGTTAGAAGTTCTATATCTGCGTGTTCCCAGGTGTGTGTTGCAAGATTTCCAGTCGACCATGAATGGTATCGAGCTCTTATTACAGCCACGCCATCACAATTCACAGTTGAAGTATTTTACGTCGATTACGGCAATTCCTCTCAAGTCTCCAAGTCGGATTTACGATTGATAAAGTATGATAATTGTTCATTGCTTTCTTTCACTAAGAATGTATTTGTTGGTCAGATCATTGCTAGATACATTATCACCTGTATATTTCGTCCCTATCCAAGTGACTTATACAAGGAATATACCCTCGTGTGGGAATCCCGTATCATCAAGGGGGGGTGACACACTCGTGGCAGGTCACACTCAGGGGCACACCCTCCTAAGGTGGGAATCGCATATCTTCAAGGGGATATGGTACATTCTCAAACCGGGATGGGACATCCTTGTAGGAGATGAGGCATTTGCTGTGAGATGATTCAACCTTTTGGGGGGTTGAGACACCCTTGTACTTTTACTGGCGGTTAAATTAAATTGCAGTCAAAACTGCTAGCGTTACAAGATAATCGACTCCAGGGTGGATTCTAGCCTGGGTAAATATGCGAAACGATCGTCAAGCTGAATCGTCGGATTAAGAGACTAAATTGACCATTTTGGTTTTCACTGTAGGAAAGAATTCTTCAAACTACCATCTCAAGCCATTAAAAGCAAGCTGTCAAATATCACACCAAAAGTGGTAGGGAGTCAAGTAATAAGCAAACTTCCTCTTAAGAGATGACTGGACCGGTCAGACCTAACTGACTATGCTTCAACGTTAAGAGAAGATGTTTTCATATTCTAAAATTTGGAGTACGAATCTTACCAGTCCGGGCTATTGGGAAGCCAAGCTTTTTATATCCAGCGGAACTCCTGTCTTAATTTTTTATCCATCTTTCAGACGCGATGGGATCCATCTGTTGCCCACAGAATGAACGAATTAACAGAGAACAAGGGATTAGTTGGCCTAATCACTGAAAGTGACAAAAAAGTTAGTCATGCTTTTATTTTGTAAAAGTTATATGTACCTACAAGTCAAAGAGAGGATTAGGTTACATGTCCCATTTTTTCAGTCATTTCATGTTTCACATGAAAGTTGTTTCACATTTCACTTTATTTCATTGTGATATCACTTTTTTCCCGTGAATATCCACTCGTCTACGATTGTTTTCGATTAACTTTGCTGTATTTACCTAACAATAATTACAATGAATCTTGTTGATGTTTTAAAACAATCATCCCTATTAAGACAATCTTTCAACATGTTGAAAACTAACAACCACATTTTTGATAACAAGTTTTTGAGACAAAAATTTGGACTGCAAACGTCATACCAGGCCTGAGAAATATTCTGGACAATAACTGAGAGCCATCTGTTTGAAATTCCTTCTCGTATCTAGGGTGACGTGTTAGACTTGTGTATTTGTGATACGAATGGTAACGATGATGTGTATATCAATGATCAACTTGTTCACGAAGGCTTTGCTGTATTTAAACAAGGTATGTATGTGGGGATTATTTCAATAAAGTTTGTCGGATTTGATTCTCTAGTCAGCTTTTTGATATTTAATATATACAGTTATAACATGATGCTTTATTTAAACGTGTACACAACATATACGTATGCAATTTATCGCATACACTGGTTTCGGAGTGGGCGAAGAAAAAGCGTTTAACATCAGAAGTTTAGAATTAATAGATGTTGAACAGTATTTCCATTAACAATGGGCATCTACTCTTGTTTATCGCTTGCATCACCCTGATCCTGAAGATCATCTCTACTACTTACCTGAATGCATCTGTATTTCCTAAAACACGGTTAATAGAAATCATCCGTGCTTATCATGTGGTAGTTTAAATTTACAAACCAACCTAGATTTATAATTGTAAGATTCTTTATTAAACATTATTTTTATATATTTAGCGAGTGGACGAACTACTCCACCAGGTTTACCACCGGCAGCACCAGAACAGCAACAATTGAACCAGCAAATTGTTTTGAACACGACACAAGCCGAACCTACTTTTCCAGGTACAGTAAAGCATATTGGAAAAGTTTCATTTAGGGGGTTCCGTCATTCAATCAAGTTTCAATGATCATCGAATTTTTGTTATTCAAATGTTAATTTACTAGCTGCATTAAATACAATTCATTGTACGCCAAATTTTCTTAAAAATGTAAGTCCCTGGTGAATTTTTATACATTGTAGTAAATATATGTAATGTCTTATATTTTGATTTCAGATTATTCTGTTCCACTAAACTTATTTACTGGCTTTCCATCGTAAGTACTGGAAACTCGAACATAAAACAGGAATTATCGGAGCTCAACAACATGCTTTCGAGTTTGTTTTTTTGTTTGTTGATCTCAATGTGTTTCTTCAGCTTGTTCTTCCGTCTTTTTTACCCCAGATTTGATTTTACGCCACTGTTGAACATGGCGCCATCCGAGCAACCATTACAGCAAGCACCTGAAGAAATTGCTCCAATCATTATGGATGGTAGTAAATCTTCATTACTTCATGGTTCATGAGCACCCCTCGAGTAGAGTCAAAACTTTGTTAGAAATGTTGTAGTATTATTACTTAATAGTAGTATGTGTACTTACTAAATTACTCTCGCATCTCTCTTCTGCTCGATTTCTATGAACTAGTAGAAACCTCAAGTTCATAATCTTATTTGTGTATGGAAATAGAGCGGTTCTTTTCTATTTCAGAGGAGAAACCAACAGCAGAAGATATTGAATTCATGCGTCAAGTTTGTGAGGAACTTTCTGACGTTCATGTCGTCGTGAAAGCGCTGACCCTGCCTGGTGATAAACGTGTTCATATCGTCAAATTCGAGGAAAAGCCTTATCTTGTTCGCTCGGAAATCTCTTCGCTTTTGTGGAACTCTGACATCCTACGGTCCAAGGTAAGAATTTGTTTTGCTTTTTGTTCGATTTCTTTTCTTACGTGTTTTACCCTTGGGATAATAGCATGCACACTTTACCTGCTGAGTAGTGTACGTAATGCATGAATAAGAATGCCGCCTTTGATAGGAGAAGCAAAGTTTTGACCTAGAAATATGACCTCATGCATGCATCTACAAAATATTGAACTAGATCTTAACAAAGATGCGAAATGTTGTCTTCATAAGCAAAGTATTTTATAATCTTTAAAGAAGATTTGATTATCTCTGCAGTAAACAAATGCTTTGTATTTGTATACCATAACGTATCATTATTCTTTGATTTTACTGTACTGTTGTCAGTTTTGAGCGATCTCTTGTATGAATTTAATTATTTTACACTGGCAGTTAAGAGATGCTAAAAAGTTGGTTGAAAAAGAAGTTATTTGCAGAGAAGATCACGAAGAACTATTTAATGAATTAAGAAGGTAATTGGCGCATAATGGTTTTAAACCACAAGTTTGTATAAAGCATAATTTCTGTATAAGTATAAAATAATTTCTGGGGTGGCTTTGAGGTCGATTAGCGATTAAATGTCCCCGAAAGCCGAGTGTAAGATTTATATATTTGTATTTCAGACTTAAAGTTGGTGACTTTGCAGATAGCGAAGAACCTAAGGAATACGCGTCATTGTTTCCGCTGTCTGTGTACGTTGTTCAATAATCATAACTGAAAATACCAAATGTTGCTAAAAGTCCCAGAAATATCAAATTCATTTTTCTCGACTCAGGACAGGAAATATTCTCTCTCATCGTTTTATTTCTTACTCCAGTGTTCCGGACATTCTTGAGACATTCAATCATCCGTCATCAGAACTTGTTCAAATGATAAAGAATGAAACCACTGCGTATGAGCGAAACCCTGGGACCTACTGGGTCGAGGAGGTAAGTTACACGGACACTGATATAAACATAACATGGCACGAATGTTTTCATTAACACCAAAATCCTATATTTTCGAGTACTCGTTTACCATTCTGGGTGTTTGAAAAACGAAAAACTAAACGATACTTCACATAGAAAGTCTTCTATAATAACAATTAATGATTGTAGATATAGCTACAATCTTGGTTGCATTTTTCAAAACGTCTCTCTTCATATTTGGTCCCGGCGGAAATTCTGCTCAAATGTTTGAGATAGCTGGCAACGAAGGGGATACTATGAATATTCCGTGATGTACTGACAGTATAAAAATGTTTTTCTTCTAAAACTATAGAGCGATCACAATGAGGGAACAGACGATTCATCTCAGGTACAGTATATTATTTTCTCAATATTATATTTCCATATCAGTATGCTGTGCGTCTTGTATTGACCCTTTCTCAAACAAATTTCTTTTGCGAATAAATTTTTTAAACGTCAAAACGTCTGCATGAATTTTTTATTTGGATAGGGTGAACCAGACAAGGAACATGATTTGGAAGAATTAAGACTAGCCGAACAAGCTTTGAATTTTGCGAGGTATTGTACATGTCATCATAATGTAGTTCTCTTCATCAACCAGGTCATGTTAGAAGTAAGGGTTGTTTTATGTGGAGGGTGGCCTGGGAACCATGAGTGAGGTTTGGGACGAAACTATGAGGAATGTTGCAAGGATCAGATAATTGTTAGTGCAGAGGTAAAAGACACGTGACGCTGCATTTTATATAAAAGAAGAGCTAATAACTTTCTAGACAAACTTCTGCTGTTCCGTCATAGTTTCAAAGGCTCTGTCTCATTCTCACTTTCTGCAATAATTGGATTTGAATCTTTTTAGAAAACGCATATTGCGTGCCATGACAAACGTAGACCTAATCCCATCTGAGGACACCGTAGACGAAGCTGCAGATGTTGAAAGACGCCTTCTTCACATCCGGGAATTAATTGCGGCAGCGGAAATCAGAGAAGCAGCTAAGGGCACTGAGGGATCGAAGGAGACTCGAGTAGCACAACAGGATAACGTCATACGCCAAGATATTGTTGGTGACGTGTCTAACAAGGTATTTCTAAATAATAATTTTTTTAAATCTTTGCTGCAAACATTGATATTTTTTCGGGGAAAAAAGTTAAAAAGACAAGTATAACCCTCTGCGCATCGTATAGCATATGATACACTAGCTGGAATAGCGTTCGTTTTTATAACACGGCGATGGTCTCAATTTTTGGAGTGAGACTATGCAAAAAGAAAAAAGTTTCTTTACCTGATGGCGATTGTTCCACCCTGATTAGATTGTACATATATTTGAAGGAATTGTTTGCTCAACCTGAACAACCATCTGCTAAGCCTGTTGGAATTACTAAACCTGAAATGCGCAGATCATCACCTGTTTTGAATGACACCCCAGCTGGTCCACTTACCCAATACCGAGAATTATCCACATCAACCAATAACCCTAACACACCCTCATCTACCCCTCAGAACGCCAATATCCAAAATATGTCATCCGGGCCGTATCCTGGCTTACCCGCATCTACCTGTGCAAATCCTATTCTAGACACATCTATGCCACCTTTATTCTCCAACTTTGACAACCCTATATCTACTCCTATAATTCCAAATATACCCACATCAATACCCCACAATCCCACCATGCCCAATGTTACCGCTCCAAACACTACACAGAACAATTGTAACCCAGGAATTAAAAAAGGCGATGAGCTGGCATCTATAATTGAGCCAGATGGAAGAGCGATTGTCCCAGTTGCATCTATGGTGAATCACCAATACTACACTGATCTAGCTCAGTCTGCTAAAAAGACAATTGATAAATTGGAAAACAGAGCGAGAGCCCAAGAGGTCCAACAGCAGCATTTCGATTCAAAGAAGAAGTCGCGAAATTTATCGCATCCTAACCCACGTCATGTCAATCAACCATTGCTAGGATTGCCTCTTTTTATGCCTAGTGGTCACATGGCCCATAATATTAACTTTCATCCAGGAGCAAATATAGGACCACCCAATATTCCGTTCCAAGGGTTCTTTGGACCATTTCATCCGATGATCCCCCCGGCACCCATTTCTGATGTAATGCTTTTTAATGGCCCTATGTCTGCCCCAGGCCTTGTCGACAACTCTCAGCTGCTCTTTCAGTATGGATCGCCATTTCCAAATCCGAACCGAAGTCAAAGATAACGTTTATGGCGTAGTTTGATCTTTGATTTGTTGCGATTGCCTGTACTCTCAGGTTGGCTATGTATTGCAGAAATTTAAATTGTGTTCTGTTATGTTGAAGTTCACTTCAGTGGCGATGAAACTGGCGGGTGATTCGAGACTCGCGAGTGTGTTTCGTGTATTATTTTAGCAAAAGGACTGATGACCTTGTTCAGAATTTTAGCCAGGTTAATACCAAGCACTTTGCGTCACCTTTAATGTTAACTTTCGGGGAATTTAGAGAACGTATAATTTCCATTTTGCTATTCTATTTGAAGTTTTTAGATAAAGTGGCATTTGTTTGCGTTGCAAACATCTTCGTAAAACTAAAGTGCATGCAATAGCTTACATTGAAGTTGTGTTTTAAATAGAGATTCATATATATATTTATGGAAGGAACTAGAATTTTGTATATTTTTAAAGCTTAAAATTATAAGATTATATATACTTATAAATACATTAATAATGAAACTTGGTAATAAAAAATCAGTGAAGGTCGAAAAATCAGGTCGAATATACAGGTCGAATATGGTACATAAACATAAATTATATTGTTGCTGGTTGCGCGAAGATTTGATTACTACGCATGTGCCAGTTCGTTTATTCGGCTTTATAGCTGAAAAAATGATACAAAAATATCTTTATTGATCTTCATGTTTCAAAATTCAAACGTATCTTTGATGGTGGAAGATCGTTTGGTTTATCAGCAATTCATGTGATCAAACCAATATGATTTGTTGGCAGTAACTTCTTCAGTGATTATTTTATATTCAGATGCTAATTGCATGTAGTTAATCCAAATATCTTCATTATGATGATTTCAACAAGTTTAGATATAGTGTGGAGCGGTTACTTTTTGCTACTAAGTTTTCTATTTACGATATACGGAACTACACCAGACTTAAGACTATTGTTTTTTAAGTACTGTTATTTTACTTTGTGTTGTCTGAATAATCTTTTCAGACCCGATGACGGTGTTTTTATCGCCTAACAGTAAATGTGACCTTCCACGGGAAATCATACGTTAACGCTATTTCGTTCGTTCGAAAATATCGTTCGTTATCCGTTCGTTTGCCGTTCAAACGCTTGAAGCGTTCGTTGAAACGATTTTCGAGATCGTTCATCGTTCGAAATTGCCCGTTCGAACGCTTAGGAAAAAACGTTTGAAAATTGGTCCAAAAGCGTTCAACCGTTTGATTTACCGTTCGTTGAAACGTTTGCCGGAATTTCGTTCAATCGCATTGGATTTAGTTCAACATATTAGATTAAACATTTGCAAAGTTAAAACTTTGTAGAAGAAGCGCAGAATGTGCTATACAGAAATGCTCCCAGAAACGTATTCAGTTCTTTAGTAGAAGGCTTGTAAAGGAAATAGTGAGGTTATATCGTTTTAGCCTAATCGAATGCTATTTTGTGCGCTTAATTCATGTTATGGTTTATGCTTAGCGTCATGCAGACATGAAGGCAATTAACATTCAGTGCATGCAATTATTTCATTAGCGTCAAATTTCACGTCGTAAGCTTTCTTTCAAAAATTTATCGTTATTTGAATTTCGGTAATGCACTAAATGGTTAGAATTTGTGCTTTACTATACTTCTGTAGCTTCCATAAGCCAAATTTCACCGCGCGCACAAACAACGTCGCAAGCCATACATTAGCATTACGAGCCATAATATGTCTTGGCAAGGTGCTAATTAAGTTGCATAATTGTCGGAAGTCTCTAAATGTATGTAAACACACAAAACCAGATTTTAAAATGAATTGAGGGATTTTGCGTGTTACATATTAACATCGTACTTGTAAACCATGTGCATGTGTATATAGCTAATTTATTTACATCTGATAAACTTATCTAGCTGGGCCTCCTTACGAAGCAGCTACTGATTAAATCTATTCAAAATTGATATAAGGACCGCATCCTAGCCCCTAGGACGGACATTTCAGCTTGAAATTCGTTGTTTTTAATGCAGTCTGACATAGCTACAAATTATACAACAATTGAAATACCCTAGCTAATATTTGAAGATATAAATACAGTGCCCTAACGCGCGTTCGGTAGGGTTACAACGAGAACTAAAAGATCCCCATTTATTGGGGGCCAGGATAGATAACGAAACATCATAGTATAAGCAAAACGTGATTTATGACAAACAGTGAATTAAGGGACCCCGCAGTACCAAGTATACCTCAAGACCCCATCCTCAGCTCTGTTCGTTACGCCACTGCATGAATATCATAGCAATTTAAATATGTACGTGCATCTAGTCTAAAACTGGTGCCGGAGCAACAAGATCCTCAGTGCCCCGCTAATAAAATTGTCTTATTCCTTAAAAAGGTATCTTTGTCTCACCAGATCTAAGCCATCTGGCTCGATCGTTGTTGGCATGTTGAAAGGTGGCAATTGCATAAATATTACTCATAAATACTATGGCATAAATATAACTCATGCATTGTAAATATTTATTTAGACTCTTAATTCACAAAAAAATACTTCATGTATATTGATATATGCACATTTCAGCACAATTCACTCCCCATGTATATTTACGCGTCGCGCACTGCGCGAACGCAGTCTTAAATTGCCGTCGATGTTTTTTTGTGTGTTTTTTACGTTTTCGACCCGGTCTACCTGGCCGCGCAGGCCAACTAAGATAGTCGTATTTTGAACTCGTTTGATTTCGTATCGAAATATTTTCGTGCTAAACACACTTCAAATAGTAATCTAAGCCTAGTAACCCCCACAAAAGAAATATTTTACTGAAACAAAAATTGAAAAAGTTTGTTGTTGCCGGGATTCGAACTCTGGTCGTGCGAACCAAAAGCAGGTAACAGCATGCACGATACACGTCATATAAAATAACACGTACACGAATCGCTGTGTATGGCCGATAGCGCAGGAAATCTAGACGTCTGTCGTTGGAGAAAATACATACAGGTAATCATAATGCTAGATTCTCGACTTGTCTTGTTTGATATACTCACTCTGCATACACTAGCACACACTGATCGTGGTAAACCTACACTAAAACGGGTTTACAGACAACGATCACATGAATCATGAAAGCCTTGTATGCCATGAAAGCCTTGTATGTACCGCACTTTCCTTTCAAGGGTAAAAACGGCCAGACCGATCCTATTGAATTTCAGTACAAACTGATTCCCAGAGTACATGATTCCAAACTCAGCCTTATTCACGTATATCGTTAGCTACATATGCCTAGCACCAATAATGCAGTTTTACCCGTATATTCTGTACGAAGTGCTCTATTTACTAGAAAACCTAAGAAAGAAACATTTTTCTAAAGGAATAAATATTGACAGGAAATGGGGCACAGTTGCATGCAACGATTGGCGCGACGCAGTAACCGCCAGAATTGGCGTCTTGTTTGGTTGTTATTTGATTTCTCGACTTGCTCCTCGAATCGGAAACGTGGAACGCGGAAAAGGCTCAAATCGTATAAATGATAGAGACTGTATGAAAGTAATGAACCTATATCAATGATGTTCATTGTGTGACATTGTTTATTACAAAAAAAATTCCGTGTTTTGTGAGGTTGAGTTTTACGCTATGTTTTAAAGTGCGTGCAGTCCTTCCTTGGGCTGACACAAGCCCAAAGGGCAAGTTGCCAAGCTAACGTTTACAAACATTTAAGTTTGACCTTTCAGATATTTTGCTACATATATTTCGCTATATATAATTCATCAGAAAAGGAGCATTGGAATTTATCTTGCTTGGACAACATATCAGCTGTTGGGCAACAGGAAAATTTTCACTAATTTTGATTTGGGCTCCCTTGATTAGAAATTATATTCCGGATATTAAGTTGCAATTATGCATTGTCATATTGCACCTTGAAGCCTGCCAGCTAGAGCGGCAAAATGAGCAAATTTGAAATGGCGCCTATCAACTGTTTATGCGTGCATGAGCGCGCGGGTAAAGATCTTTACCAATAATTTCGCGAAGACTGTCCCAAATCTTTGCTGGATATTAGCATCTATGGAGAAGTCAAGGCGTTTTAACACGTGCATATATAAAGGTTAATACCAGGTATGAACACTAAATGAAACATTAGCTATGATATAAGGAAAGTCATGACTGGGCCACTTTATTAGGTGCGGTTGCAATTATTTTCTTCCAAGCTATGAAATCAGGCTTATCGATGAGATCATCAACAGAATTCGTATAACGGTTGTCTCGATTTAGACTAAAGTTTTTTTTTCCCTTGAGTGTATTTGCTTGGCTAAACTGTAGCTCTCTATTGACCATGCATATATCGAAATATGACACGCATTCGAAGTAATAAGATTTCATATAGATGATCATGCAATTCTCAATTGCATTTTATGTATATGTTGACGCGAGTAAAATGTATTCGGATATAAATGCGCACTGCAATATAACCTTTTAGATTGCTTATCATGGCCGGTGAAATCAAGTTGGGCCACGATCATCCAATCATTCCGAATAAACATGACATGAAAGGTTGCCAGACCTTAAAAATGGCTTGGCTCAGGTTAGAAAAGTTGTTAGCTTGGGCCGTGGTGGTTACAATTTATAGGATGCATTTACTTACATTGAAACAACAATTGCATGTTTACAAACTTTGCTGACATTTTTCATAAAAAAGGGTAGATGCTACCTCGAAATATATATAATTATATGATATAAAAAGATTTCGCCAGACAAAATGGATTAATGCTTTCATGCATGTGTTAATTAACCTTGATTAGTTAATTTTACTGTAAGCAGGAGGCACAAATTGTGTCACAAGTAGATGTCTCGAAGATGTTCAGGATCGTTTGTTTCTTAAAATGGTGCCGGAGTATAAACTCCCCTGTGCATGCATTTGGCATTGTCGTTTCTATATGGGCGGCAGCATTGCTATATGCTTTGCAGAAAAAATTATTTGCACTCTTTGTGAATTAAAAACCCGGTTTCTATATGGGCGTCTGCTATTGCTATATGCTTTAGTGAAAATACTGTGCAATCTCTTCTTGCTGCCGGGGTTGAGTATTAAGTTGTCTTGCAGGGCGGAACTGAATTCGGACCTTCGAGATTGCGAATTGCCGCGGTCGTTTTGAATGAAGATTTCGAAAATTATCCCATTAATTTACGCGTTCTATTTCTTTAGGTCACTATTGTTAGGCTCATGCAGGTAGCATAGGTATTTACACAGTTAACTATTTAGATAGTCGAATATTTGGGGGGAAATAAAATATTTTCTGATGAATATAGTGACCACCAAGAATTTAGTTAGCTAATTTAATATCACAAGTATTAATTAGCGATATACTGGTTCATAAGTCATAACACATGCATATGTGATCGTATGGTCACAAAACATATCACTTATATGAAAAAATATGGCGGCAGAAATAGGGACATTGCAGCTTTAGCTTTGCGAAGAAAATATGGCGATGGGGCATGCAGTCGATAAATATTATTATCATAATATTCTTAAGGTAGAATGATGCCCTTAGTTTCTACCGACAGTACTGTGTATATAGGCGACATTCCGCGACAAGCTTGACCGCAGCTAGAGGCTATTGCCGCACGGAACATATTGTGTGCACTAGGGTCTAGGTAAATATCCAAGCTTATATTTTAAATGTTTTATTACCGCGCAATGCATTGCTAAAATTTAAATATGGATTTTCACGTGGTTTGGACATTTAATGTAGTAGGCTATTTATACCAAATAGGTTTTGACAGCATGCAAGCACACGTTACTACGCTGGTTCGCATACAAACGAACTTTGCGTAAATGCGATATTCTGTATAACTGTTAGTAATGTCTGGTTAGCATCTGTAAACAACTTGATCCTTGCGCTAATTAATTTAGTCGTTTGCGCGTCAAAGAGTATAAGCAATAGTGTACAATGGAATCTCTTGTGTTTAGTTTAACATAAAAATATGTATCCAGTAGCTGAGACTCAACCAAACTGAGACGGTGACCAATGACATTGCCTATGATATTATTATCGAAGCCAGGCCATTTATGGCAATCCTCGTTTACTCTCGGTTTAGAGCCGTGTTAATGAAACGGATGCATGCATGATGTGTTTATATGTCCTTAACCACCCATACATATAGTTTGTCCGTGGAGAGATTTACAACATCTGTAACCTTGTTGCAAATAAACACGTGCTGAATATTTTGATGGGTGTAGTTGCAGATGATGCATTGATTAATTGGACATAACGATGATAATTTGTACTAATAACTGAAGGCTTTCTAACGAATAAACCCGAATTTTGATGCAAAATGCAAATGTATATATGTATATAAAGTATAAAATAATGCGATTTAGGTAGTTTAGCTAATAAATTTACTGAGTTAAACATTCAAATGAAGGTATAGGTATTTATATGTACACGCATACTTGCGCCAACACATGTTACGTGTAACGTGTTTGAAAATATTTCCTATTCTTTTAATTAGTCAATAATATCTTGCGTCAATCATACACGCAACAGGCGTTCAGACTAATTCGTTAAAACCGTTCATAAACATAAATCGTTCAAACGGCTTCAGATTGAACGTTTATTCATCCGTTCGTATTCTCGACTTTAAACGTTCACATTTTTAGCTGAATTCGTCAAAACGTTTTTTGGGTTCGTTGAAACGTTATTACAGATCGTTCACTACCCGTTCGTTATCCGTTCGTTTTGCCGTTTCAACGAAATATCGTTAACGTACGTTTTCCCGTGGAAGGTCACAAATTATCTTGTGTCATGCCACGACACTGCTCCGTGACGTTCAACACTCGAAGGTTTCCACTTTCCCTCCATTTTAAAAGTTTGTCAAACGAGGACTCAATAGATCCATTGCACTGTGGTCCTTTATTTTTTTCATTTGCCAGCTTCGAATTGGTTGTAACAGCTAATCCCTCTGCCGACTTCATTGTTGTCCTTGCCGAGATCCTTGCGGCTTGACTTTCTAACGGGTATAATTCAAAATCCTATCGAAACTGGCCGATTGTCGCTTCCTGTGCTGTTTGAAATATATTTTGGTAAATCCTATAAAGACTATTTCGTTAGACGTTAGTGTAATGTATTGTCGCCCATATGATACAGATAGCTTCTGTATATAGTTATTCGGGTATTTTAATTCAGTATACCGCAGCTGTAGCTAATAATTGTGCTATCGGCCAGTGACCGTAATGATATCTTAACAGTGTTTGTCAATTAAATTAGCAATTTATTATCCCACATAATTACTGTTCTAGTCTCTTTCTTTCTTTCTGACTTTAGACTTTAGCTTTGTAAGAAATGTGGTTTATAATGTAACACATTCAATTTCCTGGGTGAATGTTGATTGATAACTTGTCTAGAGACACTCGTCGCTCACTCGTCTGGTTGAAATGCCTCACTTGGTAATCCGCATTTTCCTATCCTGGCCGAACGCCCAACGCGTTGTTCTGCATACAATATTCCTCCCTTTTTTTGAAGTCAAAATCAGGCTTTACCGTAGGCCAAACCGTGCAGCTTTTAACAAGAAGAATTAACTTGTTGCAATGTTGTTATATTGTCACCGGCAACCGTTTTTACATATCTTGAGTACACAACACTGTACCCAATAGCACGGATCATAAACCGGGATAATGGTTGACAGAATAATTAAGTTTTTGATCCTAATCAAACCATTGTTTACAAACTGCTCGTCGGAGTTTATTTCATTGAAATTGAGGGATTATAGCCATGGAAATGTACACGATGTTTATTTATTTAAAATGTTCAAATTAATTATTTTTGACCGAAATTACGAAAGCATGTCTGAATTGTCTGATGATCACGTGGTCTAATCTTCAACCTCGGTGGTTCATGAAAACTCGGGCTACTTTACACGGGTCGATGTTGCCTGTTTACATGAAACTGTTGAACCGCTCCTTTCTTTCTATTCTTGTTTACACGGCTATTGCTTCTGTTTGGGAGATTAGAATTCCTCTGACCCGTGTCGTGGTTCTTGTTTTGGAAAAATATTTTGGTCAGAAGGCGGAGAAGTAGAACACTAGAAGGACATTGGTCATAAAGACGTCGTTAGAATTAAAATCTTAACTGCGGACAATCAAATATAGATGCAATTTCTATACGCGGAACCCAGGGAATGCATGCATGCACGATAAAAGACAAAATCAGTTAAGTGGATATGTCGAAGTCATTCTCGACCAGGCTTCAACCAGATGTGTGCCAGTGAACTTAGAGCTACTGTAATTTGCATATTTTTAGCCACAACTCGCAGTTAAAGTGCTGTTGACGATAGCTGAGGGTGTCGTAAGAACAATTGATTTCAAAAGAAATGAATAATGCGCACCCCCTCCCCCCAATTATCTTTTTGGCGACGCCATTGCATGTGGGATGAAATAGATTCCATTGTCGATTAATTAAATTTATTTAATCTGTGCATGATACGTGATCGAAAGGTTCTACGTGACCGTGAATTAACTTAAGCCTAATTTATGGGTGAAGATTTAGAATTACGTGTGGTGTGATTTTTACATTATTTCTATTGGCACAATGGAATCCTTATAGTCTCGTTAGTCGTTTATTAATACCGCCCTAACAAAAAATCTTTGCTCCTTAAAAAATGCTTCAAAAAAGATATACAGCATTGATTTGTCACATGATAACGTAGATCTTGGGAAATGGAAAATAGGTAATCAATATAGAAATATTTATCCGTGAATATCTTTTGTATCATCCATTGAATCATCAGTCTTACGTATATACACGTAGCTACGATACTGCGCGCCAACTAATTGCCGGGAGTTTGAACCTAAAAGGTACGTTTTCCACGATTTTACGTGTGGCACATTTCCATTTTGTGAAATACGGGTATGGAGAAAGTGCTATAATAATTAGCCATAATTTCCTTTCCTTTTATAATATAGCGGTCTATACACCTTCGTTTTACCTAACAACTCGCCCCTGCATTTAACGCCTGATGCCGTAATGGAGATAGTGTATAAATAGTGGAGACCTTCACCTTGTACTAAATAGAAATCGTGGGTTTAAATTATTAAAAAGGAACCTGCTGTCAAGAATTAAAATGCGTAACTTTTCATGTCAATATTGAAAAAATATATCAGTGAAACAAAATTTTTAAGAATATTTAACACTGATAATTTTTACAAAAAACTTATACTACCCTATTTAGTACTGTACGACGCGGGAGACGTTTTAACGAGAACACTGAACAGCCACAAGTGCTAATAGAATTTAGTCATGTTTTTTATTAGTTTTGGTTTTAAAATAAAACACAGCTGTCATGTAAATATGAATATTTTTTATTTTGATAAAAACGTGGTCGGGTACCGACATGAAGCAATTATAACTAAAATTGCCCTGTTTTTTAAACTGTCGTACTAAAGACACCGTAGTTAAGCTTTTTCATCACTGTATTGGGAGAAATTCGATCTAGCTTGTGGACAACAAAAGACCCAAATTCTAAAACAGCTAAAACGTAAGTTTTCTTTGTGTATCATAACATAAACAACCTTAATTAATCAACGCTTGGGCATGCATGGATAAGTTCATATATATTGTGTGTTCGTGTTCGTATCACTGTTTGTCGCAATCTTTCCTACCCTAGTTTATATGGTGTTCAAACGTTTTGTACATATCTAAGATAAATATTCACCCATGTAAAATTGGCAAAACAGGCTACTTCCTTATTGTCAAAGTCGGCGAATACCGTTTCTTTCGTTATTCAAATAACACACAGCCATGCATATACGACAAGATTTACATATATATAGTGTTAGCTACCATACTTTCAGCACGACATAAATGTGCACCTCTATATTTGCGCTGTTTTTTATATTTCAGTTTGCGAAAGCGAAAGACTCTGATTTTTGTCTCAAAGGGCCTGCGGAGGAGGTAGGATTTTTGTTATAAAAAATAGCTGGTAAGCATGTTTAAACTTGACAATATAGTAGTATAGAAATGTCATTTGTAATTTATAATATACCAGTGACAATGACAGTGTTTAAGCTTGTTATTTACAGCTATAAACTGAATAGCTCATGAAAAATTAAAGCCTGTGTCTAAATCAACATTATGAAAGAACAAATTGGAATTCAGTCGTTCAGTGACGCCGATATAGTCATATGAATAGAGTAATTAGAGTTACAATTCAACTCCTATATAACAAACTTAATTCCCACATGTCGACCTTGTGTATTTAGATCAATACTAGGCTCTCTATGACTTGCTGCGTCAAGTTAGTAAATGCTATCATTATAGGCCAGCTATTTTTTTCTCCTTAAAGATTGATCTAGAAAAATACTGCAAGAAAAAAATTGCAGGAAGGTACAAATTTCAGCAGTGATGCTTCATGCCATTGACAATGAATAAACGTTCTTCGGGTACCGAGCGTCCACGATCGGCAAGACGTCGTAAAAAGCCGTCACCTCATCAAGACACAGATGGCGATGTGACTACACCGGAAAGTTTTACGGAGCGTGGGCAATCTGAAACAAACAGAAAAAATGCAAAATCAAAGACAGAAATGAATTTGCTGGCAACCTCGAATCGTTTTGGTGTGAAAAACAATATTTTTGGTGGAAAATCAAAAGATAAACTAGCAGTCCCAGGCTCTGTCGAAATGACGGACACGAACATCGGCGTCGTGAATTTTTATCAAAGGCAAGGAAGAGAGCCGCCGAAAAGTCCTCGAATTTTACCAAAATTGGAGAAAAACAGCGGCAGAAAGGCGAATCCTGTCGAAGAGTCCTCAACAGGAAAAATTGAGCCGCCGCAATTTTCGATTTTTGTGGACGAGAAAAACGTAGTTGACGGGGGGAGTTTGCAATTAGGAAAACAATATTCAGTCCTGCCTAATATTTCGCATAATAATGAGGAAACCGAAAGTAATAATATTTCACTGTGATGGTCTAAGATGCTGCGCTGCATGAACTATAAGATTGCATGAACTGATAGACTGCAATACCGAGCTGTAGTTTACAACTGATAGTGGTTATAGTGCAGCCATCGTTTTTTACCACCCTGATATTTTCAATGACAAAAGTACGCTTAAATAGAGACCAGGTTTTTATCCCCGAAGTAGAGCTATCCAGCCACTACCTACACTGACATGCCATTGGACTACCAGCTATTGACAATGATAGGTTACAGTAGCTACATGCCCAATTTATTTTGCTTCAATAATATTATGAGGTATCGATACTCAGTTTATATATGCACAAGGTGTACCTGAAATCGGTAGTATAATTTGTGTCGTTGTCTTTGTCAATCTGCAATTTAAAAGAAGAATATCAGAATATCATGTATTGTTTGATATTTATATATGTAAGTATGCCGTTGTAAAACATGGAGTTCAAAAAGTCTAAAAGGATAATTGCTCGTTCACATTTCACTTGAGCACATAAAATTCACATAAACGTAGGGCCCAAGGACGTAAAACCAGTAGCAACATAAGACATTTGAAAATAATTCTATATGCTTTGGTAAATCAAAGTTTATATTTTGTATTTACAATGTCTCGTAGCATTTCTCACACGTGTTGATCAGGAACAGAAACACAAACCTGTAAAGCAACTCTTGCACAATGTAACAGCTGGCAAGAAATATAACACACAAGACGAATGTTTTGCTTAAAGGAAAGTCCTATAAGACGAGTAGAAGAAAGTTATATTTTCACCCGCAAGGATCCAAAATGTTTAGGGGCGCCAAAACTACGGGTAGCCTGGGTAGCGGGTGAAATCACCATTTGATTTCAACGTTCAGCATAAGGCTATTCTTTGATCACTATAATGACTATATGTACCTTTTCTAAAACTGTCAGTACCCCCACTGCCCTTTCTGCGCCCCTGAAGATGTTTTATCAAAAATGTTTGTCACCTACTTGCAGTAAAACCAAAATTACGATGAGATTCAAAGGAATTCGGAAAATGTTCATGATTGTTGCACGAGCTGGATAAAAAAATTCAAGAGTGAATGGTTAGCTCATTGATTAGATTGAAACACATGAATTGTCAGTTCAGCTTGTCGTGGTTTTGTGGGTTAAAGATTCGGCGCTTGTTTATGGGGATGGAAGGGTCGAGTGCGGCAGACAGAAAGGCAAAATGGATTAGGAGGATGGGGTTCCTGAACTTCCTTTGTCTAAGCGGCTGTTTACATGAGCCCGGTTACCCGAGATTCAACGAAGCGTGAGATGATTTTGAGGTATTGAAATGAGCAGATAACATGATCCTGACAGTCGTATAATCATCACAACAATAGCATGTGCTTGTTTGGTGTCATAAAGATTTATTTCAATACCTCAAAGTCCTCTCACGCTTGTTGAATCTCGGGTAACCGGGCTCATGTAAACAGCCCCTAAGCCTAAAGACACTGGTGATGGCGTTAGCATGGATAGGTAATATATCCATAGACATATTTACATCAAGAGTTAAATGAAATTTGGTTTCTCTTTAAACTAATCATAAGGCGACCTACAACAGATCCCTTCAGGTCAAGGGCGTAGGAAGCATCCAGAGGTTGGGGGGGCACCAGCTTCTAGGGGCACTTTTGGTTAATAAAAATGACGGTTAAATGGTTACTAAAAATATATATATAGGGGACGGTTTGATTCAGGGACCGCCGACCGCAGAGCATTTTTCGTATTTCTTGGGCTTCGTACTGCTAGGGGGGTCCGGGGGCATGCTCCCCCGAGAAAATTTTGAGATATAGGCCTCTGAAATGGCCGCAAATCCCTCTCAATCTAAGGATTATTGGGAAATAGTAGATACTTTTTTGTTTCTTTTCGCTTCCCAAAAAGGCTTTTTTTTCACAAAAAGGGCACTTTTGGTCCCTTGAAAAATCTTGGGGGGGCACGTGCCCCCAGTGCCCCCCCCTTCCTACGCCACTGCTTCAGGTTCGTTCCCAGCGGAGCTGAAAAGGCACAGCCCGGCCCATATGAAAGGTCCTATTTATACCCTTCTGCGAGGGTACGACACTGAGGTTGGCCAAACAGTGCTATGATATGAGGCAATAGAACTCGTGTATCTTTTTAGTTCATTTGAAATTGACAAGTGATTACAGGATATATCAATATATTGCCGGCTTACATTATGATAGGCAACAGTGCGTTAAAATATTTCTTAAATTTACATGTGCACCCTCAGATGTAATTAATATTTAACAAAATCGAAGACATTTTCATATCTTTGTGGCTTTGTCTTACTCAACATGGTGTGTCTAAATGTTTCATGACAAGTATTATGTACTTGCCAAAACATTTCCAATGTGCAGTAAGCTTTTCGTATGTAATGTCTGCAAACCAGATGTAATGTCATCCATTCAGGCTTACATATATAGACCCTAATTATTGGTACCTCAACAAATCAAAGGTATCTCAACAAACTCTACTCTCGTTACTGAAATAAATAGCCTGATTAGCCTGCGTCAGTGTAGGCTGTTAAATAGATGTCTGTCTCGTTACGCTACAACTTTAACGCGTATCTCAGCCTCGGCTCTGTACTCGGATTCTTTAAAAAAAGTCACATGAGTAACTTCAAAACGGTTCATCTGCCCAACACAAGTGTTATCAATAGGTTCAAGACACCATAGCCAGACTGTTCCTTGCTCAGTAGGCGTACTTATACCGCCCCAAAATGTAACAGTCTCAACAACATTTAGTATTCCCTTTAACGTTTCTTTCATTTCTTTGTCATTGATCTCTATAGTGCCTCTGTGGACTCGTCTTTCGTCCAACCGATGGGCTTCAGGAACCTGATAAGTGCCCATGTAAGTGCCAGAAAATGTCCGACCGATTAGCTTCGAATATACTTCATTCAAAAACGGTTCGTTCACTTTCACTCGGCGAACTTTTAGCGGTCGCAATTCTGGTGGGCACCAAGGCATAGTTTTAATGTGATATTGCCAAGATTCTTCGGTTAAAATGTAATTTTTCTCGTTGAACAATCGACAGAATTTAGGTTGTTCTGTGTTTATGTCGAACTGTTAAACATTAATTATGATTTCGTCTTTTGTGCGTTGTATCGTATTTCGTTTGTCATGCACGACGGGATATTAGAAGAAAATAAAAGGAGGGTTCCAATGAAGGAGTTTTCTTTTTGTTTTAAACGGGAGGTAATATGATCTATTTGCAGCAGGAAGTCTTAGAAATCTGTTTGTTTCTGTTTAAAAACGTGATGGTTTTATGGTATAAAAGTTTGATTAGCAAATACTTTTACCATTATTAACTAATGAAAATTGTTTCATGATTTATAAAATGAAGGTAATCACGGCTAATCGTAGCTCCCCTTGCATTGCAAGAAGGCTACATCCATGCTTGAATATATCACAACAGTGCTTTGCACCCCACGAGGAGCCAAATTATAGTTACATAAAACTATACGCTATAAATAGATTCTTACTTTCTTCCGGTACATATTTTCCTCTCATAGTCGCCATTGCGGGCCAAAAAATTCCTAATAATAATAATATAAGATATTGTGCATTATTTTTATTTTTCACTACAAAATGATATCACTATGTTGGTTTGCTAATGTCATCAGATATATATGTTTCACATACCTACACAACACTCGAACACCAAAAAACTAAAATATATCAGGATATCACCCTGTGAATGACACAAAAATGAGTAGATGTTTTGCAGTACGGTGTATAGTCCATTATAGGTGCATGTGTGTAACCATGCAATATCTCTCTGTGATATTAACCCAAAATTCACCCTTAAAAATTTAGGACACGCTTAAAAACACGGATGTTGAGAGTTTTAAGATAACCGGCTTCTGTTTTCTTTCAACGTCGAACCGTACTCGAACAAGATGTTATCATCTTTAGTGCCAATACCTGGAATATTACGCATTGGAAGATGCAGTTCATTTAAATCTAAGAAGGTTACCTTTGCTATGAAAATTGGGGCGGAAAGAGCCACCGTTGCAACGATATATACAATCCTACATGAAGTAAGAACCAATCATTTAGTTGCATGCTTTTACATTTTCCTGTTCTAACAACGAATATTCCCCTTATTTCTTAGTATTAGTCGTTGGGTAACCGGCCGTAACGGACAGATTTAGGAGGATTAAAGTTAGGATTATATTCGTGAAACTATCAATTAACTTTTGGTTGGCAAAGTTGGAAAAACAAAGTACATATATATACCTCATAAAGGATTCCGCATTTGATCTTCTACTGAATATTTTAAAAAGAGACGAGCCAATCATGACGGAGACCTGAAGTTTAATCCAAGATTAAGAAAGAATAATCGCAAATTCAGAAACTGCTTTCTGTAAACGAGTTACCTACACAAAATATCTTACCATGAAACCGGAAAATATCAGTCCATGTGGTATTATTTGATTCGCTACAGCGAGAAAGATTACATTACACTGTATTAGAGTGTTTTATAAAATGATTCGAAATTTTGAATGGCACTCACATAATGTTCAAAGCAAGATTTATCAGTGGCAGCTTTGAAGTGCAATTTTTTTGCTAAATATGAATGCAGCATGCAAGGCACAAATATTCTGGTCCTAAACGTACTTGATGTAAGAGCTGGTGTCCATTGCAGGACAAATGTGTACATAGCACCTTCAAAGAGTGACTGTATTAATCCAAGGCACAGCACTCTTCGATCTGGAGAAAAATTCAGTTAAATTTTCTTAGAAAAACAACGGTATTAATGTGTTTCTTACAGCACGTTCTTACCATTTCGCAAAACCCTTAAGGCTTCTTGAAAAGACAATGCGATATTTCCTGTTTTGTCTCCGTAATTCTCACTCCAAGTAGACATCAATACTACAGCCATTATCAATAACGTACACAGTGAAAGGTCAAACGGTGCTCTAAATATGAAAATGATACTGAAAATAGTGAAATGAATTAAAATCATATGTAAGCTAGATTCTCTGCATGCTGCATTTGTTTTCATCCATCTGTACATCCCTTTTACGAGAGATTCCATGTCGATCACTTCCTCACGATGTTTCAAGAATCATATGAACGGACTGAATTAGTATTTTTTTAAATTACTTACACAAATCCAAATTTACTAGCGGCTATCTCGGCAACGAGACCAGCAATTACTGCCACAATCGAGTTTCCGAGAACAGCATTGGCGAACAATGTACCCATTGATTCCCGCGCCAATTGTCTCTTCAAAAACAGTGAGGGTAGCAATTAGCCTTGCTCTTATCTGACACCGCAGAAATTGGTGTTTAAGACACCTCAACCCGAAAATCTAGAGAGAAACCTTTTGAATATCTTAAAAAAGTTCAATTTTTCTTCTGAATACGCATTCTGCAATCTTTTGACAGCTCATCATACACATCTGACAGCTGTGAAATGGCCATTTTGAAGCTTAAAGTATACACAAGGCTATTGATTCGTTTTTACCGTGTGCAAGCTTCAAATCTTTTGTGCAAGACATATTTTCTTGACCTTCTCACCAAGTTTGAAGTAAGTATTGAGAATTGCGGCTAAGTCTATACTAATTTCTGCGGTGTCGGTCTATCTAATTAAAAAAAGCAGACCAACTCTGTGCGCAGGCTAACTAACATGCAGCACTGAGCAGACTTACTTTTGAATGCTCACAAATTGCCCAAGATTCAAAAGCACTGAAGAGGATCGAGGTTGCAACTCCAGCCAAAATTCGTCCCACCATAAGAATATTGTAATTGGAAAAATGCTATCATAAAAAACGAAAATGTTAGGTTGAGCGGAGTAAATAAACAATATAAGCAGGCACTGACCAGATATGGAAGTATACAAGTTAAATCTTAGTATGTAAAAAGTAAAGTTAATTATACTTCTAGTGACGTAGCCAGCCTGAAGATTTTTCCCACTATATGTAAATTTCCAGTTATTATAATTATTAATTTCTTTAGAAATTTCTTTAGAAATTTATCGTCTTCACTGGCAATGAACACTAAAATATTAGCATAGCTGCATGGACAAATCCTCAGGCTGGCTACGCTACTGACTACTCCACTTACTTTCGTCACACAAGCTGCGCCGTATAACACAGCATATATTAAACAATTCAGTTTTCGGCCACTAAAGGATAAGATTGCGAAGTTATATTGCTTATAAAGGTGAATTATTCAAAATGGACACGAGTTGTTACCAATTGCTTTGCGATCCGCGAAACATGTATGTAAAATTCATGTCACGTATGTTAAAACAGATCTGTTTTATTTATCAATTATTTCGATCCTAACTCTCTTTAAATGTTGCAGCAGAAATAATGGTTTTGATTTAATTCATTTAAATGAAATGAACTAACTATAAATGGGGCACTAACATGCATTGAATGGTCATATTATATTATTCTCTTTTATTATATGAGCAAAAGAATTGCAGTTATCCAAAAAACACCTGAAATTGACATAATCTACTACGATAACCATTCTTCATAGAGTGTTTGTGTTTACACAATTTAGCTTGATCTCAAGGGCATTTGCGCGTCACATTTTGTACTTTTACCATTCTTTTCTTGTCGTTTGTTAGGTTTGTTCGTTTAGTTCATGGTAAACATCTGCTTATGCTTACCATTTATCTGCAAGAGATCCAATGAATGTTCCAAAAATCATAGACGAAGCAAATCCACCAACAAAGAGTTCTCCAATCTCTTTCGAACTCAATCCATAACTCTCGTATAATACGTACACATGAGGACCTTGCAGCCAGTCTGCAGCTAAATAAGAAGAATTTCGCATGTCAACTGACATGACGTGGGGTGGACAATTGGCCGTAGTTATTGCATTGCGGAAAAGACGAAGGAAACAAGCGTGTTTCAGATCCATGATCTGAATGTGCATGACAAAAAATCAATGAAATGAGGTGCTATAAGTAGAAAACTAGACAGAAGAATCGGACAAAAATTTTGGAAAGAGCGTAACTTTTACCCCTGAAAACTTTTGGGATACCAGCTGTACACTGTGATTATTGGATTGTTCAATTTGGATGAAGGATTTTGTGACTGATTTTACTCAAATAATAATTAGATTACCGATGGCTTATTTCAAGAGGAAAGGGCGCAATCAATGAATTTCTATAGGTGAGTGCAAATGTGGCTGGCTGTGTGGCAATCCTAAAACTTTCCGGACCTAGCCATGTGTTACAGATATATATACTGGGTGTCCCAGAAAAAAGTTCTCCGGTTTGATTATTAATAGCTTCTAAACTAGCTAAGCTATTAAACTGACATAACTTTCACTAGATAGAGGGAAGACTAACTTAGATTTTGATATATTACAGTTGTATTTTACTTTAAAATTTACGGAGATATCAATGTTCAAAATTGGTAGCATATTTCTGGATGTGTCTAAATGATATTGATTAACATTTGATACGGCGTTTTTTGCATAATTTAGACACCTCCAGAAATATGCTACCAATTTTGAACATTGATATCTCCGTAAATTTTAAAGTAAAATACAACTGTAATATATCAAAATCTAAGTTAGTCTTCCCTCTATCTAGTGAAAGTTATTTCAGTTTAATAGCTTAGCTAGTTTAGAAGCTATTATGAATCAAACCGGAGTACTTTTTTCTGGGACACCCAGTAGATCTTGCCATTAAAGGAAGGATAATTTTAACTAGGATATGTTTATAATGTCTAACTTCTCCCCTCTTGCTATTTACCTCTTTCTCATTCTAAAAAACAATTTTAACAAAAATCCACAGCATGTTAATAGATTTAATTTAAAGTTAAAGCAGTCAAACCACTGAATATTCTAATCTATATAAGCACAACAATTGGTACGTTGATTTTTTTACTGTTTTAAATTACCGCTTAATATTCTTGATAGCTGGAAGTTTTAAGAGCAATTTGCCTTCAGTTCTTTTATTTAAACTCCGATAATCGAAAATTCAAACGCCAGGCATGTTTGCCGAAAACATTTGCTCGGAGCAATATTCGTGAAAATACACTTTAGATTGTATAGGTACAAAAATTATTCATTGGCCGACATCTCTTCTTTCACTAGTAAGGCCTATTTAGACTATACAATTAGTTGTATGGTGCAATTATCAATCTGACAAATGCAACCTCAATCTTTCTCATTTTGTTCGGACGGAATTTGAAAATGTCACGTTTGTACATGTGAATGCATGTTCACATACCATACGTCAGAACGCCAGGGCAAGAATCGTACGCGACAAATCGCAATATTCATAACTAGGACCCCGTTTACACTGTACCGGATTCACATGGTCACGGCATCAGTTTGCAGTGAGTTGTTGTACGATATTTGGCAGATCATGTTAAATCATGCTATCATACTTTTGGAGGTAAAACTCGCTTTGACATGGCTAGATTTGATATCGTTACAATGCGAGTTCGGTGTACAGAATGTATAAAAAAACTGCAACCATGATAATTCCCAGGGCCTACGATCTTTTGACTTTTGTTATTGAATAGAAACGAACGTACATTTATAATATTAAGTGTCTTTTAGCATTATTAGTTCCTTTTAAAATTGATCGTTTTTACAGCCTGCTAATTCATGTATGAATATTAGCCCCCATGCACTTAACGATCTTCCGCCCTTTATGGACTTTGGATGTGAATGTAAGCACAATCAAATATATCACTGTCTGCTATCCTGCCTGAATGTGAACACTAGGTATCACAATGTTTTAAAACTGCAAAAATAAAACAAAGTCTGTACTGCGTGCACACGTTGCACATGCGCAAAAGCGACTGTAACTTGTCCTTAATTGCATGTGGCATGTGGCAGTGGCGCGTTGACAGTTGGTTGACAATGACACGTTGCACTTGACAGACACTTGTGAAAGTCAAGAATAAATCAAGCATCAAGCAACACTAACACAGTGACAGCATGAACCACATACATTAGTAAACACATATATTCGGTAATATAAGCTATAAGGTCGTCATATAACAAATATAAAGCACGAATTCCAAAGTTAAAGTGGAAATCGTGTCCATGTGTAAACAAATAGTTTATTTACATACGATGTGCTGTCTGAATATCCCACAACATTTAAGTTCGCAACGGAAACTATAGTGTTTAGTGTCTTGAAATTTCAATTAAAAATTAAATTTTAAATTAACTTGACTTTATTTTTTAGTGTTGATGTGGAGAAGCTTTGTCTCTTACTATTTGTCAATAACCAGATTGTCACAGACAAAGTGACAAAGAGTGACACACTGACACGCACGTCGAATTAACGCTAGAACCGGCGTCTTGTAGTAAGATTTTTAGTGTATATCATATGACTTGATTTCATTACGTCGGAGTTAAAGAGACGATCGCCTATAGATCTCCTGGAATATTATTTGTTGAAGTGAAGCTTCATACTGTATTTTACGTTCTATATACAAACCTGTTGCCAGTAAATAAACGGTAATATAGATTTTTTGAAAGCGTTTAAACTCCTCGCAACTTCTCTCATCGTCGCTCGATCTAGTCTTCCAATGTGTACCTAAGCACATCAAGACTAGAGCACATAACGTGCCAATAAACACAGCCATTTGGTGTGTCATAAACGAGTTATTTGTATTATATTAAAGCCGGTTCCGTGGTACATTGTATCGACATGTCACACTCATCGCGAGTTCGTGAATATGCCAAGTAGCTGGTGTGATAAAATATTTTCATATTATGTGCAGCAGTGTGTAGTCAACAATGACCAATTTGAATACAGAAATGAAGAAAAATTTTCTTCCGGAATATTTTTCATCCGGTGAAAATAACTTGTTCACTACAATTACGACTAAATAGAAACCAGGCTTTAAGCATTTTTCTCCCTTTTAACCATTAAATTTGTGGTAGCCACTATCATTTTTACTGCGATGTTTGTGGGATGATCACTAACGTGCGATGTTTCTGGGATGATCACTAGCGTGCGATGCATGTCGGATGATCACTTGTAGTGGTGGTACCGATAACTTGGTATGGATAACACTCAATAAACCAGAAGTAATCCATACTTCGTGTTTTCGAAATGTGTTTTGATTACTTTTAATAAAACTAAATATAGACAGTCCTTGCTCTTGTATTATCTTTCCATATGCTAATATAATTGGAGTTTTGACACACATGAATCCCTTCTGTAGATTACAAAATATTCAAAGTAAGGCACTATTGTAGTAGTATGATTCTGACAATCATCCGAAGAACGGCTAACAAACATCAGATTTAATTTTGGCTAGCCACATGTACGCGTCACGTACCTATTTTTGTGCATGTATATTTGGACGGTCAAGAGGCCAAATCCGAGCATGTTGGCACAGCCTCCTCGGAATTTTGCCCCTGGACCTCCTTCTCGTGTTATTGTTCATTTTCACTTTTTTTTCGCAAAAGATTATTTTTACTCTTTTATGCATGTGGCGAAAAAGAATGTTTTGACATTAATTCCAAAACGTAACTGAGATTGAAGAATTCACATGTGCGAGAGTGTGCGACAGGTGTGCGACCTCTTCCACTCTTCGGTCGCACTTGTCCGAAAGAGTTTGAGGGGCCTGTATATAACCTCCTGTTCATATGAGACTGGCCGCCGAGATCTTGCTTAGATATTATTTCACTCTATTTGTAAAATTCCATTCATATGAAAGTAATGGGACCGGGCCAGGCAAGATCGGAAGATCCCGCCTGAACGAAGCGAGATCTCGCCTTTCAAGCGGCCAACCCGTGACCCGTCAGAGACGTATTACCGGCAAAAAAATCTATTGGAGGGATGTATATTCCTTATCACTGTTTTTTCTCAACCCTTGACTATTCAAGTTAAGTTTTAATATGACTTAGCATCAAATCACAGTATAACAACTGCCCAAAATAGATAGACAAAGCACTTCTCAACGTTTCGATCTGAGGGGCAAGGTCTTCGTTAATACCCTGGGTACGAGGTTGTTGACGAAGGCCCTCAGCACAAACTAAAGATCATACAGACCGTTCACTCCTGCGATTTCTTGTCCCCCTTTTTCAATGCGCATACATATTCTTCCTCTGTGCCCTCAGGTCGAAACGTCGAGATCTATTTTAGGCAGTTGTTATACCACATTTGATGCTAAATTTTAATATGGTTTTGATATTAAAGCTCAACAAGCTCACCTTACACCAATGCCAAAATTATTTCACCACAGCAGCCAGAATTGCCAGAAAGTCGCCCTAAATACCGGTCTTTTTTATTCCACCTGGCACCATAGGTAGCCCAATATGCGCTGCATTACGTACGTCACTCGGGTCACGTATATAGTATATAATATTATATACTATATACGTGACCCAAGTGACGTACGTAATGCAGCGCATTGGGCTACCTATGCTGGCACCTGGAATCACAACTGAACAGCAGTGCCAGTGGCTCCAGTGCATCTCAAGTGGTTTCAATATCTGACGAGGATTGAAATTTCTATGCTGCCACTCCAGGAAAACCAAATGCTTTGGTATTGTCCAGGTTTCAATCACTGGTTTCATTTCGTTTTAACGCCAAAGAACGCCAGACCAAATTCCAAAGACCAAGGCAAGGTGCGTGAGGCTTCCAGAATATTATAGATGCTTGAGTTTCCAGAATAAATGTTATTAAATATTTGCAAACGATTTTATCGAGCAGGGTTTACGTCTTTAAACAATAAAAAGGCAAGTATATTAATTATTATACTTTTATGCTTGATAGCAGCAAAATGTATGCAATTAATTATAATCTTTTACAATTATAATGATCGAGTGCAGATATATTATATATATATATATATATACATATATATATATATATATATATATATATATATATATATATATATATATATATATATATATATATATATATATATATATATATATATATATATATATATGTTATTTATCGGCTGCAAGGTCCGAAAAATTTACGACGTTTTCATGAATATTTTTTGCCTTGCTGCATGTGCCATGCTTTGCTATGGTTGTAATTAATGTATATTCAAATGTTGCTCAAGAGAAATATATTTTTATTGCATCTGGCAGCTGAATTTTCGACTTCACTTCAATGTGCATAAGGCTTTTTGACCAGGGGTTGCAGTTAGCTTCAGGAACTTGCTGGTAATGCAGCCAGGGTGCAGCCGACCATATGAGCCGACCTAGGATCCCAACATCTGCACTCATGATTTGAAGCAAATATATACCATTCCCATTTGTGCTTCATGCTTAAGCTTTACTGTGGGTTTAGGTTGGACTGTAATATACTATAGGACTACCTATAGAATCAGCTAAAAGCATTATTACAAACATAACATGTGTGTGCTATGAGATTTCAACTCAGCTGCATTTAAAAAACATGATGAATGGCATGTCAAAATTTTGTATGTGATATACTCTTTTGAAGCATTTTGAAATCAGTTACATCAGAGAGTTTCCTTTGGCAGATGTTGCGATCTCATTATCAGTTAGACAGTTAGTCAGTTACATATATATTTATGATCAGTTTCAATATCATACAATTTTATATGATATGAAACTCAATTCTGTTTTTGAAACTGCAAATTATTTTACCAGTTTTCTCTTGCTGTGGAGCATATTATTAGAAATTGGGGGGGGGGACGGCTAAGTTTATTTTCCAGAACTCATTGACATCATTTCCTGTATTTTCTTTCCAATAAATGTGGGGCTTAAAGGCTTAAAGCTCCTGTTGGCTACCTAAAATCATCATGCTATTCCAATCAATGTCTTTATTTCTTTGAGTTCAAATTTTGAGTTTCTGTCTTGAATATTCATGAAAATTCATGAATATATGGGTTGAGTTATTTCTCTGATCTATATTAATTGCACTGCACTAGCTATTCCTAATCCTTGTCTTCCTGACTCCTGAGTAACCTCCACACATAAAGGTCAGTTGGATCTGATAACTGATTAAAAACACTTGTAGTGAGATTCATGAATGTCACATCAGCGGGGGGTTTTGGGAAAGAATCTGTTTTTACGTTCTCTCTGACAAAGGTACGTAATTTTCAATGCCACACAGTCATTGTACGTAGATCGGCTGGATTTTATGAATATTCGGATGAATATACTCCGAAATTGATTTTGTTAAGCACACTAACACCTAAATGCCACAAGCAAGGCTAACACTGTACTTAACCTCGCTATTCTAGAACGTTTAGAACAGTGTTTCATAAAGTGTACAAATGTTTTTTGTGCAGTGTTTTATTTAATTGATTCATTTCAATTTCATGTGGCAAACTTCATAATCAACTGCACAAGAAAAATTTAGTCTAATAGAATATTCAGGACAAAACGTTCATTGACATTGTCCTTCGTCACATGACACTATTCTTCATCGATGATTCATGGTATTGGCATACCAGGTCTATAAAAAGAGGGAAAAAAAGATTGTTTAAGAATTGCACTTCAAAAGTTTCTTTTTTCCCACTGAATATCCAATCCACATGAATTGTGACGGTGTACTGTGTTTCAGTTCTAGGGACCAAATGTCTTTTTCCCGAATTCATTGCTGTACAGCTCTCTCTCTCTCTCTATATATATATATACAGGCTGCTGGAGGACTTACCTTGGTTCAAATGTGAAATATCTAATTCTCTTAATCGTTTATTCTTACTTAAATTCCCGCCATAGTTATAGTCTTTGTTAATCGAAAAATCATCTTATACATCGCACTATATAGTTTCTTACCCATATACAACACAGTTTGGCCACGGCATGGTCATAAGATCTGGTTCGACTTCCCATTTTCCCTCAGGTGTACATTTATAATTCTCAGCTTGAAGGTACTCCACATCATAGCCGTCGTTGCATTGAACATGACAGTTCAGGGATGCCGTTACATCTTTCTGACAGACGAGTTTGCCATTCGTTGGTGATGCGTATTTGTGACACTTCACGTCTACGGAATATTAATCGAAAATACGTTACAAGTAGCTTTTTGACTATATATGTATAGTTTTGTTAATAAAACATCCACAAATTATTGATCACTGTTATAATAAAGCTGAATTTGTTCAACGGAACGGGATGAAAATGGATTTTTTAAATTGTTGGCGTCCTTTAGTTATTAGTTGTTTTGAGAACTAAAAGCTTGACTAGGGAATAGGTTACTAGATGAGTTGATTTTTTGTTGTTTTTAATCCGGCACTGTTTGAAATACAATCTGAAGTCCAGAGTATGAAAAATATTCCAGATATGTAGAAAAGAATACTTGTGTGGATAATTTGTTTTTTCAAATTGAGTTGCATCGACTGAAATTTATTGACGGCGAAACATGAAAATCGAATCTTAGATCATTTCACACGCTAGAAAAATTAAATGTGTTTTTTATTATTTTTCATACCAAAGGCAAAGATTGCAATTTCGTCGCACAAATCAGTAAATCCTCATAGATATATTGATTCAGCTGCATGCCGCTTATTTTTGCTATTCTCTCTTGAACTGCTTGTGCCTGGTATCTACCTGTGGCCTTGTGCATACGTCAAGCTGAGCAAATTTCATAATTGATAATATAACCATTATGTATGGGGGACATAACAAATTCTTAGAGGGAAGTCTCGTATATGATGAAAGTTTTTTCATTTTAGAAAAAAAGAGATGATATTTCAGGAACACGCACTTAGAGGAGCAATGAAAAGAATGCTGTTAGACCTGTTATCCTTTGGACAACTTATGTAGGTTTCGGTCAAGGTGAGACACGCGATCTTACAGCATGAATGAAGATGTCGCGATTGATAAATGTGTAGCGATGTGTATTCATTTTAACTCGTTCAAAAATGAATTCTCTAATCCTCATCTGGTGATACAAGTTAGCATTATAAATGAAAATACCCAAGCCAAGCACACCCAATGCCAAATTAACGTCAACGTTCAATACACGCAAAAAAACTCAATGTCACGAGTTTTTATCAAATGCGTTTCGCCTTAAAAGATAGAAATGAAGGTCGTATTATGTTTTCTGAACGACACAGCGCAAAAACACGTGATATTATAATCTTATAGTATAGCGCGCAATATGAAAAAAATACGCTCTACTGAATCATGATATTTACATGTGATTTTCAGTTAGTCAGTCTTATAAATGCGACATAATTCGAGCTTACCTGTATAATTCATAGCGAAGCTCGATGAAATAGCCAAAGCGAGAAACAAAAACACTCGATTCATGATGAAAAAAAGATTGTTCTTTCGGGAAGAAAGTCGTTGTCGTTTTCAAAAATCCTGAGATGTTTACTCAGTTGTCTTCGAAAGCAAATGCTATTCTTTGTATCAATTTACATTATTTTATGTCACTGATTACCGGCTCAACAGATTTTAATACAAACAATTAACCTGATTAGCTTTGACATACCTTATCGTATTTAACGAAATGTGAGTTTATTTTGACTTTATGAGCGTTGCATGGTATATGGTAAGGTGAACGTTGCATGGTATATGAGGTAATTTTGCCTTCTTTTGGACCCTACATGACATTTCACAATTTCAATGATGATTTCTAAACATGAAAAAATCAATGTCTGTTGTGATATAATATAGCCTTAAGCGTGAATTTGAAGCCAATAAACCGACTACCCGAGGTATTTAAAATATTTCTCACTTTCGCACTCACCCTCATTCAATGAAGAAGCTCTGGTAACACCTTTGCCAAACCCTCATTCCGCGCGTGGATGTTGCGTGGGTTCGTGTTTTAACTCCCGTTTCATGGTCTAGTTTCATGGAAGTGCATGTGCACCTCACTTTATCTTTCCGGATACAGGTCTGTGCACAGGCTACTCACCCGATGCACCAAATTGTTGTGTTTATTGTTTACAAAAGCTGCGTGAATTTTAGTAAAACTTTCGGAGCATAAAATACTGTTCAGAAATTCAACCCTAAATAATTTTTCCTGTTGCAAAATATAGCAGGAAACTTCCTTGTCAGTGTGACCATAAATGCAAGTCTTTTACCTAAAACTACTCAAATTTATTTAAAATGCCCCTTTCTGGTATAAATTTGGTCTACTAAAAAAAGGGGCGGTGTCTTGGTGCATGCGACCGAATCTGGTAATAAAAAATTACCAGATGTGACCACACTGCTCCTTGAATATGTTATCAGCTTTTGCATGTGTCCATGCGCTTTGAGTTCAAGACGCATGCGTACCACCTGTTCACACGATCCAATTTTGTTGGATCCAATTCACTTTTGATGGATTTTTTATAGTCTGTTGTCTTGTAATGTATATCAGCAGCAAATCCACTGAAGCCAATGTACTACTACGACTATATTTCATACGTCAGAAGTGAATTGGATCCAACAAAATTGGATCGTGTGAACAGACCTTAATGGATGAAGGATTCGCACTAGCGACGTTTTTTCAGAAAAATACGTTCTTCACGTCATTTCTTCAACTTTGTCTCTGCTTATCTTCCCGAATTCCACTTCTCAACCCGCGCCTGCCCAACTACCGCCCGTCTGCCCGCTACTTATTACTCGTGCTCTAGGAGGGCACGAGTCTAGGTTTCGTCGTGTGTCGGTCGCGTTTTGGACCTCGATGACCCAGAATGCATTGCGCACTTGACCCAGTAATGTATGACGAAATGTAATTATTCGACAATACAAGCCACTTTTACAAACAATACGGCAAAATATATTGCACAGAAGACATTACTACGGTGCGCGATGTATATTACGAGATATAATTATCCGACAATACAAACCACATTTTACAAACAATACGAAGGATGCAAAATATATATGCACAGAAGACATTACTACGGTGCAACATTTAATGCATATTCCATGGTGCGATGTATATTTTTAAATTCCTATATGAAAGCAAGATACATGATCGATGTTTTCGCAGTTTTAGACCTACAAATGCTTATAAATCACACTTATTAATACCTAAATGTTTGAACCGTCGACTGACATTACGAACAATGCGAATCAATACTATTACAACTAGATTTTTGAAAGCTTTCGTCGGAACTAAAACACTGCAGTCTGCAGTCAATATATAATAGAAGCATTGACACATTAATATGTCACGCCGTGCGGATTGTTTATAGGCTACCTATAATCGGCATTTGTGAATTGTGATAATAATGTAAATGTATTATTTTATACTTGTGTGATACATTTTTGTCGTGTAAGTTCTCCCAGGCCTAGGGTAACCATAAAAGCTATTCCCACAACACGCCATGATTGTGTCCCTCAAGTAATGCTATTAAATCCCTAAAACACAATCCCTAGAGCACGAGTGTACGCCTAAGCCGGCGTCTTGTTAAGTCTTATTTTAGTACTTTTGACACAAAGGCCTCCGTGCGGGCAATATCGCTGCGGACATTTGTTGCAGGATAAGTGTTTCAATAATAAAAATATGTATTTTGAACGTGAACTACAGAACAATATACTATTGGCGAAATGGTAAAGATTTTTCAATATATATTAATATAAATTTGGTCAAAATATGCACAAAGCTACCACTACGCTATAAATGAAATTATATTTTTCTTATTTTTTTTTACTCAAAAACCTAAATATTACTTTTCAAACATTCACCTTTAGCATCAGCCTCCTAGATGAAATATCTAAGCGAACAAAATTGCAAAATTTTATTTTATTTCCTTCCATCATGTTTTAAACACGAGTTAGATTGTGTATTCATAGTTTTGAGGAAAGAAATGTTTTGTTCAGTTTATTTCTATCTGAAGCATAGCGGACCAGCCTCGAAGCCAAACTCCGCGTTTTCGGTCCAATCCCTTGGCGCGAAGTCGACAATTGGTAGCTGGTTGAGTTTGTCCGTCTCGATCTCGAATACTGTTTTATCGTCGCCTTTTTCCTATTGAAGAGATAAGGAAGAAGGTTTAGCCAGAACCAAAGTGATGGAGTTAGTCGGGAACTCTCGAAGACATGAAGTACTAGACCAGACAAACAAGGGTTAGCAGAATACCCCGTCAACCAGACACTTAAAACAGTTGTAGTTTGATACGTCAAGTTGCATGTTTCTTGCAACAATTCAGCAAAACCTACAACAAAAGTTTCGACTTCAACAAAAGTTTTAACGACAACAATCATACCTTACAGCCATCTCGAATTATCTTTAATTTGCTCTTATTTGATTCAAATGAAAATTCTTGTTCGTTGTCTCCTTGCAAGATCATAGATTTATCATAATTGTTATTGCTCTCGTCGAACCAAGCAATGAAGTTCTTACACGACACGGTGAAGTTCTGTTTGCCACTCTCGCTCAAAAGACGCAAGAATGTAAGTTGAACTTTGCCAACATCGTTGTACGAGATCTAAAAATTCAACATAGCCTTCAGCTAACTTTTGAAATGTTGGACTTATCTTTATCCCACATTGAAATAGCCATTGTGTACCGTGGTGATGTGTTACAGAAATCTAACGAGTTGGACATATTGAACTGATAATAAGTAGTTTGGTGCCAAGTGTCAAGCTTCTGTGCTTTATTGGAGTGCTTGAGAACACAATGGCCGGAGAAGATGCACTTTCTTCACATGTATCCGAGGTATGATTATGTAAAAGACAATTTCTTAATAGAAAAAAAGTGCGCCAGGCCATCACAATTTGTTCACGTGAATACTTACAGCCTTGCCGCCGTTAAGTTCGCTGAAGTAAACATCTTCTGTTGAATCTCTGGTCCACGTCTTTTTGTCAACCTGTATGCGAATAATCATTTAGATAGGTTCACTGTTCCGATTCATATTGCCCTTTATTATTCGTTTTAACAATAGTCTTTCAGTATCGAGGAATGAAAGAAGAAAGATTTAACTGTAATAGAAAATACACATTGCAGAGAAGATGAGATGACGTTAAGTATGAGGGTAATGAGAGTCAGTCGGAGACAATTTGAAATGAAGTGATTTGAAGGTGATAGGTGGTGGTATACGTTGCAGAGAAGACGATGTCAAGATAGTGTGCATGGAGATGAATGATGAAGAAATGGTGAAGAATCCGGAGATAATATGGAATGAAGAGATTGGACGATGATGCGAGGTGGTATATATTGCAGAAAAATTGTGGTAAATATTGACGATGAGTATGAAAAAAAGATATGCAATAAAGCTGCCAGAGTGGTGTGAATGTGAAAACACAAGCCTGTTCACCTTTTTACTGTCTTTATCGGGGTACACGCAGGTTTCTCCTTCAGCCTCGAAGTTACAATATACTTCAATGGCGTCATCTGGACATCCTTGGTTAGGATCAATCCAATACATGCCTGAAACACGAGGAAACGAAAATTAATTTTGGATTCCGTCATTAGAAGGTAAAAATGAGTTAACTAAGGGTCAACGACACTTCAGTAATAGAAGAACCTTATGTCCATATTGAACAGTTCTTATCTGTTCTTCCAAGAAGACCTGGGGAATTGTATACTAAAGAGCAAAAATCGTACCATCGTTGTTGCCCTTATTGCATAGATAGAGATCTTTGCAGCTGCGTGCTGGGTTGGCTTGTGTTCCACTTGGTCGTCGGATTTCTTCAATTTCTTTCTTGATCGATTCGATAGACGCGGCCATCTCTTCGGCTCCAGCAAAGAATGCATTGTTCGAATCATCGACAGCTCTCTTTCCACGGCCTTTGTATGTGCCTGTTTCTGGTTGGTAGCCTACACCGCTTTGTGGAGAATAACCAGCCTAATAAAATAAAATGAATATACAAAAACCATTCCAAAAAATTCATTTCTGTAGTGCAGAGGTATTTCCTTGATCAACTAAAAAAGGAATCAATGGATATTAAGGGATCAAAGACTTACTGTTCCCGGAGGTCCTGGAGGTCCTGGTGGTCCCTGAGATGAAGAGAGGAAAAAGAAAATTTAGTGGATTGTAATGGTGGTGTATATAGTAAATCTATCATCTTTTACAAGATCCTGTTATTGTGTTCAACGCTATAACAGTGCAACAAGTACATACCGGTGGTCCTAGATCGCCCTGTAGGTAAAAAACAAGAAGAAGAGTTAAGATACTGATGGACATTATTCACAAAGACAGACGTCATTTAGCTTCCCATTGTTAAATCCGTTGATAATACGTATTTCAACTCAAGCAATAATTCCATCCCTAAGTCTATCCCTTGTAATGTGCTGGCTTTTCATACTTAGCTAAAAGATATCAATAAGACATGAAAGTAATTGACACTTACACCTGGTCCCATTGGGCCCTGAAAATTAAAAAGAGAGAAATAAAATTAGTTTTATCTCAAATATATGCGATGGGACAAATGTGAAACTTTCATGGATATATATTTTAAGTATACATACCGATTCACCTTTAGGTCCCTAAACAATGAAAGAAAAGATATATTAGAAATGAGAAGAACTAATTAAATAAATGTAATTTATTAGAAAAAGATGCTTGGTTCCTTTAGTGGATTGAATTAGGTGGTATAGGGTTTTTGTCCAACAGGTAGCAAAGACAAAAAACGCAAAGAGGTATCGTTTGGATATAGTCGCTATAACGATGAAACATCGGCCACAGCTAAAAACGTAGTGAAAAATCAGGAGTAACTTACAGTTGGTCCAGTAGCACCCTAAAACAACAAAAAAATCGTGTCAGAAAAATTCATAAAGAGCTAATAACTCAAGTAAAAATCCACAAATTTGTTTTTATTAATCCACAGAATGACTTCTGCAGTAACAAAAGGAATTGGCTGAGTTTGGTAAAAAAATTTTTAAGCTGCACTCTTTTCAGTTATACCGGGTATACATCTGATTCATACTTCATGGTATAAAGAGCTGTCACAATTGACGACTGCCGATAATATGGATCTCAAAAATATCAGTTTACTTACCGGAGGTCCAGGTGGACCTGGAGGTCCAGAGGGGCCTCGGTTACCGTTTGGTCCCTATAAAAAAAATGTTTTTACACTTCCGTGAAGTAATATATGGCATTTACTGATTTGTCTTTATAAGTACAAAGGTTATATCGCACTTATATCGACGTTATGCATGTGGGAACAAAACAAAATTCTTGTACAATGGCTCGGTCACTTTTCAATCTCATATGCAGAGTTATTTCACTAACTGGCCAGTTTCATGCAAATTGAAACAACTCGACTTGTCTTGCCCTATACGGCGATCGTACACACGCGCACAAATCCTATTGGAGGTGACAATTCCATAATATTAATGATTCATTTGTCTACTTACGACATCACCCTTTGGTCCAAATGGTCCTGGGGATCCTCGTTCACCCTCGTCACCTTTTTCTCCTGCAGGTCCCTGTGGGCCTGGTGGTCCGAAGAAACCTGAATCTCCCTATTTTTAAAGTAGAAGAAATTCGTTAGTAGTCACAATATTTCCTTCGCCCAGACGATATTTCTCCATTTTTGCTTTTTTTTTCTAAGATCTAATCTCTTCCACTCATCCTTTCCTTGTCTCGCGGTAACACACTATGACGAAATTGGTAAAGTCCTGCTTAATTTAACAGGAGGGGTTATGACGTTACCTTTGCACCATCACGACCAGCAGCACCAGCTGGGCCAGGTTCACCAGTAGCACCCTAAATATTAAAAGTATTTTATGATCTTCGAAATAAACAATAATTACGAATATATCCGGCGTTACGCCCGTACTTACCACAGGTCCGCGAGCTCCGGGTTGACCTGCGGTTCCAGGACGACCTTGTGCACCCTTGGAATAAAAAAATATATTTATGAGTGCAATAGTTTGCAATGGATACCGATGATCCGGGGGAATGTTTTACATTACCGTTTGTCCCCGTTGGCCTCGTTCTCCTTGGGCTCCCTGTGGACCTGGTGGACCCTGAACATGAAACATGATCAAAATAAGCTTTAATAAATGACCTCGCCTATTCGACAAATGGGAACAAGAGAGAACTTATAAATACATGATGAAGCCTATTCTACCCACCGCTGGTCCAGCGCGTCCATTTTCACCAGCAGGTCCTTGTCGTCCTTGATCACCCTAGAACATAGTTTATTTATTTACTCAGAAATCTACGCACGTGAAGGATTGGAGGCTTTAAAGTGTACAAAATGTATCAAATCTAAAAAGTGTATAAAATTGCTTGTGAAAGATTCGGTTGCGTGTGTTGCTGCACAAGATATTTATACCTTCTCTCCTGACAAGCCTTGTTCTCCAGCGCTGCCTTTGGGGCCTGGTCTACCCTATATAACACAATTTATAACCGTTGTAAAACACTTTCAACGTTTTCAACTCACGTATTTAAACAACACGTTTTAATAGCATGTGCAAACAACAGTGAGTCATCACATATGACAGTAACCAGTTGGATACTTACAGGGTTGCCTTGTGGGCCAGGTGGACCATCATCGCCAGGTTGCCCAGGTGGACCCTAAATTCACCAATCATCAGGTAAGATACGGAATGATGTCATAAAATATCCCCACTTCCCAGAACGTCAGGAAACTTACCACAGGCCCTTGTTCACCTTTCGATCCATCGCTTCCATCATTACCAGGCTCGCCCTAGAAATTTAGATTTATTTTACTTATAACCTAATGTGTGCGGTAAATCCTCGTATTTTGTCGACAGGATGTATTTGCAACATGTTTGCTTTGACATAGCATTGTAGGCTGCCGTATGAAGATTCTACCAGCAATTCGATATTTCGACTTCCTTGTACAAACCTTAGGTCCTACTGGGCCAGGTCCGCCAGGTGGTCCAAGAGGTCCAGGTGGACCCTAGATAATTTACAGGAGGATGAATAAATATTATTTCAACAAAAATACATCACATGAGGTGGGATTTAAACCGGTTAAAATTTTTGGAAAATAATATTCATGTACTCAGTACTCATGTAAAATTGTGTGCACTTTATATGAGGGGACTTAATTTTTTTTCTGTTTTACATGAACGACACATGGGAAAACCTTTTGTACAAGAAATATCTTTAACAGCCCGTCTAAAGTGTAGCCAGGCGTTGTGCATTGTATACGAAGGGGGGAAACAATTGAAATAATAATTTCAATAATAAAAATGCTCCTTACAGATTCACCCTTTGCACCAGGACTTCCCGGAGCGCCGACTCCACCGGATGCACCCTGAAAAATGGCAATGACATGTTAAAAACTAACGAAATTATTGTAAATGATTAACCTAACGATACAATATGGACAACGAGGACTTTATCATTTCGAAAGTTTACTCGTGGAAATATTACCTGCACACCAGCTTGTCCAGCTTCACCCTTACTACCAGGATTACCTGGGAGACCCTGAAATTAAATACAACAAAGTAAGTCATCCATCATTTCGTTCGTACGACACCTCCGTTGCGAGTCTTTGTTTCTTACAACAGGCGAGGTTCTAGATCCTGTAAATCAGGCTATGTATACAGGTATGTCGACAATGGAACAGGATTTTAAAACAGGATGTCGCTCACCTGAGAACCTTGGGGACCAACTGGTCCTTGATCACCCTTTTCTCCTCGATCGCCCTATATAATTAAAGAAGACGCTTTGTCAACTGTGTTTTATTCTGTTTTAAGGTCACAGGTTATTTGAGTCCCCGCGCGAAAGATAACAATGTTACTTGAAAGTAACCTGAAAATGTGACCTGAAAATACATTAATCACCTTTTGTCCAGTACGCCCAGATGGTCCCGGGGGTCCAGTTGCTCCTTGTTCACCCTAAACACGTTTAATAAGAAATTTGCAAACGGGGATCCATAATATGACTTCCTACATTCACCCAGGATTTTTCTTACAATCTACGAATATACCTTATCACCGGCCATTCCTGGTTCTCCTCTTGCTCCGATTCCACCTTGTGGACCCTAAAATACCAAGATTTGTTGAAAGAAATATTGAACTATAGTTGCCAAGATGACGAACATTATGATGTATCTTTGGATTCCATTGTAAATTTACCAGCTTATTCCAGTAGGCTAGATTTACATTTAAAAGATTTTACTCGCCTGTCTTCCAGGATCGCCACGATCACCTTTTGGTCCGGCTTGACCTGGTGCCCCCTGAAGAAATGAAAGAAAATGGTGAACATGTCCGAGTTAGATGCGATAATATAAATTTAACTCTAAATACTTAGTGTTTCCTTACCGGCATGCCAGTATTTCCGGTAGGTCCTTGTAAACCTCGTGGGCCATCAGCACCTTTCTCTCCTCTTGGTCCAGTCTGTCCCTGTTGACCACGTTCACCTGGAGGTCCCTAGATTATTTACACAACATGCTTAGACGACGTCCACAAGCCACATTTTTTCGCTTTTTACCTGGTTTTTTAATAATTTCGCATGACACATTTTTCCATCAATCGCCTTGCTCTTATAACTAGTCTGCTGAAACAAGGTCTGTAAAATATACTTACGGGTGGTCCCATTTGTCCCTGTGATCCTTGAGGTCCTGGGGGTCCTTGTGATCCCTAAATTGTGCAATTACAATTTTGTACAATTCAAACCTCCAACGGAAATAACATAAATTCTTTTCTAAAGAAGGACTTTAAGTTTCTTAGAAATACTTACTGGGGCGCCTGGATCGCCTGGTTTTCCAGATTCACCTGAGTTGCCTTGGTTACCCTTTTCGCCTTCCTGTCCAGGGGGACCTGTGGGTCCTTGTGGTCCAGCTTGACCCTGAGGGGCAAAAAATACTTCAGAGTTGGCCGTAACATCAGCCTATTTAGCCTGACTGATATACGATTTCTACAATAACATATTGTGGACTTCTTTACGCAGTGGTGTATTTCTACGCCTTAGTTTCTCAATCTTGCCATTTACGAAAAGGAACCATAACAATTGTATACGTCTCGCAAAATGTTTTTCCAATTGACAATAAAACAAGAGGTTTTGATGAAGCGCGATATCGCTATTTTTTACTATCATAATAACTACGTGGGCTATATTCCGTCATCTATTTCAACGGTCTGTATCTTACATTAATGATTACCGTTCCCTTTACTTACAGGTACGCCTGGTTTTCCATCAGCTCCAGGATCACCTTGTTCACCTTCGGGTCCCTGGCAATTGTGATAACATCACTCGTAAGTAAATAGTTTTTAGGTTGAAAGTTACAAATCTCATGTACTTAATTAAGTATTTGATGAACTGGAATCATTCAAGGTTCAAAGCTTTCTCTGAATATTATGATTTTTCAAAAACTACTTTCGTGCTTTCATCGTGAAATAAAAAAGCAGTACCATCTCACAAACTTACTGTATCTCCTTTCTCGCCACTTGGACCGGTGGCTCCCTGTGGACCTGGACGTCCCTATAAAATATAAGATGAAGTACATCATCAAGTCTGTGGGTGTATGGCTTCACCTTCGTTATTAGAGTTCCAGTTTAGAAATTAACTTTTCTGAAAAGTATACCAGACTCTATAGAGGATTTGATAATAAACACTAAATAATGTAGAATCTTACAACTTTGAAACTTTTGTAAACAGCACAAAATTTTAGCTTAATAGCTATTCAGTGTACGTAATAAACCATTAATATAAGGGATATCTACATGGGATTTATACAATTACACTAGAACTATATAACTACTAAATCTTCTATTAAGATGGGGCTTTAATTGGATTACTTACAGGTGAGCCTGCGCTTCCAGGTTGTCCTGCAGCCCCGGGGGCTCCTGGTGGTCCCTAAAAGAAATTAAATATGTTATCAACAATTACTTTAACACGTTATCAACCATCACTCAGACATTCACGACGTTTCTTGTGAAAGACTTGATATATGGTTACATACTGTTGGGCCTGTTACTCCAGCTGGTCCTTCATTTCCTTTTTCACCAGGCGCACCTGGTAATCCTCTAGAACCCTTGGGTCCTACAGCGCCAGGTGACCCCTACAACGAGGAAAAGTGATACACTTAGCAACGATATGCACTGCATGTACGTGATATTGGATGAAATTCATATACTCACAGCACTCCCAGCGGGTCCTTGTTCTCCAGTAGCTCCACGGTCACCCTACAATATTGGAAATAATAAATAGTGCCGCTAGAACGAATGCTGAATCACTGGTTCAATCATACCAGTATGCAGGCTTGCTGGTTATTTTATCTGTGTACGGTAAACAACAGCGTCTGAAGTACGTTTAAGTTTGAACTTGCAAAGTCCAATATCTAGTGTACCTTTGCTCCGGCGTTTCCCTTCTCTCCTGGCGCACCTGGTTGACCTGGTGCTCCCTAAAAGATAGAACGCAGTGAGTAAACAACGTACGCGATTTATGCTAATTATTTAGACACAGTATACTTACATTTCTTCCCTGTTGTCCGGGTTCACCTTGTGGTCCTTTCTCACCTTGAGGTCCCTATGTATCCAACAAGTCGTCATGTCAATATCGTAGTACATGAGGTAATAGGCTGCAAACAATTTTCTTACCCTTGGACCAGGAAGTCCACTTGGTCCTTGGTTACCAGGTTTTCCAGGGTTACCCTGAGGAAATACAAAACAAATTTGTATATCACTGTATTCAAAATATATGAATCTATGGCTTTTCATTTTCTGAAGGAGGGGTCTTAAGAAGATGTCTCCACTTTCCCTTTTTTCAATTTTTTTTTAAAAACTTTGTATGCCATCCATTGAGTGGGAAGCAATGCTAACGTCATCTATATCTGAGTACTTACGGGTTCACCACGAGGTCCAGGCAATCCAGCGGGTCCAGTTTTTCCTTGTGCTCCCTAAATTTATAAACAAATTGAAACTGTCTATCGGTGATGTCAGTTCTAAATGAAACTTTTAAACTCGTCAAGCTCAAATTTGTTAGGATTGACCTACCGGGCTTCCATCTGATCCAGGCAATCCTCGTGGACCTTGTGGTCCTGGTGCTCCCTATACATACCAAAATGTACATAGTTAGCCATTATTTGGATGCAAAGCACACTAAAATACCGCTACTCACAGGTGCTCCACGTTCTCCTGGTGCTCCTGTTTGTCCGGCTGATCCCTACATTGGTGAAGAAGCAAAATGGATGAGTGAAATATGGTTTCACAAAGTAATAACAGTTACAGTATTTTTCCAAGCAGTTGGGATGTTGTCGAGCTCCTCCGCAGGAATGGATCATGCTATTCCAGGGCGCCATTCCGATCAGAAAACCATCAAATCCCTACCTTAGCACCAGATGATCCTGGAGATCCAGGGGCTCCTCGTTCTCCTGCGGGACCCTAATCAATGAAGGACGATAGTAAATTATTCATAAATATTCTACAATGGTATAGCTACGTGGAATTGACTGTAAAACATGAAGTACATACTCGTCGTCCTCTTGCACCGGGCTGTCCAGCTGGACCACTGCTTCCCTAGAAAACGAGGGCTAAATATCACGTCCAGTCCGATAACCTTACCAGTAATGGCTAACCATTAGTGTATATAGCAGGTTAGAGCATTTTTTTAAAAGCCATTCCATTCTTACCCTTGAACCCTTCTCGCCCCGTCTTCCGGGATAACCTCGTGCTCCATTTGAACCCTAGGAATAAGATGGGATTTTGATCTTAAGTGGTATTGAAAACAAAATGCATCGTAAGCTCAGACCGCACCGGATTAAAGAGATTGTTTAGAATTGACATGGCAACCTAATATTTTTCCAGGGCGTATTCTTCCGACACACCTACCTTTAGTCCAGGTGGTCCGGTATAACCAGGCAATCCCCTTTCACCACGATCACCCTTTGAGATGAAAAATTCACGGAATTTCAGGAATACACACTTTATCGGTGAAGGTTGAGGGCTTGGCACTGCTTGAATACGATCCAGACAAAGGATCATAATTTTTAATTATACCACGTTTTCACCAAACCTTACTCTAGTGCAATGTGATGATAAACAGGTGTACTTAGATTAGCAACTTGCTCATCAACGAATAAGCAAAAACGAGGCGTCAGACTCGTTTTAATTCGTTACTACAATCGCATACAATTAATGCTGGTGTAAATCGTCTTTTACCTTTGATCCAGGAGAACCTGGTGGGCCCGGTGGTCCAGAAACACCTTGAATACCCTAAACAAAATTGTTTATTTTAATATTATAGGAAAACAATGGTTATTCAGATGATAACTTGAGTGGTTGTTTAGCGGTGGCTAACCTTCTTTCCTTCAGCACCATCTGGGCCAGGCATTCCTGGGTTTCCTGCTGCTCCCTACAGAATTAACAATATCATTGACTAATTATTTAAATTGCCCATTTCACGAGTTATTAATGCATTTATTCATGTCTAGTACTTTACCTGATCACCCTTTGCACCTTGATCGCCTTTCTCTCCAGCAATACCTGGTTCACCCTAATAAACATAATATGTATGTGAATATCCCAGTAAACTTCTCTAATAAAAACGCATGTGAGTATCCCTAATGAACACAAAATGTATCAATATGTATGTTAATATCATGTTCAATAACATTATTTGCTTCATGATAAAAAGACAATAGTTCTCTTCTAGTGAGCACCAGGTACGCTTATGGATAAAACATATTTTTTCCTCAATTCTTTCATACGCTGTTTTTGTCGCAGATTTCGTACACGTGGCTACGCTGTTATCGATGATGCTATTTGCAATAATACCACTTGTGTGTGGTGAGTATATCATATATTATACCTAATTCTTCCTTCTTACCGGTTCTCCTTTGGTTCCTGGGGATCCTCGGGTTCCAGTTGCTCCCTAAATGAAAGTCATTGCACCGTCAATAATAGAATGGCTAAAATGCCCAAAGGATTGATAACTTATTAAGTCCGATCATCATTACCTTCACGCCACGTGGGCCAGGATAGCCAGAAGGACCTGCTTGACCAGGTGGACCCTAGAATTAAGAATTTGATAATTATAGCGTGGATCATTTTTTCACCTATCTATAACCACATATTTTGACCGTAACTTACTGTATCTCCTTTTGGACCGGCTGGACCTTCAGCTCCGGGAAGACCCTACAAATATTGCAATTAGAAAACATAAAAATGATCTTGTCTGAAATCACTCCGAAAATCTGTTTACGTTTTCGTATCAATTTTCCAAACTTTTTTTCCACTTACAGGGGAACCGTCCGTTCCTGGGAAGCCTGGCATACCCGGTTTGCCTTGTTCGCCCTTCAAAAAGGATTGAGAGGTTAGCAATACAATTATTACCATCATTATCATCTAATAGTCCTCCTTTTGCAGTACCTTATCTCCTGATGCCCCGGTTGATCCTTGAGGTCCCGGTGGTCCCTAGTGAATTAAACATCGAACAAGAGTTATATAGCTACAGTCGGAAATGTGGGTAGATATTGACAGCTATGGCCTGTACGAGTAAAAAAAATTTCAATGACATGCCAGGAAGGCTTTCCAACGAGGTTTACAAATGAAACCTTAGTAAGAACCTGGAAATGCTTGTCGTATACAATAAAACTACAATAGTTCCTTAGACTTACTGGAGGTCCTCGGATACCAGTGCTTCCAGGATTACCATTCACACCAGGATCACCCTACACAAGGATTTGGTTGGATTAGGAAAAAGTTTGCGCTGAGATTAAGATTATCAATAAATAGGTTAAGAAATGCTAAACATGGTCATACCTGTGGTCCACGTGGTCCTGCGCTTCCTCTCTCTCCGACTGGTCCCTATAGCAAAGTATAACCACATCTTTAATACTACCACCATATTACCAGGTAATTGCTGCCTAACAAATTATTTCTAAAGAACTCTAAATACCAGTCACATTAACTTATGATTTATGAATAATACTTACAGTCTGTCCACGAAGACCTGGGGGACCTCGCATTCCAGGTTCACCTGGGTTTCCCTGTTGAAAGAGATCGTTTTAAAATTTTAAACAAACGACTCTGCAAAATTACGCACTTATTCAAAAATGCTATCGATCGAAAATATTATTCAGGAGCATTTCCAAACAATGATATCATTCTATTCCAATTCTATTTATCCCACAATTTCGTGTGGCAACTAGCCTCCCCCAAAACAGATTTTACATACCCGTTCTCCCGGCGCTCCCCGTGGTCCTTGTTCTCCGTTGTCACCCTGTTTTAAAAGCACGTATTTAATTTCTAGTCTTTTGGCTAATATAATGCGCTGAATGAGTAGACAATTTTACCCGTTCGCCTTGTTCTCCCTTCTCTCCTGAGGCTCCCTGTGGTCCCATGTCACCCTAAGAAAAAAGTAAAAATGAAATGAAGAGTGACTGCAGCTACCGAGGATTGATAAATCAAGCATATCGTCCGTGGAGAATATAGTGACGGAGTAAGCAGTTCTCTTGCATGATATACTTCAGAGCAGCTGGACAGAAAACATCTTGGTCCTCAACCGTTATGACCTCTTCATCCTATGCCCAAGCCCTGTTTTTACGTTACGAAGCGACGGAGAGATGCAAGATTCCTTGTGTGCTTTAGTGAGACACATATAAATGGCTGTGTCGACAACATTTCTCGTTTTGTCTTTCCTCTTTCGTATCAAGTACGGCAAGAGGCTGACCTACAGACTCAAGCTTACTTTGTGTCCTTTTGGACCCGGCATTCCTTGCATTCCATCGTAACCTCGAACACCCTGTACAAAAGGGACACAGATATGAGAATTAGCATTGTCACGTTCATATAATAACACCCTAATAAATTTGGATGCTTTTGGTGGTGGAAATTTTCCTGGCCCTTAAAGACGTTGTCAAAGACTGCAAATGTAGGAATATGATTAGGATTAAATGGCTGGAACTTGGGTTGGACCGAAGATTAAGATTTACATTAGGATGTCACGTACCTTTGCTCCAGGGGGACCTTGGGGTCCAGGAGGGCCATCATTACCGCGCTTTCCCTAAAATAATAAATCACAAATAATTTACACAAAAGTAATGAATGTTCTTGGCTTTCTGTAAGCCAAGCAAGGCTTCAAATCTGCAGCATGATCCCAAACATTAAACTAATAGCTGAAAATGCGTCTTAACTCACCCTACGACTCGTTTAGGGTGAAAAGAATTTTCTCTCTATCATCTAACAATTTGAATTACATAAAAATTGCGAGAACTTACAGGGGGACCAGGTCTGCCAGATGGACCTCGGGGTCCGTTTGTTCCTGGTGGTCCCTAAAATAAAAGATAATATTGACTGGTTAAATATATATTATTGTTCATTTCAAAATTGACGTTTCATTTTTACCATTTCTCCATTTGCACCTGGTGGGCCAGGTGGGCCAGGGGGTCCTGAATAACCCTAAGAGAAATAAGAGAGAGTTATTGAAATGATGAAAGAGGTTAGCAGAAGAATGATGGCAGTCGTGACAGGATGATGGTAATATTTATATTGTTAAGACGCTAATGGTGGTGATGTATCCTGATACCTAGACGTTACATTGGAAAAAAGCTATATTATAAAGATCAGTTGTGAGGTTTTCTTAGCTGATCTCTATATAGTAGCGAAATGCAACGTTAGGTTTTCCAATAAGTGTCTGGATAAAGAACTGGTGGTGATAAAAAAATCACCTCATAGTTCCCTTACCTGAGAACCAGGTTTACCAGGTCTACCGGGGGGCCCTCTTGGGCCTGGACCAGATGGTAGGTTACTGAAAATATCCCTGATTGATGATGGTGATGGTCCTTTTCCATCGCCGCCAGATCCACGCCATGCACCAGCTAGTCTACCCATGTCCTGTGAAAATGATGTTAAGATAAGTCTAGGGTGCTTTGTACATGTGAAACATTTCTTCATTGAGAGGTTTACTTACAATGTCAATGCTTGGGCCTGGGGCACCTGGTGGGCCAGGTTCACCTGCAGGGCCATCTCGACCTGGGTTACCCTGTAAACAAACAAACGTATATAAAACAAGATGAAGAGAGGACGCTTTGATGCGTTACCATGATAGAATAAAAAAGCGATCAGACATCACACCAGTTTGTGTGCGCTCAACCAAATTTGCGAAAGTGAGACATCACAAGAATGCTAGTTTTATTCTTGCCACAGGTCAATCAAGATTGACGCTATGCATATATATATAGGTAAGAAGTTCTACATTCTCAAAAAGTTCAAAATAGCTTAATTTAGCCGGTATAGGGCAACGTCAGACGATAGAAAGAAAATTTATCAGGAAAATTTTCCCAGATTACATAACGTTTTCAAACCTTTATCTGCCGGCTTCTATCACTGAATACAACAGTGGTGTTCAGTCCTTAGAAAACATTGCATCCTACACAGTTTTGGGTCTGTTTTTTACATAGAATAAAAACGAATCCGGCACAACAATATAACAGCTAACATTACCCAACATGGTGTTCAAACAGGCCAAGAACTACCTTCAATTTTATTGTATAGAATAAATTTTTTGCATTATTACCGGTGAACCAGGAGGTCCAGGTGGGCCTTGTGTTCCCCCTGCTCCAGATTTTCCTGGCGCACCCTGAAGAAAGACACAATATCAAGTTATGATCGTCATTTCAAGGAGCTTAAAAACGATTTCACAGTCTCATTTTACTTACACGTGCTCCCGGGGATCCCGGAGAACCTTTATCACCTCTGATCTGAAATATTGCATTGAAACACGGAATTAATAAAAATCAAGGGTTTCAGAAAATTCATAGCATTCCGTTTGGAAGCGAACAGCAACCGTGATCGTACTTTTTCCCTTGCGGTCGTCTGCGGTTTCTATCGGTCGACCGCAACGCAGTGTTAGGTTATTTCTGGACAGTAATATATAGTGCTAATCAAACTGTTGATATGTAAACAAACACAAGGACAACGAAAAGACAACACATGGGTAATTGGTAAACACTTTAGTCATGGCTTAGATCAGTGGGCTAAAATATATCTCAGCGCGGTAAATTTATCATTTAAGCCCGCAAAATACACCGCAATGCCCGCAAAAAAATTTCCTTCAAAATCACAATAAGAAAGGAGGGAGGGTTTGTGTAAAAGGATAACTTATGCATTTTTAAAAATCCTTTGTCTCTCGTTTGTCATTGCTATTCCCCATATGAGGACGATCCTGTGCAAATAAGTTGTGGAAGCTCTGCATGGGGTTGACAAACACCTGTATGATAAATGTTTACGACAACGTTGAAGACTGAAAAGGCGACAACAACATATCCACGATCCTCGTCACAACAGACGAACAAGCGAACTTACATAATACGTATTTCCATCGAATACAACATATTCATCTGGGATAACGGTAACTGCTTGGACATCATCAGTTGCAACTTGAGGTGTAACCTCGACGGGCTCTGGTGCACGATCTTTCATTGTTACTTTGTTTTTGCAAGCCTGGACGTCGTTGCAGTATCCCACAGCTTTGCCAGGCTGTCCTGGAATGATTGTCACCTCCTCAACGGAGCCCTAAAAGAATATTTTTAGAAAAAAATAGTGGGCATGCTTTATTGTACAGAAAACCCAGGCATATTTGATATTTCATTCACTGGTCGAATGTGGCGTTCATGCATGCGTCAATTGTTGATTCAGAAAATGATTCAATGTTTTTTTTTCTATATTGATTGACTACATTTAGGTAGTTCATAATATTATCTATATACATCAACTCTATAATACGAATATATATCTCAATGGTTTTGTAGCTCTAGTTTAAAGTTTCTTTTCAATTTATTGCAAAAGACTAGAGCAATTATTCACTACCAATCTTGCCAAAAACAATATAATGCAAAAGATCTAGAAGGACCAAACGTCAACTTACCAGGAAGCTCGATGGTTTTGTAGCTCTAGTTTAAAGTTTCTTTTCAACTTATCGCAAAAGACTAGAGCTATTATTCACTATACCTATCTTGGCAAAAACAATATAATGCAAAAGATCTAGAAGGACCAAACGTCAACTTACCAGAAAGCTATCTCCGGTGAAACGTTGTCCCAGCAATGTCTGACCACCACTGATAACCTCATTAACTAATTCCTTGCGTGGTCCCCTGAGGTAGTTGACACTCTCACAATCTACCAAAATTTCAATCGAGGTTTCATCGACAGCAATGGCTATGGTATGCCACATTTCATCCTTGATGTATTCCTCAACGTTCAAGTCAATAACACCATTCTTGTGCTCAATCTTAAGCGGGTTAGCTTGAATGGCAAGTACGGGCGTACTATCTTCCGAGTACATGGTGAAAATATGACCCTTTGTGCCTGTTTTCATTTTCACTGTCATCACGATGGCGAAACTGGCTAAGTTTAAACCCTTAGGGAACAGTCGATTTGTGTCCATCATAAGTTTTGCATTCTCGTCAATCTCGTACGCGGCATCGTGGCAGAATTTGCTCACTTTTTTCACACCTTTGGTTTGATCACGAAGTCCTAGTTTCTCTACTAAGTCGGCTGAACCTAGAAAAATTTGTAAGACAATTATCGGCCTGGAAAACTTCAAAGCGTTTTTGCGGGAAGCCCAAGAGTATGTCCATGCATGGAGCGTGCTTACTATGCCTAAAGCTCGTTGTTCTTCATTAGGCGAATTTGCTTTCGCAGCGAGAACTTTAGTCTAAAACCACTTCCTACGTTTTATCAATTCTGGTTTGGTTTGGCTCATTTTGGAACACTTTGAGCGGATAGCAATTAACATATTGACGAATTATTACTTTACTGTTTCATTTAATAACGCCAGTATGTTGCAAAGCATTCTAGTGTTCAATAATGTCATGGAACGTCACAATATTCCACAGAACAGCCAGACTATATTATGTACAATATTTCGTCAAATTTTAGTTGAAGATGCAATGACAAAGTTTGAGGAAACATATGAAGGAAATATACTTTCATATTTTCTCATTTGAAAGAATTATTATTAAAATATTTCCATATCTTGCTTTCTTCTACAAATAGTTTCTCGAAAGGAAAAATGTTATAGCCAGACCGGGCTTACTTAGATATGCATGCGTTATGACAACCGTGATCACGCACTATTTTTTTCGATACAACTAATGATTATTGCTCCATAAACTATCTTTATATTTACTATAACTGAAAAGCTTTAAAAACCAATCAAAAGCTTTGGTCGACAACCAATCCTTTCGCATGCAAGGGTAATTCATTTTGTGATGTCACTATATTTTCAAATAGAATATTTCAAAAACTTATTTCAAAAAGTTCCTTTAAACCAGAATAGAAACCGTATAGAGCAGGGGGGTTCTACTGACAGACTAAAGCTTCCAAAATTTTCCTATTCAGGTTCCTGGGTGACCCCCTCAAACAAGGGAGCACCTTGTTCGGCCCATTTAATCCAAAAATTGCTCCACCATTCCTGGAGAAACTAAGTATTTATATTGCCATTTGACTTGTGTTTCGATCAAAAGAAATGGTACACCTCAAGGCTCCTCTAGGTACTCGCTGCAAATGTTGTAAAAAGCCAATTGATCAGCCGGATGTAGCAATACATTGTTACATTTCATCTATTAAACAATTAGACAACGAGTCCGAGTTGTCTATGAGCGAATAGTCAACGAAGGCGAAGCCTGAGTTGACTACCCGCTCATAGACAACGAAGGCAAGTTGTCTAATTGTTTTAGAATACACCCTGTACCTAGATATATACGGTCGCGCGAGCGAATTTTTTCCTAACATTCACCATCACGAATAGACAATGATTGAGTAGCCAAACCTATATAGCACATGAGTGTTGATATTTTAGTTACTATAAATATAATAGGTAATCTGATCTTCTTTAAAAAAAAATCGTGTAACCCCTTGTCCGTAGACTGGTCTGGCGCTATAATTCTCAAGTATATGTTTTCAAATAGATTTCCATTCCCTTACTAAAGTCCATTTCCCACTAATTGTTTGGTTTTTTGATAACCAGGAATAAGAGCCTTTTGCAATGACTTTTTCAAAATCCTTTTTAGTATCAATTCGCCGAATTTGTGCAAAAATTATAATCATCTGCCATATATTAACATATAGGAAAAGCCAAAATTGGGCAGACAAATCAGTGAAATCAAATATGTATAAACTAAATTGGTAAAATTCATTTAGTTCCAAGCTGCATGTTATGGTTCAAATTTACCTGCAACCAAAGCCTGAGTTAGCCACCCTAAATATGTTTTCTCCAAACATTTCATAAAATCCCGCAAAACCTTCAAGCTGTAATGCAGTGAGAAAACTTCGTACTACGTTTCAAAAACATATTACACATCGAATGAAAAAGAGCGTCTTTCTATTTTGAAGTAAACGTGTAATTATATCAATGTTTTTTATTTACACACTTTATACAAAACTAACAATCAGGCTGCATTTATAATGACTATATTTATGTTCCAATGTTTTCGTAAAAGAATTCGTATATTTTGATAGTGCAAACCATATTTATATAAACCATTTGTATAGACTTGTACACTTTATGGGCGGGCATTCGGGGCAGTGAATTCACATTGTTTGATTTATATACATTTGTTCATATATTTCGCGAAAAAAAAACTGAAACGCGAAATGACACCCTATATTTTGCCTCTAAGATTTAAATGATTCATGGTAATAGCTAAAAGAATTAGATTAAATCGACCTCTCACAGTTTGTGAATAAGTAATTCTCTGGTATGTGATTCATCAATAGGCATCACGCATACACGAAATACCATTTACTCTATAGATATCAAAATTTTCACATATAAAACATACAAGCTGAACATTTTGAGCTACACTTTTGTTGTTAACACTAAATAAATACATTGTACATTGATGTTGAAAGACAATGCGCTCTAGTATTACCTATATACACGAACACGGTTTTCTAAAGACCTAGATTTGCTTATTTTAAGCAAGCCTACAAATTTTGCTCTTTAATGTTCTTCAAAAATATCGGGCAAAACGCGCCTAAAATTGTTGCGCGAGAAGTACGCAGATGTGCAATAAACGCGCATACGCCTTATGCTATACATAACTGAATACATAGAGTAAAGAACAACAGACCCATTGTGTGAACCTTTGCTAGAACAACCTCAAATATCGCGCAAATGAACGCCTATAACAACACGCAAATACTAATACGACGAACGTCAGAATTCAAACATATTAGAATAATATGCGTCAATTTTGAAGTTCATAATCTATATTATATAAATATGTGTGTTTGCCTACCCTCTGGTAAATTCCGACTGAATGTACCGCCGATAAGGCACGCTGATAAGACCAGCACATGAAGCAACATTTTGACACCTAAAACGAGACGTTTGCGTTAGTATATTTGTCAAAAAAGAGAAGCTTTACGTCTGGAATGAAGACATATTTACCCGTGCGTTCTGTTGCTTCGGCTCTAGCACATACAAAGCGCAAGACTCACTATCAAAGAACGCTGTGCTGTGATCCTTCTTTCCGCTGGTCCAATTCACTGTAGCATTCAAGACTCCAAAATATTTGTAACACGATATTCTAGTTTTAAACTGCAGATGGGGTTTACACTGACGGCACGACAAGACCCTTTTGTCTGACCAAAGGCGCGCGCATACAAACAGCCATTTATTGGTATGAGATTATTAACAAATCACTTTATCGAAATTGCACAAGTAAGCTCTTTACGAACCACTTGTGTGATAATTGGTTTGGTTTATATAATCCCATATCTTTACAACAATATAAATTTTAACCTATGCGTGTGTTTATAAATTGATTTGATCGACACAAGAAGTTCCATATTTAAAATCGGAAACTATTGCTGGTGAAAGAAGTTTTTACTGTTTTATATAATAGATGTAATGTCGCTCAGTAAAAAACTGTTGAAAAATTTGTTGGAAAATTAAGATTTTAGATGCCTATTTCATTTGTTCCTGTCATTAAATTCACTGATTATAATCGCTTACAGCTGTGCTGCCGTCCATGTAAACCGTAAGGAACAGAAGACGCTGTGTTTGTACTTGCAACCTTACAGACAAACCAGTCTGGCCTGAGTTGTGTGACCGAGTGTTACACTTTGTGACCTATTATATTCGGTTTATATTTGGTTTGCATACCGATGGCAATATAAGCGTTGCTACGTTAGCTTGTGGATACACCACAAAATAGATCAATTACGTGAATAGATACGTGAATTCAAGCCCATTGGAAAGGGGGGGGGGGCGGGGGGAGAACAGTCCCTCCCCCCAAGAATTTTCATTCAGAACCCTTTGATTTTAAACTGTAGTGTGAGTGTGTGTGATGATGGTTAGGAATATGGCGCTAGATTCAATGGAAGGGAAGAATTTGGGGAAGAATATGCTTCAAGCTGTGACAACGCCCTTTTTTAAATAAGATAGTATTACAATGTTGCGTTTTTCTAAAATGTCTAGTTTAGTGCAACTTCACCAAACTATTAAACTATGTTTTCGTATTGTATGAGAGAAAACCAACCCTCGCCCCGCCCAAGGTGTCAGCTGTTTCTTGAGGAAATCAATGAAAATATTCCTTGTGGACTTGTGGACAAATAAAGTGTCTGCAATATCATAGTAATGAGAATTCGTAAAGGAGAGACCAGAGAGGTATTTTTTTACGAATTCCCACTCTACTATTAGGCTCAATAGCCATATAGTTAGCATAGTTTAATTACTTGAATCATGTGCATAGCAATTAATGCATATGCTTGAATGGAGAAGAAATACATTTTATATAACACGCGTGTTCCTCTAACTTGATTGGTCAATTTCAGAAAATAAGCAATCTGATTGGATAAAACTAACTATTCTCGCGGTATTGTTTTCTCTTTTCCGAGCTTCCTTGTGAAGAAAAAAAAATAGAATTATGTTAAAACGTACAAAAGTGGAATTACCTACTACACCTGAAATAAATCCAAATAGAAATGAAAAAGTAGCGAAAATTTCGGAGCCACAAGAGCTCGCACAAGAGAGTCCAGATGCAGACGGCAGCCTGTCGTGTATAAAGAAACCAAAACTTGATTCAAATGAGTCACCCGGCAAAAACCGGTCTAAGAAATATGTCCCGCCTTTCACAGCATCAAAAAGATTCAGCAGTCGATTAAGACTGAAAAGAATTAATCAGGAAAAGAATGAAAGCAAGTCATGTAGGCAAGAAGCTATAAAATGTGGAGGACAAAATATCTGCGGAAAGCCAGAAAAAGAAAAGGGATCAGCAATGGTTTTGAAATCAAATGAAGAAAAAACAGTATGGATTGTCCATTATTTTTTACTCCATATTGTCCATTATTTTTTACTGCATATTTACTGAAAGTATAGGACTCAAGATAGGACTAGGAGATTATCATGTATTATTTGTAAATTTTTATTTCATGTTCTCCATGATCAATTTCTTTTAAAATTGGTTCTCCATCCAGTCGGTTAACATGAATATTCATTTATGAATGAATATGAGCCATTTATCGATGCTAGCTGCACCACTGAATGTCATGCTTACAGTACCCCCCAATTTTCCTCGTTTCAAATACTGCACCATTGTGGTTGGTGGTGGTGCATTTGGGGGGGAGGGGGGAGGTGTTGGTGACCAAGTTTATTCTAATCTAGAAATATTTGCAGAAGTCAATTTTATTCAAATGAAATAAAATGCTTTGATACAAAGTTTGGTGTTCTTATCAGTAAAGTATTCAGCAGTTTCATTTTCTGTTAGGAAAATGTTGGTTTGGGATGTTTCTACCTGTTGGAGACTGAGTACTGCCCTGGTCAGACATGTTCATTTCCCAGAAGAGCTGAGCATCTTCATCTCCTTTCAGTTCAAGCGCTATGCCATAATTAGTGGTGTTTACTTATGATTTAAATTATATAGGAATATTTGAAATGTTACAAAAATAATAAAGATGGTAACAAGAGAGTCATCCAACAAGCTCCACAAGTATCAGAGCTTACACAGCATTTCAGTGGTCTTCTCCTAAGAAGTGGAAGAGTCTGTGAAGAAATGGGTATGCTTGAAAATACAATCAGCAACAGTGGTAATGGTGGTTTAAAAGAAGGTGAGACATGCACTTTCAACAGAAGCTCAAACCTTGATGAGACATGCATGAACAATGTGGCTAGCTTGCAGAAGACAAACAAGTTAGACCCCAATGCATACAATTTTGAGGCAAGTTTGCATACTTTGGCTGACACATGTGCTAAAGAGGAATATATAATTGATGTGTTAACAGTTGAAGAGGAGACTGACCAGAGTAAGATTACTCCAAATGCGAATAAAAGTGGGAAAACAAAGGGTTCTTTGGCAAGAAATGGGACAACTGTCAAGAACATTGTAGGTTATTCAGATATAAATAATGTAATGAATGTGATTCCACCCCAATATCAGGAAGAGAGAATGGACATGACAATTTGCAGCCCAAGCAAAGTTAAGGAGATGAAATTAGTTGAGCATAGAACCACAGAAAATATGCTTAGCCCAAAAGGTGTATCAGCTAGGAAGGAAACTGAGTGCAAAAATGTTGTAACATTTGCAACCCAGGGTATATTGAATAAACCGGTGCATAAATCTGGTTGTCCTGAACTAAAGTTACAAGACACTGCTGCATCATTATCCCAAGAGCTTATTGGGAATACACTTTCAGAGATGTTGTCAATAATAAGTCACAAAAAAACGAATGAGCCTTCGTTTCAAAGCAATGAAAGTGACAATGCATGTTCATTGGCCCAACATGGTGATAAGACTTTGGGTAATTCAGTGGTTCATACTGAGATGATCTGCACTGAGCAAGCTGGTATTCATGAATCTGGGAGTTCTCAAGACAAACGTGTTGAAAGTAAGACTAATGACATGGACACTGGTGATAATTCATCGAACACAACCTCTGAGAAACATGTTGAAGTTATATCTTTTGACGAAAAAAATGACAATATCAAGAATGAAAAGATAGAAATTGCAGCCATGAACGAAAAATTACCAGCTCGTGCAAACGGGAATATGAACTCACAGAAAGCAACCTCAGGTGATATGATGGAAGATGCACATAAACAACTCTCTTCATGTGTTTTGAAAGAATGCGAAGTCGAGGTTGATGTTGGTGGTAGAGTGGAGTCGAAAGACTTTAAACATGTTCGTCGTGAAGCCAATAATGATCAAGAAGTTCTTTTTGAGAAAACATCACCTCTCGATGGAAAATGTCCTGATAAAATAGCTAGAACTTTACCACAATGTAAAGAAAGAGTTGTTGTGAAGGTAGTTATTTAGCCATTTAATTTTCGGGCAGTTCAAATTGTTACGAAAAAAGCCCCCCCCCCCCAAAAATCAGTAGACAATTCAATGAAATAAAAAAAAAACATATGCTCCGAAAGGTTTATAAGCTGTAAATAAGGTGTTGTTGTTTTTCGGAGCGTGTTTTTTCTTATATTTCCAATTGTTACTATGTACAGAATTACATTTTGAACCATCTTAAAGTTTCCTTTTTGCGATCAAATAATCAATACGTCCTCCTTTTTTCCTACGTCAAATCAAAAATTGTGTTCTTGGACGTATTATGCTGGGGCCAGTTGTTCGAAAGACGTTTAGCCGGGTGAACAAGCCAGTCACACTCTCCAACATCTTGTGAATGACTGAATCTACATTTTATGCATACATATGTACTTTCATTAAACAATTTACATCAAAATATTTCATCGAAATTATTTACATTGAAATCAGTATTTACATTGACACTTTTCAGCTTTGTTTTTTTACATTTTTAACTTATCCGCCGTTTATGATAAACGCCTTTCGAACAACCGGCCCCTGGGCTTTTCAGGGCTGAAAAATTTGTTATACTCAATTGCAACTGTTCGGTCCGGCGCAGTCACTTGTTCAGTTTTATAGTTGGACTATGTCGTGCCCAAATCAATACTTTATGTCCATTTTTTTTGTTTATTTGTTAAGAACAGGGAAAACGACAAGGACACTGTCACTGGTGCCACGGGCGATACTGATACATCCATGAAAGGCACGAATTCGGGTAAGATGGTTGTTGCTACGCCTACTGTGAACTTGGTCGAACACCGGAGGACTGGCGTTACCCAAAACGAGAGCAAGCAAGTATCCTCAGCTGAGGAGGAGGATTTTGCAACATTCAGCAATATTCTTGATGATGAATCCTTTACCGAAGAGTTCGAGGCGCTGGAAAAACTATTACCAAAAGATGATGTCGAATTTTTTGATGATATGATTTTGAGTCAACCAAATTCTATCAGGTAAATCTAACGTTTAAAAGAACTTCAGGGTGAAGCACAAAACTCTTTCGGGTTCCAGGCTTATATCATTGGAAGATTCAATTGGCGTCTCAATCTAATTTTTTCATGAAACTCACAAACTCGACGTTAATTGACTTAATTGATACTCGGTTATGTTTAAATCATGGACAACTCTGTTTTAATTTTATCTTTTCCTGACTTTAAGTGTGGATACAGAATTACCTGATGGGGAAAGTACTATTGAATTTTTAATCAAAGAGGTCAACTCTCTTCAGTAAGTATGACATTGAGACAACCTTGACATTGACGCGATGTATTGCCCTTTAGTTTAGATGTGTATAGGGCCGTAGCTGGAAGTTTAATTGAGGGGGGGGGTTGTATATTCATATATTCGTCCTATGCCCGACGTCTTTTGTACGCTATTGTTCCTACGGTAAATAAACATGAATATATGAATACACACTGACCCTCCATTTAGCTACGGCCCTGTGTGTATAGCGCGCCTGGTTTGGCTGTGTTCAGTGTTCTGTCTGCCAATGCTACTTTTATTGGCATTCATTTTTTTAGGTGTATGGTTACGAATCACGAGCGAGCTGTTGAGGATATTAAAAGACAATACAAGCCTGTGAGGTCTTGGTCCACAGTGAATACAGATTAAGGCAAATATTCATCGTGACGTAATACGTTTATATTTAATATGTTGACTTTTTGGTGCAAATTTACTATGATATATATATATTTTATGATAGCGTTGTTTAATATGTTGATATTGTTAAATTATTTTGCTAATACGTTTTCACGGGTAGCGGGATAGGATGGACCATTCTTAGCTTACCTAAACCTGGACGATTATTTGATTTTTATTTCTATTGAGTATTGTTGTTCCAACTGGTTTTAAACCATAAAAAAGACATCTATTTCTATGTTTCCAACTATCGAAATAAATTTACATCATAATTAATGATCATCATGGGTGTTTTAAATAGCAATTTTTTGTAAGAAAATGTAGAATATTATAGAACGATCTTTAAAATCATGGGATATGGAGGAGTAACATGGGGCAACAAAGGGTAAGCTTTTGTTTTGCTGATTCAATAATTTTTGAAGAAATTTTTCAGTGTGTTGGTGTGGTGTGCAGAGGGTGCACAATAGGCTACCCCAATCCCGATATCCCGATGTTTTTTTTCTAAAATTCTCGATATCCCGACGCTTTTATAGTGAAATCCCGATCCCGCCTTGCAATTTAGTAACCTATGTCCGTTTTATAGCGAAAATTCATACAATATTTATTACATGCATGTGAATAAAGTATTTTGTTGAATCTTTTCAGACTCAAAACCTCTTCAAATTCGTCAAACGGCATATTTTAAATCCCGTATCCCGTCATTAAAATATTTCATATATCGGAATCCCGAGGCACGAATTACGAAAATCCCGTATCCCGCAAGAAATTTATTCCCGAATCTCGCATCCTATTTTTTAAATATCCCGCTTCCCAATCGAAAAATGACCTATTTCCCGCATCCCGAAAAACCTATTGTGGACCCTCGTGTGCAATCACACGTGTATATATATATATAGAACATTTTGAAATTGATTATTTATTTTACTTTACCGCTAGAAAACTCGATAATGGGTAAGAAAAAGTCTTCGGGAAGTAAAAAACAGCAATCTTTAGCCGCGGCTGTTAAGGCAGCAGAAGAACAAGTCGATGAAATAGCGTTGGATAGTGACACGAAGTCTGAAAAGGCAGGAAAAAAGGAAGGAGATTTAAAGAACGGAAAGAAGGGTAAAGCTGAAGCTGTAGTAGAGGAATTTGAATTTGATTATACTGGTGGTGAGAATATGGAAGAGGATAATGATGAAGATCCCGTTAATAAAGGTTTGTGTGTGAGTTAATTGGTTTGTTTATAAATTAGATAACTCATGTTTGTCATGTACCATGTGATGATATGATATATATCATATTTTTATGGTTCTTGGCATTCTAATATATCCACACCTATTCTAAAATTTAGGGATTTTAAGCTCTTCTTCAGAAGTCATTTAACCCCCCCCACCCTACAAAATCCCTCTCCCCCCACCCTACAAAATCCCTCTCCCCTATGAAATCTCCTCCAGACCATTCCCGTTGAAAATTCCAAATTTTATCATTCTGATGGGTATCTTACATTGTGTGTAGATATTAAATGGAGTAGCCTATATTTATCATGTTTGTTATTTGTATTATCCATAATATTTGTCATAATTTTTGCCTTGCCCTGAGAGTACTTCCCGGTTTACAAACTTGTTTTTTATGTTTTTATGTTAAACTTGTTATTTTGATCAAATCTATTCTATTCTTTTAAAGAACAAGATGTACAACAATTAAGCAGAAAAGAAATGAAAAAATTAAAGAAACAGGTTTGGTTTTTGTGTTTACCAGCTTTGTCCATTTTGGCACAGTTTATTTTTGACATTTTTGTTATGTCCACTAGATTAAGTTATATGTGCTAGTGACCCTGAAGCTTGTTAATTAACAAGAACCATGGCATCTAACTAGGTCTAATGCTAATAATTTGATGATATATATATATATATATATATATATATATATATTTTAATATATATTTCTTTTTTCAAAGATACCAAAATTTATGTATTGTTGTTAATGCAGGAGAAGTACTTGCAAGAAGCAAAAGAAATTGAAGATTCACAGTTTTCTGTGTCTCAACGTGAACCTGCTGGGAAAGGAACTGTTGTAGAAAATGCATTAGATATTAAGGTAGATGATTATAAGAACAGACAGATTAAAATATATATAATAAAGTATAACAACCTTACTATAAGTTCAAACCAATTTACAGTATGTTTGCATTGAGCCCATATACCTGCTCCACTTAGAATGTGTAATATCAGACAAGGAATATGGTACAGCCTAGGTTAATTCTCTGATGTTTGAAAAGAATACATACAAATATAGTCTAATTGGTAATTTGATATTGATCTATTATTAGATTGAGAAATTTGGTATATCAGCAAGAGGAAAAGATTTATTTGTAAACGCAACACTACAAATTGCTGCCGGGAGACGCTATGGATTGGTTGGCCCCAATGGGTATGAAAAAAATACAAATAAATTGCACTGAAAGATCCCATTTCATTGTTATATGCTGCTTCTTTTTAGTATGGGAAAAACTACTTTACTTAATCACATTGCAAAACGGATTCTGACCATTCCACCAAATATAGATGTCTTACTTTGTGAACAAGGTACATCAGTTCAAAACAGTTACATTACAAACTGCATTATAATCAGACCTTATAATTGTTTTTAATAATAGTTTTCAATATATTGTCTCCCTCTATGTAAGGACAGGGCAATTGCCGATTAGGTTGATACAATATACCAGTTAGGGTAATTAAATGATTATTTTTCAAAACAAAGTAAAAGCTTAGGAGATTTGTCTTCTCAAAAATAGATGTTGCTGCAGATAACACACCAGCCTTTGATGCTGTTCTCAAAGCTGATACCAAACGACTAGCCTTGTTGGAAGAGGTGTGTTCTATTATACTATGCTACAATCCTGTCTTTCCTAGAAATAGTTTTTTGCATTTGTTTTATAATCACCTTATGTGCTCATAAGTAATAAACCTGTCAATAAGCGCTGCCTTTGAGTGGTTTACCTAATGCATCTGGTAGGATCTTAAATCAGCATATTAGTTGCAGATGATGCACCCATTAGCATCCATCCTTCACACACTTACCATTGAAGGTCAGTATTGGTAACAGCTGATTTTTGACAATGACAATTTTTTTTAGGAGAAAAAGTTGACAGAACAAAGTGCAGCTGGTGATGAGAGTGCAATGACAAGACTAAAAGAAGTTTGTTTTAAAAGGGTTCAAACGTTTTTTTTAACTTTCTCAAAACTTTTCATATTTAATCAGTATGATTTTATATATGCAGGTTTATGTTGAACTAGAAGCCATTGGTGCCGCATCAGCTGAAAGCAGAGCTAGACGGATCTTAGCAGTAAGTTAGTTAAAACATTTTCCACAAGAGTTGACATTTACTCTCTGAATAACACAGGTATTTTGCATTTTGGTTTAAAAAATAAGACTAAACAATTCCCTCCTCTAGGGTCTTGGTTTTACAACAGAGATGCAACAGCGTCCAACAATCCAGTTCTCTGGAGGATGGCGTATGAGAGTTTCACTAGCCAGGGCACTGTTTATGGAACCAACTTTATTGATGCTTGACGAACCTACAAATCATTTGGATTTGAATGCTGTCATTTGGCTAGATAAGTGAGTGCTGTAAAAGGGGACTTTCTCATCCAAACTATGGTTAATTAAGGGAGTTTTGTTAGATTAGAAGCCTTCTGCATAAAAGAACTTATTAAATAAAAAATTTTAAAAAACATTTTGATTTGCTTCATTCCAACAGCTATCTTCAACAATGGAAGAAGACATTGCTGATTGTTTCTCATGACCAACATTTTCTTGACAGTATTTGCACAGATATTATACATTTGAGTAGGAAAATTTTGTATTTCCTAATGAGGAAAGATTTTGTTTCATTTTTATCTAAATACTCAAATTTTTCCCTGAATAGTTCCTTCCTGTTAGTCACTTTAAACTGAATTATTTTGCTTGAACTTTTTAGATGAACAGAAATTATTTTACTACAGAGGAAATTATAGTGAGTATGGATGCAACATTGAACATTTATGTACATGCTATACAATGAAATTATGCAACATGTTGTGAAGTTGGTAAAATACCATCTTACTGATAAGTTGTTATTACTATAATACTCCTCGCTCTCAGATGCGTGGACTCCCAGCCCAGATAAGGAACAAATACGCTTTGTTTCGAAATTAGTTAAGCTGTTTTAGTAACAGGTGAGGATCCGTTAAACTGCGCTTAAAATCTGTTAAAATTTGTTCATTCTTGTATTTTACGTTCAATATGACGGTCATGTATCTGCAGTATAAGCAACTCGGCTGCAAGTGCGGTTCTATTCTTGCAGTGAATATCTTTATTCAAAAATATACGGTAGTCTTTATCGATTTTATGTACGACCGAAAATATCCCCATTTAGGTCAATTTAAGAAAATGTACCAGCAGAAGTTGAGAGAGCAAGAAAAAGCTTATAAAAGACAAGAAAAACAAATTAAGGATTCAAAAATGGGTGGAAAATCTAAGAAACAAGCTGTAAGAATGTGCCTCACTACATGTTAATGACTTTATTCATCTTTTTAAATCTTGATTTTTTTTCTCAGGTCGAGGATGCAAAGGCCACGCAGAAAAGAAAAAATGAAAAAGGTGGCGGGAAAAAAGCGACCAGTGAAGATGCAGTAAGTTGGCATTGAAATTCCCCTTCTGTATCAAGTTATGAAACGTTTACAACATTGTGGTATAGTAGAAATTCAAACGAGTCAGTCGTAACGGTAGATTTCCAAATCTTGTGATGTTTGACCTGTGTGTTTGCTCAGTTCTTTAATTTAGGTGAATCTTAATGTCCGTTCAACATCGGTCTGAGTTGAATTGTTTTGCTTTAGATGGAAGCTGAAAACGTTGAACTTATCAAAAAACCAAAAGAATATGTGGTTAGGTTCTCGTTCCCAAACCCCCCACCACTTAACCCACCAATTTTGGGATTGAAAGGTAAGAAGTGACTAATGGGTTACATCAAGGCAAGGTGCCGATATAATGACTTTTTTACCTATTTTTTATATCGACCTGTCTATATCAGAAGTCACATTTGGCTATCCGAAACAGCCGAATCTTTTTATCGATTTGGATTTTGGAATTGATTTGAGTTCACGAGGTTAGTTTGAAATGTATTCCGCATAAATGTTAGAGTTTACATGAGGTATATCTATTGAAATATATGCATATTTGAAATATCCTTTTTTGGGCACTGAAGGACAACAAACATAAACTTGACTTTGTTTGTGATCTTATAATGAATTTTCGTGGTAGTTGCTGTCGTGGGAAACAATGGAGTTGGAAAAAGTACTTTTCTAAAGCTATTAATTGGAGAACTAAACTTGGTGAGTTTTCTCTCAAGTTTTAGCCAATTATTGGTGCAAATAGAAAGTTTTGCTTAGTACATATAAATACATTCAACATCATTTTTCCCTATTAAGACCCATGGAGAATTGATAAAGAATCATCGAGTGGTAAGCATCTTCATTTATCTTATACGGTCATTCTTATCCTTGTTAACGTATTAAAACTGTTGTGTTCCTTCATAGCGAATTGGATTTTACAGTCAACATGCTGCAGACCAGGTAACCACTTTTTATTTTTCTATTTTTTAAGTAAGAAGTGTCTATCAAAATCAATCCGGTCGCTATCATGACTACTGTAAGATAGAGGACAATCGAAAATACATATCTCCATCTGTTGAGCTGAATTGGAAGCGACCAGTATTTTAGCAGGTGCTAAATCCTTGACTTTGTACGTTTTTTTGTACTGTGTAATGTACCTGACCGGACGAGTATGAAACTCGTTGTCGGAAGACAGCATTCGGATAAAAATGATGGGTGAACCTGACTTATAACAAAACAGACTTAATAATCCATATAACGAAACTTAGCCATGCACTACCAATCCCGCTTGGCTCTGGTGCCAAAATTGGGTGTGTGAAATTAAAATGAATTTGATAATTGCTTTCAAGAAGATGATTCCTAAAAACTGTCGTATTCATCAAAATTTTCTATGTTTTTTACTTGCAACCTTTCGCCAAGTCGAAAAACCTTAAGGATGGTGCCTCCACATAATCTGCATCTTTGCTAAATAACCAATATTTTCTATTTTCAATAGTTGAAGTTAGAAGAATCGTCCGTGGAATACCTTCAGGTTAGCAAAATATGCCACATTGGGAAAAGTTCTTACAGTTGATAGTACCCGTAACCCTGTTTTGGTCATCCTTGTAGCGGAAATACAACTTAAACTACCAAGAATCGAGGAAGACACTTGGCCAATATGGCCTCAGTGGACATGCGCATACGATTAAAATCAAAGATCTTTCCGGAGGTCAGAAATCTCGAGTTGCTTTTGCTGATCTTGCGTTAAGCAATCCAGACGTTATTATTCTGGTAAGTGCAATGGAGAAAATAATAGGCATAGTTTGCTATCTCATTTTAGCAGGATGACATAAGTCAGGCGTTAACTGAACAGGTCGTGCGGCACTGGAATCAGAATGAGAACGAGGACGTTGATTGTTTCGCTGAAATTTTATGTCCTTTTTTCAGGATGAACCTACAAATAACCTAGATATTGAATCAATCGATGCACTGGCTGAAGCAATAAACAAATACACTGGAGGTAAGTTAAGATGGATCCAGTTGTGCTTGTCACAGCCCGGGAGATTAGCTGGGGAAGATTATCTCTTAAACCTTGTACCCGAAATAACCATCACTATTGATCACTTCATCCGTACCATGCCGTAAAGCACACGCACTATTATCGTATTTTGAAGGTGTAATCTTAGTAAGTCACGATGCGAGGTTGATTCTGGAGACTGAATGTCAACTTTGGGTCGTCGAGGATAAAAATATTCACGAGATAGAGGGAGGTTTTGAGGACTATCGACAAGAAATACTGGAAAAACTTGGCGAGACATTAGCGCCGTCTTCCTAATGCGTTTTGGGTGGTTACAAAACATTCGCATGCGCGAACATTCTGGGGGAATTAATCATAAACAAAATAGACTTCTGTAATTACCTAAAACGGGAAGAACTAAATTTACATAGCATTTGATCGGCTCTCCAAGGGCATTAATGCAGAGCCAGTCAAATATGTCCTAATTTTCTCACTACCTTCACTTTGATACATTGTTCGACATTTGAGGTCTATCTCTCACTTCTGGGAAATGTGAACACGTTTTTTACAGTTATCATTCCAGTTGTATTAGGATTCACAGGTTATTCGTTGCAATTCTTTTGCAATCCTGTCCAAAAGTAGAGGCTGGTCTAACTTCCCATCAATCCCATGCAACCTTTGCGTTGCAAGTTGCTTGCTAGTTGGGAGTGTTAGACAACGCAATTTTTTTGTAACGCAAAATAATCAGTGTTTACTGTACACGATACAAATAGTATCATCCATTTTGTGTTACCTTTTCAGGCCTGTGAACCTAAGAAGGAAATAAGGAAGGCCATTTATAATTTTTAGGGTAGAACTAATCTTTAAATGGTAAACGGGTTTTGTAAAGTATAAAAAGTGTTTACTACGTAATCCAAACAATGCTAAAATGGAGGAAATTTTTGGGGTATGCCTCGAAAAACATTACACGTGAATACAAAAATGATAGCTCCATTATATTTTGATTGCTTTGGTTGCTTGGTTTTTTGCAACCATCAAATACTGTTCAATATAATGTAAAGAATAAAGCTAAATAGATCAAATAAATTGACCTTGACTGGTACGCCAAAAGATTTCATGTTTAACCTTTTTTGCTAAATACAATCCGACCCCTACAAACTGTGTTTGAAATTTGTAACTGCCTAAGGCATTGTATTGAAAGTTTGTGTAACAGTTGGCCGGCCTTCGCGATATAGATTGTGCCATGAATGTTGCGATACAAGCAAGATCTCCCAATATATATATGTATAAAGAACAGATAATATTTCAAAAAAGATATTTCAAAAAGAAAAATTTAATGAAACAAAATCATACAGTGAATACAGATTACTGCTTGCTTACAAGTTTAACAAATGTCAAATATACAATAAATTAAGACGACAGTAATTTTAGAATCCGTCAAGTTATCGTTTACAATTAAGCGCGGATGCAGACACAACACGGGTGTCATTGGCTATAGAGGTGTCAAGATTAGCACCTTGTAAAAGACTTAGGCAAAAGTTCTTGCACGGAAACAACTTAAACTATTAAACTTATATTAACATATTAAACAAATACAATATTTTAAATAACTTCAAAGTAATGTCAATTTTTAACCAGGAAAAAGCTGTATTCAAGTGAAGTTTTAACAACGAAAACTACTTTTTTCTCTGTTTGAAAGTATCCATCTTTAGGTTTACAGGAAGACTAATGTAGTAAGAACGATATTCAGATAATATCTAATGAATGACAGCTTTTCTGGAATCAAATGGTATCACCGCGTAAAGTCCAATTATATGTAGACATTTATCAGCATTCTATGCAGTTTCACAACGCATACATGTAATAGAACTTGACCAACATTCCGACTAATTCCTCAACACATGTTCATAAGCCAGACCAACGAGTGTTTATTCAACGAGGTTAAATTCTGGCAGCAACATTAAATGTCAAAACGTGGGACCTTTCATATCATACCTTTTCCACTAATCGCAAGACTGAACTCTCAATCACTTCGTGAGGTGCAAATGAACTTTCCCCAAAACTGTGGAACAGTCGACTAGTGGGAACAGTAAGCACCAACAAACAACACACTAGTCAACCTATCGGGTAGAGGTGCCCTGCGATTAGCGGAAAATGGACGTACATGTACGTGGTGAACACAATAGAAGTATAAAGTGGAAAATCACTTAATCAACCTTACAATAATTTTTATCCCCTTCGACTTTTACAACTATATTAGATAAGTCTGTCAGGATTACTTATAAGCATTTTAATGATCAGTTTGGGTGATTTACACAACGAAAGAAAATCGTTGCATCTAGGCTAAGAGCAACAGACACACACCAACTATAAACAATAAATGATTTTGAACATGCAAACTATTTGCTCCTACGATAAGCGCATGTTCTACGTTTTTCTACGTTGTCTCCTCCCCCCGTCCGATCAGAGTTTAACTGTTTCCACTAATTTCACTGAGTTGGCATCATGGTCTTGATCATGTGGGGCAAACTCGTGTTTGAAGCAATTCAAGAAATCGTATTCGACAGGGATCACTTTGTTCACGACCAAGTATCGAGTCGCATAGGATACTGCTACAATTGTTATGAAGGAGCATATCATTGAAAAGGTTCGGAACGGGAATAACTGGCCATATTCTTCATCATAGAATGGATATTTGATCAAAGCATCAAAACCAATCAAAGGTTCCCCACCACAGAGTCGGAAGAAGAGTCCGACGACGTATCCAGCGATTGAACCATACGTGTTTGAAGCATCAATATACACCACGCAGAAGAGTTGAGGGAATAAGATCGCATATACCAAGTCAGAACAAAGATGGAATAAAATGTAAATGGATTGCACATTTAAGGCCAAGACAGTTGAAACGACGCCAACTCCAAGGATTGATAGACGAATCACCCAAACCATTTCTCGCTCACTTGCCTGAAACGTAAACGTGATTTTAGATTTGCACAAGATGAACACTTTACTCGCGTGTGCTAATATATACACCAAACTTCGCAAAACTCGCTGGACGGACCAGATCATAGTGTTCAAGTAACAATGGTCAACTCGCATTTCAGTTTTGGGTGATAAAAATGACGTACCTTTGGTCGGAAGATAAGTTTATAGATGTTTCTGGAGAACATAGAACTCGCCGAGAGAGTCGATGAATCAGCGGAAGACATGACAGCAGCCGAAACTGCACCGAGTCCAATGAATGAGACAGCTGAGGGTGTAAGGTACTGGAGTACTAAAGGTAGTATACGGGTTGCATCCTCGTCCTTAAGGGTACCGTTAACCGTTAAGCCCGTGTAGCTTGTTTCGTTCCATTCTATGAGAAGAAATTAACAACGTGTTGACCAATGTGAAAAAAACTTTTAGCTATGGTTAGAAAACAATCAAAGCGCTACAATATACACCGTTCTTAAATGCTCGCTTACTTGCTGAGGCACCGACCGCACCAATGAGAAGAGCTGGGATAGCGGCAATAAAGCACCCGAACGACGCGGCGAATGACAGATATTTCGCATGTTTTGTTGTTCTGCACGAAAGTACACGTTGGAAGTACGCTTGCCACGGAATACCACCGAATGTCTGCAAGGAATAGCAAAATGTGAAAAGTTTGAAATGTTTAATGACGGCAACATAAACGTGGAATGGCGTGGCATGTCCTTTTTTTCACATTGTCTTTGAACCTGCCTTTGATGGGCTTAACAACGTACCAGGAAGAGAACGTAATCGAGCCATTTGCCAGTTTTCTTTGTTTCCCAATGTCCAACCCATGTATCTGTGTGGTCGCTAATGGGCTCTACAGCGTCATTGCTCATCGCGAAGGGAACAGCTAACCACTAGAATGAAAAAAAATTGGAGTTGAGTCTTGGCGAGTTATGCGATTCCTTTTTTTGGCAAAAACGCTCTATTTTACATATAGCTTTTACATAATATATTACTTGCATATAGTAATGTAAGAAAAAATGAATTACTCCCCCTTTTTTCCAGTAAAAAATACGTACAATTATTTCACTTGAGAAGACATACTTACCAGGCCAATGAAGATACAAATGAGCTGCACAACATCTGTGTACACAACAGAATACAGTCCTCCGACTAACGTATACGACACGGCAATTGCGCCAGACACGATAACTGATGTCGTTGTATCGATATCAATAACAACACTGATTGAAGCACCCAAGGCAGCAAGAATAGCAGCAGACCAAAATATGTCGCCAAGGAAGGCAGGGATATACAAGAAGCCGCCCATTGTTGAACCGTATTTATCTTGGAAGGGATCCAACATTGTCACGTATCTCTTTGCTCGCATCTTCTCAGCGAAAAGAAGTCCCCCTAAAACACAAAGTTCAGAATTTAATACAAGCGTAGTTCGAACTTATACAGGTGATGTGCACCAAAGTTATCTTTTTGTACTGAAAATGACATTCATTTGGCGGGGAAAAAATGGTAGGGAAATTCGGGCAATTGGTGAATGCTATTTCATATCCATTAAGGTACATTTTGCTGGATCCTATTTTCATCTTCTCACATCTTAATTTTTAAACTAGTTTCGGATTTTGGTTAATTCTAGAGAGGGCCCTAAAGATACCGAGCAAAGATGCACTTAGGATTGAAATAGAATTCGCCTCCTAAACAAGGTTCTTGCCGAAATGGTCAAAATTTGTAGTTGGTATAACGGAAAGACTGGCCGGAAGGTATTGGTTGCACATCACCCGAGCATGTCTATGTAGGAAACCATTTCAAGTTAACTCCATATATTGAATTTCGTAATCTCTCTACACTTTGATCGATCATCTGGATGTCGAGTGGGGTGTTAATGGCTCACTTTCGGTTGGAATCACTACTTGTGCATAATCGTAAAAAACAACGCTATCCAGGGAGAGGGTGATTCCAAGATGATCGAGCAAAGCTGCAATAGATATGAAAAAACAACGTATAGAAGAACTTGACGTGATTCACTACACGTTCTTTTACAATCGTCGTTACGTCAATAGTAAAGTGAGTGAAGTCGAGAGTAACGAAGAATTGTTTAGAAAGAAGTGGAAAAGAAGTCGAAAATACCAAAATTCGGTGATCGAAATTTTAACAGCGTTGTAAATTCAGACAAATCTTTACCGATGGAAAGGTCTACAACGTGCAAGATTTTTAGAATAAGCTTTGGATTTTGGAATACATCGAAAAATTGAAATCGAATAAAATGAATTGGGTTTAATTCTCGTTTTAAGTTTGGAGATATCCGATGAAATCTTCTGATTTAAAATTTTTGGAAAAGAAAAAAAACAATAAGTCCAAATCAAAATTAACTTCCAAATTTTGAGAGTCTATTTTCAAAATAATATTCGACACTCAAACAAAAAAATATCAGATCCCAAAGCAGTTCTGTGCACAGTTAAAGACATATGAAAGGCACAGTTAAAGACAAAGTGAATGCATATGAAACCGGAGGTAACTATCAAAAAGAAAATCCGCACCCACACCATTAAATATAACCATCAAATAACCGGACCCCCCCCTGCCTCTGGCATGCAAAAACCCAGACTACTGTTACATTAAATACTTAGGTAATATTAAAAAGAATGTTTATATACGTGCACACTATAACGTAACCTTAGCCATCCCTTCAGCTAAGATCGCCATAAGAAGACTGACAATGCAGCTAAAGCAAAAAGAATCACAATAAACATACACGTTACCAAACGTGAATATGTGAACAATGATCGTGCCTTTTTTTTGTCGTGTTGTGATTAAAATGTGTTTAAACATGAAAAACGTTTTCGAGTCTGAAATTGTTAGGATCTTTTCTTAGGTGCGTTTCATGAAAGCCTTTGATATATCAGTTCCTATTTTGTGATATGTGTAAATTATTTTGAGTTGTGTATCACTAAACTTTGCAGTGTTTGTCAGAACCAGGGTTCGTATTCGTGCCAACCATAGAGAAAGAATCTAATGATACTCTTTCACCATATTCCTGGTGGTACGTACATCCGAAAATTTCAACTTCCTTTCTCTCTTTGATCGAGAACGTATACGAAGCCTGGCGCAGCTATGAAATGACGTGTAATTCCTAAATGTGAAATGCGAAAATCTGTTTTATTTCTTTCTGTGAATTTTAGTGACAATGGTGACAGGAAATTTTTCAGGCGAAACTTTTCAAACGGACCTTGCTAAAATTTGACATGCCATTTCGTTTTCGATTTTAGGCAATGCTTCGTTGTTTCTAAAAATCGTTTATGGAAACGTCAATATGACCAAGGTCGCTCGTCACTCACGATATTGATTCATTTTTCTGTCAGAATGCAATATTTCCGACTTAAAAACTAATACTAGCTTATTCTTTAAAAAAAAAGGGATGGAAAAAAGAGAGCGCTGCCCTTGGATAAACTGCCTTTTTAACCAGTCTGTTTTTTTGGTCTGGAGTTCATTTAGCCGCTTCTCCATCCCACAGTTTATTAAAAAATCTTCTTTTTGGATAGAAGACAAAAGTATCGCTTGTTATAAACGGATCATTCAACGTCGCTTGAAATGGCATGTAAAATTTTGCAATTTTCTTTTGAAATTTGAGCGTGTTAAATACCTGGATACCAACCACCAATTGCCATCACTAAATTCCCCGTCCAAATCACGTCGTGGTGGTAGACAATCCTATATGATCAACAGACTATACATGGTTGCCACCATACCCCCCCCCCCCGTTTTGATCACCGTGTTTAACAAACCACCCGTTAAATATTTAAAATTTACAGTGCACGTTTGTGTTAAGACAGAACCCTCGAAATATTTTAACTATGTTTAACGATTGCTAAATTTTAGTTTTATTTGTATTATTGTATTACTGTTAAAATTAAGGGGACAACTTTACCATGAACCCGTAGTGGGAGCTCCCCCCTCTCCCTGACCATACCCCACGCCGCAGATCTTTTAAATATTATAGGAGAACTACCTATAGGTTTAGCTCGACAAATTCTTGTTGATGTCACATGGGTGTGTGTGTTTTAGGGGCCGATTTTCATCTCAGACGCTTCGCTCTTCAGAGCTTTCATATAATCCATTTGAAATTAGGGGCTGGATCCAGCATTATTCAATTTTCAAGTGGATCAGAATAATCGTTCAGAGCAAAGCGCACGCGATGTAAATCGTTCGATAGAAAAAATCTTCTAATCTTCTTGGGTTACTCTTTACGCAATCCCAACCAGAAACACAAATTGTCTCACAGATCTAACGTGTGATGGCTAAGCAAAATATAAACATGCATGGAAATATGTTCTCAGAATCCGGCTCAAATTTCAAGTGCAATCTTCCTCTATTTTTCGAGTGTTCGGGATTTCGTGCTGCGCATATTAAGATTTGTTAGAAAACGTGTTTCACTCGTCAGGCTGTGTACAAGTATAGTTTCTGATTGGGAGTAAATTTTGTTGTATACGCTAGTAGAGTTTTATACGTTAAAACTACGGTGAAACGAATCACACGATACCTATAAAGATTGTCAAAACCTGGTAGGTTGGTTGCAACTCTTAGTAACACCGACCTGAAGTGGACAGTAATATAGGAGGAAAAGATAGTTATACAGAAAATTACACAACCAGGGTCTCAAATCCTCGCCACAAACCAACAACCATAACATTTCGATTTATTGTGAAATATTTGCTGCACTAATTGATTTTCTGCACTAATTCTGCTTATACATGCAAACTTCAAATGATTGACAAGCAAAAAAGGATAACTTAATGCATGCATTGTGAGTGTTGTGATAAATGTGTAACTTATACTTTGAATTGTGAAATTGACTGAATTTTATTTACAAAGATGTAATGTTAAGTTGTTGATCTGTGGCACTTTGTAGGATTGTCAACCCATGCAAACATAAAAAGAAACGCTCGGACTCACCTAATGTCAAACTTAGGGAGTAGCACCATGGTGCTTGCACCCATACCAATCCTTGTGAGTATGCCTTCTCTGCAGTACCATTGATGTAACCACCACCAACCCATGTTGCTGTTAAAAAAGATTGTCAGCATCAATAAACTAAACAATGATTCTACAAACAAGCTAACCAATCTCTATTAGACAGTCCAACAGAGATACAGGGTAATCAGGGCAAGCAAGGCTACCAACAAGAGAAAAATCGCCTGTTATCTAGGATCTAATCATCAAGACTTGCAAAAAACTGCAACCATAAACCACTTGCATGTATCAGCAGTAAACAAAATACAAACTCAAGCATACCTGTCATGGTCATTGCTCCAACGAAAAGTCCGATGTCTCTTCCCGCTAACATTACATCTTCACTCTCAGTTGTTTTATCCCCTCCTTCACATAAATCATCAGATTGGTTTCTCTTGCGTTTGAAAGCTGCCCACAGGCCAACACCAAGAATAAGTAGGTAGAACACGATAATTCCAACAAGACCCAAGACGTTTAAAGCCATAGTGATTTTAGAATCTCAGAATTCAGATTTTAAAATCTAATAAGACAAAGTATAAGGCCGAAACGTTGGTTATCTTATAATGCAATAGCAGTTGAGGTTAATTTACTTCATTACACTGTATTGATTATACCAGCTATATGCTGTTTAAATGCTTGTTGTTATACTTCGCTGCGCGTTTATTGCGTGCATATGATATATATTCCGTTAAGAGCCTAATGACGCACAGCAGTTGTATCAAACTCCGCATTTCCGACAACTTTCATTTACGTCATTGGAACGTTAGGAGTGAAACACCATGGGAAATAAACATATATCTTTATCCGGATACAAGTTCGTTTAAGAAGTAATATGATAGTAGAAGTTTTTTATCACTCGCATATGATACACTTGATACAAGGTGTAAAGGGCGTGCCAACAAGATATATATTATCACTAATATGTTTTGACTGGAACGTCTAACGGCACTGCAAATGTTGAGAACATTGAAAATTCAATATGTATTGTGTGCCGCGAATCCTACTAATAGTGTTTACCTTACAAGACCACTCGCCACGCGTTGATTGATAAAACGCAATCACAAAAATATGAACCTATCCCGCGCTTAAACACAGCTGTAAGCCCTGTAGACATTGTAACAACGCAAAAAAAAAGATCGCACGCAAACGATCCCAAATCAGATTAGACCGCTCGTAAATTTCAAGTATATTTCTTTAGTCTAGCTGTTTTCATAGATCAAATTACGTCAATTTCGTGAAAATATGTTTGGAATTGTGATGCATGTAGGTTACGCCTTGTTTCTTTAGCTGTTGTTGCTGGCGGCAGATTCCGAATCAGTATTAGGTTATTTACGCTAAATTTAGAGAGTATGTAGTAACAGCAAGTGACTTATGTCTATGAAATTTAACAATTGAATTTCTGTCTTCGCGAAATAAAGGATTGTTTTTATTTGTCAGGATTATTTGGATCAGCTTACCCTAAAATAACTACAAACACGACAAACTTGTTTGGCTTGGAGAAAGGCAGACTGCAAATTCTCAAAGACAAGTAGATTTGAAATATCATATTTCATATAGTAGCTATAGCCTAACATTTGAATCGAAATAAATAGCAATAATTACGAATGTTTTTTTATCTATTCTTTGATTACAACATACATTCGTAGCAAATTAAAAAAAGCTCTTTAATGTCAACAACCTGTTTGGTTTATTTCCTCGTGGCCTGACTGGCCTCTAAAGCGCGTCTTGCGAAATCTATGTAGATGTTGTAATATCTAAAAACCACGCATATACCATTGGCTTCTCGCGACGCAATAGGATTACACAAGATAAAACCAAAAGCATGCACTACAACCATTCAATTTCTTAAATCAAAAACACACACCTCACTCTTCAGTCTTTAATTTAAAAACGCATGCGGCATGCATCTTACAAATTTATATAGAAAACATAGAGAATAACCCGATAACCTACAGTATGTATAACTTACTTGTATATTTCCAAATATAGTTTTCTTAGAAAGATATATTACATACAAAGCGCAACAGTACTGACATACATGAACTCACCTTGCAAAATCTTTTATACACAATATTTGAGAGATGATGATCAAATGAGCTTCAGCGTTAGTGATCTCTGAAATTAAATCCAAACAAGATTAGATTACCCTGTCGGCGCAAAAACGAAATTTAGACCGCGCTGATTGGTCAAGCATGGCCGAACATGGTTGGAATTTACACTTGTTTCAGGTTTTACCAAGTCATATTTCCGCATAAGGGGGTATAATTACTGAATTGCACCCTGGCTTTTTCTCGTCTATGGAAAATCCCGGGAATTTTCCCGGCCTTTTTTATGACCTTCGCTCAACTTATCGTTTGTTAAAACAAGGACATTGGTTAGGTGATTACACTTTAACACACACTGATCCGCATAGACTAATATACTGGCACACCTGGACGAACATCCCTGCGGTTGGCAAGCATTTTACAAAAATGACACTCCAAATAAAGAGCGAATATGTGGTTGAGGTTGCTTGGGAAGTATGTGTCATGGTACAATTTTATGTGCATGCAAGATTTGTGAGCATGGAAGTTATCTTTGAATTATTCTGCTAAGGGCACAAAAACCTAACCCATGATTGACACTAAAAGGATACTCGACAAGTTTCCTTGGCCATCACACACATTAGTGAAAAATGAATGCTTCTTCTCAAAATGAGAAGAGATTTATTTTTAGAGTGTGATGGAAGTTTATCCATGAAAATGCTCCTTCCAATTTTTAATTACTATACTGACAGCAGGTCAAAGAAGGTGTCCTTAGCCACAGGCTGTCAAAAACCCACCTATGGTTTCTTAAACATTTTTTCTGTCTATTGCCAGTGCATATTCCTATGTTTAACATAATAGAATTGTATTTGTAGTTGGTATACTTTCAATAAAAGAATTAACAGAATATTTCAGCCAGAAGATTCAGAATACTGAATTCTCTGCAGTCTATTATGGACATCGACAATTTGTCCTTGGCATAAATATTCTCAGGGGTGACAAAAATGGTGTGGATTTAGCCTGCATATACCTATTTTTTTGTTGACAGTTAAACTTTATAACCATGTTTGCACCTTGAAAGCTAATTAAACCAACAAACAAGAACACACAATAGCACAAGATAAAGCACAACTTGATCTAACACAGTTACAACCAATTTTGCTTTGGATATTATAATACTGGTAAAATATTAAGACTCCATCATTTATTTTAAATATTCTAAGGTTCAAATTAGATCTGTCAAAACAATTTATGAAATATGATGACATGGATTTGTTATGAATACCACTGACATTTCCTTTTATGAATGTGTGATCAGATAAATGATGTAAGAAAATATTATTAATAACTGGTGCTTATAAAGATAATTCTTGCAGAATTTTGACCATGAAAATCTAAAATTTTGCTAGTAACTGGCTTAATATTATCTCATGTAGGTACAATATTTTCAATGACAACACAACAAGGAAGTGTATAATTTTTTTTTATTTGAGTGTGAAATGGATTATTTTTTAAAAACACAGTTGCAAAGTGTCAACTGCCACAAACCATTTTTTGTGGCTTAATTCTTAAATGATTATGAAAGGTGTTCCTTTATTGAAAGCAGTCAAAGCACAAAACTATTATGCAAACACGCATTCACAGCACGACACAATCTATAGCAAGGGATCTTAGAAACTACAGCAGCACAACATATCTTTTCAAATTACAAATAAAAGATATATAAAAAAGGACGACCCATGTGGCAATGTTGGCAAACGGTATAAAAGGCAAAATTATTCTCCATATGTGACTAACAACATAATGAACATATCTCACTTCCGATTATTAATTCTGCTTTTCATAAACTAAAGCAAAAATTTAAAGCCTAATATCAAATGTGAAGTTTAGATGTGTGAAACGTCCGTTGCAAAGTTTTAAATTTCATGTTGGGTTACGACTAACAATTACTATGTATTCGGGTCAAACCCAAAATCTCGCAAAATTCACGCGACCGACTCATTTCTCGAATTTTATTCAAATCAGCTTGATTATATCTGCATTTTGGATAGTGAACGTTTAAAACTGAACATATTTTAGCGAAATTTAGCCTTTTTTGAGACAGCAGATGTAGAATTAAAATTTGCATGTCCAAATGTTTAACCTAGCTTCAAAAACACGCCACCCGTCCGGAAATGTGTACAGGAAACAAGGAAAATTTAAATATCAACAGCTTGTAAAACAAATAAAAGAATTGGTTTACCTGCAGTGTAAATTGCGGTGTAAATTGCAGCAAAATTATAGATTTTGAAGGCTTTCTTTCGCTTGTTTTCGGTTCTATCGTGCCGCAGACAAATGAGTATTTTTCCACTCGTTCTTTTCACGCGGTTATCATGAACCTGGCTTAATTATTCTGTGACGTCATGTGACGTCATTTCCGACAGTAAATTTCCCGCGCTAATTAAGTAACGTAATAATCGGAATATTTGTAGACATTTTTAACATTTTAGGGTAAATTTCTTTCCTAAATAAAATGCCGGCAGTACAGTTTGGTCTCGGAAAATAAATTACCGTTGTGGTTTTTACACAAAGATTTGATATTTCATGATTTTGGTCCTTAGCCTGTTTCTAGGTTACGTTATATATGTAGCAGCCTGCACGCCTGCGGCCTGCCTATGACCAGCCGCCATATTTATACATTTTACGAAATTCGTGCAAAAAGTCAAAAATTCTAAAGCAAAGGTGCTGGGTTTCGCTATACTTCTGAAGATGAAAGTCATTAAAGTATATTTATGGTAAGCTGCGATGTGTGTAATTTTTTTAGCATTTTTGAAATGGGATATTTAATAGTATATCAGATGTCATGTTGAATATTTTTATTATTTTTTGGGGTGATGGTGCCAATTTGGTAAAGAATTGTTTCATTTGTGTGTCGTAGATAATACTCGTGCTGCCCTGAACACTTTATAGTGAAACTAATCTATCTGTTTGATATCTTCATTTAAACTATGTAATATAAAGTTTCCATATAAACTATAGTATGTCCGACCATGTGTTTGTCCGAATTTTTGTCATTTGATCACGTGTTTTTGATAAGTGTTTGACCGTCGGAAAGGTGGATTGCACTTGGGCAAGATACCTCTACACAACATTAACATTATAAAAATTTAAAATTATAAAATCTTACCAATGCACTGGAAAATATCTTCTTCTATTAAGTGAACTCAAAGGAGGAGAAAAGAGCTGTAATAGTAAATTTAAGAACATATATTAACTCTGGATGGAGTATTTAATATTTGACAGCTGTATTAGGTGTTGCTAAAGGAAACCTGGTTTCTTAATAAATCAGGTTATCTACATATATATTTAAATGTTACTTACTGCAATAATGTTTCCACAAATCACAAGGCACAAGAATCCCAATGCGAACTTGTATTAGCAAAAACCTGTGGAGATGAGAGAATTTGAATATTTGTTGCAATATTGTTTGTAAAATTGTTAGAGCATGAAACATGAATATTTGTTTGCCATATTGTACTGGAACTTCCTCAAGTTTCTAAGTATATTCTGTCTGTTACTGGGTATAAATCAATCAAATGCTTTTCTCATAGTTTTTGTATTTTTAATAATTTGTACAGATGTGCACATAATTGAGGTATGGATGAAATAAATGATGGGGTTGGGTAGCTTTGGGGTAGGGTGTATCTTTGTTTGCCTTGTTTGATATTCACAACAAATTCTTTGAAATGAAAGCAAAATCTATAAGAATAATTCCCTATGCCCCATCCTAGCAAGGTACAAGAAGTAATTGGTCGCAAAATTACGAAAAGAGCGATTCTACGGCAGAAAAGCAACAATATCTAAAGCTATATCTTATATAAACCTAAAAGGCGTAAATTTAGGATGTAATTAGTTTCGGATATTGGTCTCACACTTTCACTTATTTACAAGAATCAGGGGGAGGCCGCCCATTCAAGCAAACAAAAAAAACAATTTCCATTTTGAGACCGGAAAATAACATTCACGTGAAGTAATTTTACTGGAATCCTTAATCGCAATAACGCGTCAATTTGCATAAGTTGTTTACAATGAGAAATGAGAATGCCATATTAAATTTTAAGTAACATGCGTTGGTGTGATTCTATCGGTCCGCTTTTACCGCGCTAACTGCAGTTTATTAGTAAGTTTGACCAAAAACATTTTTAGAGTTCTAATTGAGACACATTTGTAACTGACATCATGATTTTCAAGATTGAAATAGCTTCCATTATTCACATTGCGCAGGGTTATATGTCATAAGTACTTTGATTTTCAGAATGGTTTCTGGAAAACGTATGTGATTAGGCTAAAGTGATTTGTCTAGGGTATTCCTACAAGTTTCCTACAAGAGAAAATACGAAATAAAACAAATTCCAAAAATAGACATATTGTCTTTAATCTCTGTTCTTGCTAATTAACAGTGTATATAGTGTATATAATGTATATACAAAGTTGGAACCGACTGTCAAATACACAGTTTTCTTTTTATTAAGAAGTCGAGATGACTATTTCCACTGTCGCTGTTTTAGTGCGTACGTGAGTCCTACAATAGACGCGGCAGTAGAAATCTACCCTTACTCTCCTAGACTTGGTCATACCTAGTCTTGTTCTTACAAAGTCTTGCCTCAAAGTAAGAAATGGTCAAATGGGCGAGTATGGGGTAGCTAAATATTTGACTTCCTGGCGCCTTTGAAACACAATAACATTTCCTATTTTTGACATATAATTTCAATGCCGTTTTTACCTGTAAACACGTTTATAATGGCAATGCCGAGGCAAGGCCGATTCGTTCGCTAGTATATGTGATGACTGCATGTATTCTATCCCCTATAGGAGTAGCCTAGATTGAATTAATTTAACCTTTCCACAATCAATTCTTTTGGAATTACTTTATATTATATTATAGTCTACGCTGACAAAGAAGTTTTGTTATTTATTTGTTATTTTATAAGAGTTATACGTATAGTTTAATGTAAGGTATTTGTATAGTATCCTGGGGTAGGTGTTCAAATATTCTCTATTCGAAATTATTGAGAGAGATGAGTTCCTAGTTCCGCTTCTTCCTAACACAAATCTATTTGTCTTTTTAGATTTTGTATAAGCTGCATTGCTTAGGAGGTATGCAAAAAAAAGTTTACAATACCTTTAAAGATGTACTATATTCGGTGAGTTTTAGTAAAGCTCAATATTTACAGCATTACTTCGGAAATTTAAGTTTAATTTTTCCCCTTTGACGTTCTAATCTCCTTCAACATCATATGTGCGTTGCTTTGGATTTTTGTAATATAAACACTCGATATATGCCGTTCATTTTAATAATGAATGAATGAATGAGCGGTCAAACGCAGCTGATTGGCTAAGCACAACATTTGCAACATTTATGCCCCGTTACTTAAAGAGACGTCACGAAGTTTTCACGCAAATAGAAACACGCTAGATTACTTTAGATTATGGTGACTTTCTAGAACCAATCCATCCATCTGTTTTTCTATACGATTGTATTTAGCAAAGTTTCCCATTCAGCATTCAAACCGATCGAGTCTTTTTGTTTGTCTACTCCAATTTTATGTGCGTGTGAGCTCTGGACTTTCGATTCAATTCACAGAAACTTTCAGTTTCGTTCATATGGGAGGGAATGTCTGAACTGTTTTTAGTATTATTCAATCATACAATACGTCTTAATTTTGCCACTATGACTAAGGCGTAATAGAGCGCGAACAGTGGGCATTTTCTCTAAAGTAACTTGCCTTGAACTGATAGACTACTCGACATTTTAAACAACATCTCTTTGTTTGCATATTTTGGGAGGGCTTGATCAGGTATCAGCTAGTCTATAAGCATTGCATTGCGCTGTGACCACTCATCGTTGACATTCAATATCACACATTATCATCTTTTTTTCTTGAAATGATCTTATGAGTTGTGTAGCTCCCATTTAACATATTCCTAATCATGCAAACGATATTCATATGAACTGAAAGTATGTTTCAATTTATTTTATCACATGTTGCATGCGCGTAGGTTTGGTGACACAGTCACACAGATTTGAAATCATGTACTTTTCCCAAAGTATTTTTAAAACTTCCATAGATGGATCACCATACATATGCATAAAAGACAACCACATGGCAGTTTTGATTGCGACAATCTTGCAACATTTGTCGTGATTAAATCAGATCTTTATGAAACCCGAGCAGATCTACTCATATAAAACCAACAAGAGGAAGCTTTTTGCCATTCAGTCATTCATGTTTCAATGCTTGGATATACGTTAAAAAAGGTTAACGAAACGAAAAAAATGAGAGAAATGTATGTTTATTTAAATTTTTTGGCAAAGTTTATTGGTCTGTTCTGTTGCATGCTGGCAAAAACGTAAAGGAAGTCAAAGAACAATGTTGAAAAACTGCCAAATAAATTTAATTTTATTTATAACTTTAATTTGCGTTGCCTTTCGGATTTTACTACTTCAAAGTTATGTCCGTTTCAGAGCAAAATTTTGTTGACTGAATGTTGTTTTGTTGGTCTTTATTCTTTTCGGGGAAAAAAGTTTAAATGGGTACATGAACTATATAAAGCTATCGTTAACCAAAACTTCCTATGACGTTTTCTTGTGTCATAAAAGCTTCTTTCAGTGTATAAAAGTGATATAGCTAAGATAGCGTGCATCCTATATGAACTTTGCACTCGACACTTAGAAACAAGGTTATACCTCGACACTCGTCTGTCCTTCAGGAAGTTTATATCATTGAAATAAATAAATTAGCCTTTCTCACAATGGCAAATATATCCCTTCATTTTGTGGGAATTCTTTTCAATGGGTAATGCAAGACCACAAAAAGGTGACTATTCACAACTTTTAGGGTAAATTTGTTCTGTTAATAGTTGTGATTGTAAACAATGCCGTCTAATAAAGTGACGGAATTAGTCATCTCGAGACAACGTCCATACAACTTCCAGTTCAAGTGTTGAGAAGATTCATAGCTACTTGGAACATGCAAAGCAAACACCACATGCAGAGCTTGTCTTTCACATCAAATATTAATTTTGTTTACTAATTGTGTTTGTAGAAACTCAGCGTATATTTTGTTTCAAAAAAAATAAACAAAGCTGGATGCTTGTTAAACAAAACATTTGATTCTACCAACTTACGAAAAAGAAACCATTAACAAATAGCCAAAATCAAAATATATATAATAGCAATGCATAGAAATGCATCTGTGTTATAAATATATATTAATAAATCTTCTTTTAATAGTAAAGATAGTTTTGTTGTTGTTCTAGAAGTACTATTTTTAACAGATTTATATGCCCACTCACAGCGACGCTATTTCGCTTGAATATTCATTCACACCTGCAACTTGATGCCTACTCTGCTCCCTAGCTTTAGTTTTGATGATGAAAAATTTCTAGTTATTAACTGATGTAGTAGTTGATAAGTTGAGATTTATAAATCGATTTACTATCCCCCCCACACCTAAAGAGTTAAATATGAGGTCTCCTTCGTATATTTCCTGGTCTTGGATTCCTAATTATTTGATCCAATTAGTGTCGATAAATACCTGTTCAGAAAGCGACAAGGCCTGTTCACACTTACATTTTTTAATTTGCTGTGGATTTTAGTGCGATAGGCATAGTTTAACAAAGTAGCGCATTCATGTACAGTCTTTCAGTTTCCTCTGTATTCTTTTTTTACCTGTCCCCGTGTTCCTCCCCCCTGCATAGTTCAGTGCATTTTTATGGCATAAAGCTTACTCGCTTAAAAATACTTATCATTCTTGGTATTGCTTATACGTTTTTACATTCTTATCGTTTCGACTTAGTGTCTCGGACCACATAACCATCTGGCTTGCGAGGTTGATAACCATTTAGGTCTAGACAGTGTTCCTGGCAAAAACCAATGCTATTCAAGTATTAATTATGCAATAATTTATGTTTGGCAAATTGAATTATCTCCAATTTACGGGCACCTGAGAGGTAGCTATACTGTGAAAATATGACGATAACAGTATTAAAATAAGGTTGAACTTAGAAACTAAGGATTGGTTTTGCTTCAAACATCAATATGTTACCGTTTAATTTCTTAGCATTCAATCTAAACGCACGGTAAAATTGTGTTTAGTTGATGCCTTTTTAATTTTAGCATCGTCCTAGTTACCTTTCCTAGACGTAAACAAAACAATAAACCGCAACAGCCATAGTCATTTGACTAATAGTATTTGATGAAATATGCAACGAAATTCAACATGAAAAAATCAGCTTTTACATCGAAATCGTAATATACACGAATTCATTGTGTGAATATCATCTGCTGTCACCTGCATTTATTTGATAAAACTGAAAAGGTGTTTGTTATTTTACGGTATACAATATACTTTCAAAATAATGTATTTAGGATCGACCGAAAATCAGTTCAATATATAAATTGTATTTAGGATCGACCGAAAATCAGTTTCAAAACAGTTTTCAACTGAAAGAATCCGAATAAGTAAATGAAAGTTCATTGTGTTTGTTGCAAATTACAGCTTTCATCTTTGCCGCAAGCGAACTAATTGTTTGATTCGCATAAAGCGAAGGAACTGTGCAATATTAACGAAAGAACTATAGCTGGAAGTGATTAATTCTTAATTATGCCATCAGCATGTTAAGGGGCCAAAGTCCTCTAGCTGTATTAAATTATTAATGATTCACGAACGTGTCGTTGTTAGCTCGATACCGCAGATTGACAATTGATTCTGAAAGTTTAATTCGTGAAACGAAAAAAATTGTTTACAGAGTCGACAAATAATATGTATTATTGACATGGTGCAATGCTTCGAGACGTATATTACGAGCAAATTTCAGATTCTTTAGAGACTTTCGGTATTTCTCCTCCCTCGTCTCTTCCTTGTATTATAAGCGGAACAACCATTGTATAAAAAAGCTATAATTTCGCAATTATATCTATTATATAGGTATCGTATGTCTGCCAGTATGGCGGCCAGTGTCTGATATCAATCATACACAAAATCTACAGATATATACTCAGTTGATTGATTTCAGACTCAGTTCATTTCTAGAACTATAGGTACATACGAGGTCTAGGAACGTTTTGGGGGGGGGATCGTCATTCTTTACTATAGAACTTGTAAAAATACGTATAGTCTATGACTATGACTGTAATCAATGAAATTCTATTCAACCACGTCCAAGCTGAAGGCAAATACTCGAGAGGAACTTTTGTTCATGCATGCTTTATTTCAAATCACATGCATAGAATACATTTCACCGCACTTTGTCTGCATGCATTATTGATCAATATTAACTATCGTGATTGTTTTGGTGCAATTTTTTCTTGTACATGTGAAGACTACTGGCATAAAATACTGCCTGGCTTTTCTAGTCTATTTTATCAAGGATAAAGCTTGTGTTTGCAGTGAGAAGCAACACAATTTCAATATAAACTTCATGTTACGACGTGTCATGTCATGGTTGTGGGATGTGCGAATACCTGAAAGAAGAACCATTATGTACTGCCTTCTATTTCTAGAATTCTTAAGGATTTGTTTTTCCTTTATATTTGAAAACGTTTCAAGTCTCAGCAACTAAATGATCTTTCAAACATTTCTTTATTGTTGACTTAAATTCCTAAGTTTCCTTTATTATAATGTAAAAACATTATCATTTACATTTGCGATTTCCTCTACAAACATTCTTGCATGGTTTTTACATGTGAAATTCACTCTATATAAAGATTCACGTGACGAGTCTTATACGGATGTATAGATGGGCCACTACACGCATACTTGCACTTACGAAGGTATGAAGTGATATCGTATATCAGACCCTGTGCAGAAACACCGGTTAAAAAACTGAAGTTACGATGCATTTTGTCCAATGAATATGATATGTATTTACGCGAAAATTTGGCTTGCAACATCACTACGCTATTGACATTGCATATAAATAATACATTTGCATTTGGCAGGATCACCAAAAATATCCGATAAATATTATTACGAGGATGATAGACATAGTTGAAAACAAAAAAAACTAGCGTGTTAAACCGCATAAGACGTATAGACCTTGTCTTAGCACAACGCTTTTCTAGTACTGACTACTGCATGGCAACAGTGTGGGAAAGCACACGCTAATTGTAGCGTTTCACCCCCATATATAGCTCCCTGTTATCTCTCATTGCTGTGTGAAACAACGTGATCGGAATTCATGGCAGGCATTAATACGCTCTAAGGTAAATAACATCGATGTTGGAACGTGTGTGTTCAATGTAACATTCATC